GACCAAAGAAAACTAACGCCTATCAAAACAGTTTAGAGATTTGAAATCTCAAAGTGGGACTTCTAGTGCTTAACAAATAAAGGTGCTAGAAGAGTAAAACAAATTATTAGGAAATGAAATTAGAATAGTATAATTTATTAATATAGGAATTGATGATTAATATTAACAAAGTAAAACTTGAAAAGCAGAAGCAATTAGAATTTTCGGATTTGAAATTAAAATAAAAAGAGGATCTAGAAGATGTCAAAATGGTGGCAGAGATAAGAACAGTATAAACTCAATTACTAAAGGGAATGCTTAAAGAAAACTAAGCACAATTGAGCGATTTGATAGCTGCTATTACTCAAATGCGTCAGATCCTCGAAAAATCAAAAACATTAAAACTTTGAATGAAATAATTATATAACAAATATATTAAATATCAAACATTTTGCTTTCTAATGAAAACACTACTTAATAATAAGAAATAACTTGGTTAATAGGAAACATAAACAAAATCAATACAGAAACATGAATCAGCTGCCACTGTAAGTGTGATATATCCACAATTGAAATAATAAAATAGAATAACATCTGCATATTATTCAGCTAAGTTAATTAAAGGTAATGTAGTTTGGTTATTATATAAGGGCTTCCAATTAGTGCACAACCTATAGCAAGACCTATAAAAAAGGTTCCACAATTGCAGTATCCCTTTTTTCAAGAACCTCCACACAATGTAGATGCAATCAATTCATGATGAGGATGTGTAGCAATCAAAGCAAACTCAAGAACCTGAATTTGAAATTAGAGCTACCACAGCTCCTGAGGGTGCTTAGAGAAAGCCAAAACCAACTTAAGATTTCAGATAATTGATTTAACGAGTGCCATAAGTTATTAAGATGGAACCGACAGCAGGATAATTTGTAATTTAAAATAAATTTCCTGAGTATATTGTAAGAAATGGAAAAATATTTATATTAGAATGATTTTGATGAATTTACAGTGAATCCCCATGTTCATAAACATATGGGAACGATTAAAATCATCGAATTAGATTAGTAAATTATCAATAATTGCCTCGTAATTAATCCTCCAAATTGGAAAGACAGAGAGAGCTAATTGAGAAAACAATATCAAATAGGCCTGTTCAATCATAATAGGTAAAGAAACGAAAGTTATTACCTGAAAACAGACCCAAGACAACAAATTATAAAAGAGAGAACCCTTTAGGTGATTGTTGGAAAGACTTGGCTTAAAAGGTTGTGATATAGGCAAATACAGCAAATAAACCTAGGGATGAATCAGTACATGAATTAGAGAAATCATTGACTCATTTGGATTTAGAAACAAATGTATTGACATAGAAAGAGAAGGAATATATAAAGAAGAAAAGAAAGCAATTCTTAGATGATTTGAGACCATATTTAGAGATGAAGTAAGCATAGGCAGAAAAGAAGAGAGCAATGGCTAAAAGAGAAGTGTTATTAGACAAATTTGATTAGCATAATTCATTATTGAGTGAATTAGAAGATGATGGTGATTTAGCCAAGGAAGAAAGTTTTGAAATGCTGGATGATGAGATCTAAATATTTAATAAACCTTTAGTTGAATAATAAAACTTTTTTGCTAAAGTGGATCCAATAAATAGATCGTTTGAATAGCAATTGAAGGAGACTCAATAAAAGTTTGAATAAATGGTCAAAGAGGATAACAAATTATATGAGGATGCTCAGAAAAATAAGATAGATAAACCAGCACCATTTTTAAAGGTTGGAGATCATTTCTCATTAGATGAGATCAATTTAGTATTAAGAGAGTTAAAGAAATCAGTAGATGATAGGAATTATGAATGTAAATTATATATGTCTAATTTAAGTATTGGATGGGATTTGCAAAAACCTAAAATTCTTTTGGTAGTTCAGTAAATAAACAAGAATTTTATTGTTAAAATTGAGTTCTTTGGTTTTTTACAAATGCGGTGAATATATCTTTTATGAAGGTGATGTTGGAGAATAAATGTATATAATCCTTAATGGGGGTTGCCATGTAAGAATTAAGAACCCCCATGTGGCTGATTGTAATCCAATTGTAAGTACTCTATATACAGGGTAACAATTTGGTGAATTGGCCTTGATTGATCCAAACACTAAAATTAATAGACCAGATCAAAACTAGTTGCATTCTAATAGCAAATACACATTAAATATGATAAGAGGTGAGATGTAGAGATAAGAATAACAGAAGGAAAAGGCTAAGAATTGGTGGAAGAAGGATTACAATGAGGAAGAGAAACAAGAATAAGTTAAAATCTAACCGAAGAGAAGTGCTTCAATTGAATGTGCTGTTGATACTTATTTATTGGCCATCTCCAGAGATTACTTCAAAAGCATTATCCTGAATGTCATTACTTCAGAACTTGAAGATAAATTAAAGACATTATTAACCATGCCTTGTTTTGATGTATTATTGCCACTCATTATACTAGTTCCTATCTTAAATGGAATTGATACCTATAGCAAATTTATTGGAAAGTGAGACCTATAGATTAGGCCAAGTGATTTTGAAGGAAGGTGAACCATAGAAATACTTTTACATTGTTGCAAGTGGGAGATGCAAGTGTGTGAAGGAGGAGGTGTTCATTAGAGATTTGAAAGTGATGAGAGCGGATGATCCAAATAAGAAGAAGCCATTGAAATGTGGTTTAATAGATTGTAATAAAATATCAATATTAGAGACGCTTAAATTAGGGAGGACACGAAAATGAGAGTGAAGAATACATCCTTAGATTTAGAGAATGTGCCTGGATTAGGGATACCCCAATCTTTTTAATATTAGGAAATATATAAAAATAAAGAGTATATGGCATTCAAATACCATTTTCTTTATAAAGAATTTGTAAGAGGAGACTTCTTTATGGGGAGAGTGCTATTGAATGAATATAAATTATTTGATGAGGACATAATGGAAATGAAATATGATCTATCGGAAAGAAGTAGATTGACAGTAATTAGTGATGCAGCTAAGACTGAGGTGTACAAATTGGATAAGGGACTATTTCATTTGGTTAGCCAACCTTTGAAACAACATTTGATTGATGGAATTAAGAGAAAACCTGAATTCGATCATATTTTTGATTCTGAGGAGGCAAAGAAAGTTAAGAAATGGGATGCCTATAAGATGAATCTATTTAAAGCTGTGATGGACTAAAAGGAATTGAAAAATTGATTTTTTTTTTAATTAATTCATTATTACGATGAAATCTGGATTATGGGACAATATGAGAAAGATGGTCACTCTCATTGATGATCTAAGAGATTGTGGTGTTTAAGATTACATTAAATTGCCAAGAATATGTGTTGTGGGAATGTAGAGTGCAGGAAAGAGTAGTTTATTGGAAAATATTTGTGGATTGGATTTCTTACCTAGGGGTGATGTAATAGATTTATTGCTATCAAAAAAAGGGTGTTGTAACTCGTAGACCGTTGAAATTACGTCTTGTCCATATTCAAGAAAGATTATAACCTTGGGCAATCTTCAAGGAAGTACCAGAAAAGAAGTTTACAGATTTCACTAAAGTTCGTGAGGAAATCGATAGATTAACTGATGCTAAGGCTGGATAGAAGAAGAGTAAAGTAATTGTTTGAGCATAGACATCTTACCTGATCCTATCGAATTGACAATTTGGTCACCTGATTGTCCAGATCTTACAATTATAGATTTGCCAGGAATTACTCTAATCCCATTGAGAGATTCAGATCAACCTGACAATATCGAAGAAATTACATTAAATATGTGTAAAAGGTATTTCTAGTTTATGAAACCATAGATATTGCGAAGATGAACGAACCATCATTCTATGTGTAATGCCTGCAAGTTAGGATATTACAACATAGAGATCTTTGAAATTAGCTCGTCAACTTGATCCAGATGGCATGAGAACTATCGGTGTAATCACTAAAATCGATATTATGGGAGAAGGTTCAGATGCATCCAAAGTTTTTGTTGAATGAGGAAGTCAAATTGAGATTAGGATATATTGGAGTCAAAAATCGAAGCTAATAAGATATCATTAATAAAGTTCCTGTCTAAAAAGCACTTCGTCAAGAAGAGGATTACTTTGCTAATGACCCTAGATATGCAGGAATCCCTTAAGATATTTTAGGAACCAGAGCCTTAACTGAAAAATTGACAACTGTCTTATATCAACACATTAGAAAGTGTCTACCTGATATTATTAAGGAAATTGATACTAAAGCTGATGAATGCGAAGATAAACTCAAATTGCTTGGTACCGAGTTACCAAGAGATTAAAAAGACAAAGTCTAATTAGTTTTTAATTTACTTCAAGATTATACAGATGGATTTAAAAATACGATGGATGGAAAATATGATAAAAATGAAGCTACAATTACTGATGAGGAAAAGAAAATCGAACTCACAGGAGGAGCTAAAATTAAACAAATGTTTAATGAACTCTATCAAGAATATGCAGATGAAAAATATCATGTCACTGATTGTTATCTAGATAAAGATATTGAATTAGCTGATCAATTACATCAAGGAGATAGCATTCCAGGGTTCCCATCTTTTGATAGTTTTCTCTATTTAATTGTGCCTTAAGTTCAAGCACTCATCAGACCTGCTTAAGATGTTCTAGATCAGATATTCTAGTATATGGATGAAATCAGTTAATAAATCTTAAGAAAAGTATTCAACCCTCTTTTATATAGGTATTCACTAGATTCCCTTCAGTCCTAGACGAAATCTCAGAAATGAGTCGTAAAGTCATTGAGTCTCAAAGAGCCAAGGCTGAATAAGTTGTGATCAATTAAATTGATGCAGAAATGAATTACATTTATACCAATGATGAGGAATACTTAACAACCAAGGCAGATCTTGTATTTAAACAAAACACTAAGACTGTGGATCCAAAGAAGATCTTAGTCAGAGAACTCAGAAATAGAGTTGATCTTTATTACAAAATATTAATCAGAAATCTAAGAGATAGCATTCCAAAAGTAAACAATTCTTCTAATAGTTTTAGTATATTGGTTATTACTTAGTCAAATAAACTTTGGACAAAATGCAATTGGTTTTATACGATCAAATGAATAAGAGTGACAATGTTTTCTAAATGTTAGAAGAAGTAAATACATTGTTATTTATCAATTCTAGCCTGTCTACATCCTCCAAGAAAGATAACAACAACAAAAAACGTTGAAAGCATTGAAATAGGCAAAGAAAGTACTTAAATAAGACCCAGAGTAATTATTTTATCCATTATGCAAGTCTTTCGAAGGGCCGTGGTTGATTGAACATATTATAACATATTAAAATAATAAGTTAACATATTAAATAAGATTTAAAAATAATTAAAAAAATATTTATTGACCAATGGTGAAAATGAATGTCCTCAATGATTGCCTCCGTTCTATTGTGAACGCTGAAAGGTTGTACTTGTTGTCCTAACTTTTTTAAGACAAGGAAGAAAGCAAGTGCTCATTAGACCCACATCCAAATTAGTTGTGAAGTTCTTATAAGTTATGCAAAGACACGGTCTACATTGGCGAATTCGAAATCGTTGATGATCATAGAAGTGGCAAGATTGTTGTTGAATTATTGGGTATCCAATAATCATTAAATTGAAGGACGCATTAATAAATGTGGTGTTATCTCTCCTAGATATGATGTTACATTAGGAGAATTTGAAAGATGGGCTAACAACATTCTACCTGCTAGACAATTTGGTTGTGTCGTCCTTACAACCAATGTTGGAATCCTTACACACGAAGAAGCCAGATAAAGACATATTGGAGGTAAAATCCTTGGTTTCTTCTATTGATATCATTATAAACAAGTAGTACATTAAATATTTATGTATTTATCTAAGTAACTGGATTTAAATTAATTGTTCATTTATATATTCTATATTTTTAATCTTATTACAACTCTTTTGTCATTTACAAGCAATTCTACAATTGTAGTTCTCCTTCACTCTTAGGAGTTCAGACCAAAAAACAATGACTTGTTGAATGCTTTAACATTTTATCTCTTTGATTTAATATATTTATCTATAAATTTATATTCCATTCTAATTTGAGATATTTTTTATAAGAGATTAAGCGATTATATAGGAAAATTTATGAAAATGCTAGAATAAGAAATGGATTAATTCTAATAAATTTAGCTTTTATGTGAAGAAACTTTTTAAATAATATAATTTTAATGTTTTGTTGGTTTTTTCATTATTTTCCTTTTCTATTTTGAACGGGTGCTTGATTACTAACTGCATGTTCCTCAACAAGGGATTCACCTACATATTCATTAACTCTCTTTTTCAAATACTCATTGACTGTTGCGATCTTCTCTCTATAGATTAAAAGAGATTCCTCTAATAATTAGTTCTCTTCGTGTCTCTTCTCTTTTTCAGAATTGTACAATTTCTTCTTGTAATTATATTCCTCTAAAAAAGAAATAGTAATTAATCATTACCTTAGGTTAGACTTAAGATTCTCATGCTTTATTCTTGGAGTTCCTTCTTCTTGGTTAAAATATCTGAAGCTAATTCCTTATCATTTTGGAGTGAGTTCAAGAATTTAGCTTTGGCATCGTATTCTTATTTAAGAGATTCTTATTCAGCAAGCAAGTTGGTTTTGAAATCAGCAAAATCATTGGCGGATTAGATTTCTTATTCTTCTAAGCCTTTGATTGTTTCTCTCAATTTTTCAATTAATTATTGGATGATTCCAACAACATCCTTCTCGACTAATGAAGCCAATTATTCTCCATTACCATGGGATCCTTAAATTTGTTATGGAAAACTACTTGTTTATGCAAATGAGGTTTCTTATTCACCTAATTTAACAAAGTCTTAGACAGCTTGCTCTTCGAATAAGTTGGCATACTTGCTCAATTTCTCTGCATAATCTCCAATGTGATTCTTCTCTACAAAGGTACTTTATTTGCTTTGAGCATCACTTCTGACCCAATCAAGAACTGATAGAGCATTTTTGTATTCTCTAAGTGTATCAATGAAAAGAGCATTGGCTTCGCATCGTTATTCAGCCAAATTTTCAAGCTTGACTTCATTTGCCTTATATCGCTTGTTATTCCAATTCAAGTAATCAGTTGTTTATTGGATCTTAAGACTTGATGTTTTTTAATGATAAATAAATACTCGACAGCTTCTAAGTCCTATTAGGCTGCAGCAGCACTCTTTGAATTCACATTAACAATTCCTGAGAACTCATTGATGTCCTGTAAAATGGCTGATTCAAAACGTTAGAAGGTGAGGTCTGCTTTATCTTGGGCTTCGACATTTGCACCCTACAAGTCTTCAAGCAAAGTTAGCACTGATTGAATGGCATCTTGAGAACTTAAGACATTTGTTTTAGAACTAAGTAAATTCAAAAAGTCTGTATTGATCTTCTTGGGACTGCAAAATACGCTCTAGCTTAGAAGGAGAATGACTAACACTCCTGAAATACTCTTCATTCTTTATTCAATAATAATAATATTTATATAAATACCGTTTTTATACATTAATATACTTACTCATTTGAGAACACAATTCAATCTCTGTGAAAATTAAATTTTCAATAATTGGAGTTCGCCGGACACAGTAGAGATTCATAGCAGAAAATAAATGTGGAGAATTAAAATTCGAATGTATTCAACTATATTTGAAGAAATGATAAATTTCTATTTATTAAATTAATTAAGAGAGTGCTTAATTTTATTCATTCTAAATTTATCTGAATATAAAACCAAGTAGAAATTAAACCTAACTTAAAGGAATAAGTGTAATTATGTCCCTTAGATTTTGATTAAATTATTGAAACTTAACTGTTTAATAGATTAAACAAGTGGAGATTATAAATTTCTAGATGATGATAGTAAAAATAAATCTTAAGTTAATTTAATAATTCTTTGATAATTTGTTGTTGTATTATTCAAATATCAGGAAGGGGTTGATTGCACCCAGACCATTTGTTCATTACCTTCTTACCATCCTTAATGTCAAACCACAAATCTCCAATAATACCAATGTCCCTCAAGAATTTACCACTTGGTGAATGATAATCTTAATAAGTATCAGTATCATCAGTGTCCTAGATGTAAATATATTAAGAATTACTTCACTATCAGGGAAGTTGAGAGGGGGTGGGTGAGTGATTCTCCAGTGATCTTCATCTGGATATCTTTGGTAAAGGAATTCAACCCCTAAACAGAATAAGATGGAGAATATTACAGAAATAGACTAATGGCATAGTAGCCATTGCAGCCCATGGCCACATAGGTCCTCTCTTTCTGAAATGTTGAGTTCTGAAACTTTCAGTTTAGAAATCACAATCTTCTGATTCATAATCAAATTCATGGTTCACATCAGCATCTTAGTCTTGTTAGGCTGCAGTCAAATGTTAGATTGGTTGTCCTATTTATTTGTTTTCTGGTTTCAATAAAAGTGAAGGATTGTAAAGATGATCTTAAGGTAAGGCCTCAGAAGGATTGAAATGAACAAGCTTTCCTTCGAATGGCCATACGTATGTTTTTGGATCTGGACAACCAACATGTTTTGTTGGAGTGATGTAGTCTGGATTGTATTTTGGATCGTCTCTCCAGTCATAGGGTTTGCCATGAGCTTCATTGTAATTGACACCTGGATAATGCATATAGCCAGGACCCTCTATGATTCAATAATGAATGATTACACTCAAAATATGTATACAAATTCTGGTGATCTAAATGTTGAGTAATTGTATTGAATTCGACCTTGGGTCTGCCTCTACCATGAGGTACTCCATGTCCATGACCATGATCTCCATGTCCATGATCTCCATGTCCATGATCTCCATGACCGTGATCTCCATGATCGTCATGGTCTCCGTGATCGTCATGATGTGCAAAAGGATTGGGGACTCTAGTAGAATTAGCAAAGGTTTGAATTGTGACTTGTCTTAGTTGATTCTTCAATCCTCTAGATAAATGAATCATTTAATTTTAATTATACACATTCAGAATATCTTAATTATCTGTTAGATGAATTCAAACAATAGTACGGTTTCGCATTTGTCCGAAAACTACGAAACCAAATATTACCTTAACGATTAGGAGAAAGAAAATAAGAATATTTAAATACCAACTTTTAAATAATACTACGAACATAATAATACAACAACTTTTAATACAATCACATAAAAACTAACTAACACCATAAGTGAAATTTAAGAAACTGAAAATTCATTATATGAAACCCTACAGAAAACTGAGATCACCGAAGAACAAAGGTAACAGATTAAGTTAAGAATAATTAAATTATAAATGTTACAAGTCATCGCCTAGTTTAAGACAGAAACCAAATCAAATTTATCTGCACTTTAAAGAGAATTAAGAGAAATTTAAAACTACATTCTTCATGAATTGCTCCAATTTTGATTACTTCATATAACATATTAAGTTAATAAATTTTCATTTAGTAGTGAATGCATATTTTGAAGACGATCTCAAATCAACTGCTGATAATTTACTAGCACTTAATCTCAACTATTTTTTGTATCTCTCTTTACTCTCAACCAACTACTTAGATTATCTATAATATTTCTATTGACTTAAAAATCTTGCCTAATCTATTGGGAAATTGCTCAATAAATCCTTCTATCTAATGATCTCATCAGGTTTATGAAGAGCTAACATTTCTGAAAATTTCAAATCTGCTCTCGGATTGATCTTTTTAAAGATTTCATCAGTCTTATCAATATCTGGTTGATTTTGTAAGTCTGATTCGCATTTATCAATAGCCTTGCTATATTACTCTCTGAAGTAACCTACTACCTCATCAAATGCCTATTTTAAATATTTCTATCTCTAGTGATTGACTACCACTTCACCCTCCCTTTGTAACTTCTCCTTCTCCTCTATTTCCCTTAAGACCAGCTATTTGTAGTCTGGATTAATCAAAGATATCTCCTTCAATATCATTTCATCCCACTCAATCTTTCTTACATCTATAAACTATAATTATCCTGCATCTATTATATACAGATTATCGAAATCATCCCTAGCAAAATCCAATCTCAATTTCATTATTTTTCGTTGATGATATGCTTCAAAAAAATGGACAATCTAATACATATGATAACTAATAATATGATAGTGTATTACTATAAATATTGTGTCATGCTCTTCTTCTTTAACTCCTTTAAGTATAGTTCATGTTGACGGATGTGATTGCCTGTCTAAAAATTAGGATTGTTTATTTAGCAAATCTATTCTAAGGCTTTATCATATTGATCTTAATATTTGATATCATCCTTAATGTATGTGATACGTTGATACCGAGTCTTATTTAATTCATTTAATTTTAATTTCTATTCTTCAGTTAACTTCATACTATCATCTGCTATTTTTGTTTTGCTTAACTTTGCATCTGTTGGTTTTTCTTCTTCCTTCATTTTTTTTGGGTCTTTACAAAGTGATTACTTGGATAACCTATTATTCTCATATTTTTCTGGATTCTCCTTGGCTTTAAAAATAAGCTTTCCATAGAAATCATATGGGTACGCTTGAATCATAACTATTGTATCCCAAATTGAATCTATTTTTCTCTTTTCAAACAATTACATTGCTGCTAACTAAGACATTATCTATTCTCCACCATTTTTGAATTTAACCAAAATGAAATCCTTTTGAATTCCAATATTCTGAACATACTTCTTAATTCCCTATTAAATTTCAGCACTCTTCTAATCAAATTCCAAATTATTGAAATCTTTATTCTCTCTTTTCTCTGTAGCTGTCCTTAATTCTATATCATATTCTGTTCTCCTTTTTACTAAAAACTATCCTAGTTCTTATAAATTTGTTAATAAATGTCTGTCTCTTATGATTCTAAGACCTTTGTCTTTATCGTGATAAACCAACACACAAGGTTCTCTTTAATAGAAGAATAATGTATCCATGACTCTCATGTTTAAGGTCTTACCATTTTTTGTTGGCTACATCATTTTAATTGAAAGACCCAAGAAATCAATAGGATCTCTAATTTATGGTAATAATTATGATCCCCCATCTTTCTTCATAAATCTTACATGAGTCTATTCATCAGGTAAATATCGATCACTTGGTTGATCGTAGAAATCATCATAAACCAAATCCTTTTTTAATTGGTTGTCAGTCATTAGTTGATGGTGACATATTGAACAATCGCAATTAAATTTGGAATGTATGTGGTAATTCTTATTTATTTTCTCCTCTCGATCAGCATAAAGAGTAAGAATTTATTACATAAGTTCTTAATCCGATTCATTATTATTAATCATTTTAATAAAACAAGAATATATAACTTATCGAGCAGAATTAGAGAGTAAATATTCCCTATCAACCTATTCTCATTTTGTGATGGTGTTACACCTCTTTGCCTATTTATGGTGCTAGATATTAATACTATACTTCAATAGTGTATGAATGAAAGGAATATATCATAAAATGAAGATTAAAATTTCAATAAAATCATAATTATTGAATAAAGTGTAATATATTTTACTTTAAATGTAAATGAAAATATCAAAATATTCATTGGAAATTGTTACAAAGAAAAGATGATGAATAAATCTCCAAAATTACACTAAATTTACCATATTTCTTTTATTTATCATTTCAAATATTAACGCTATAAATATTAGGAGGAGAATGAGATTTTAGGTATCTGGAAGTAAAGAAAGAATTTGTATCAGAAATCAACAGAGTAAGATATTTAAATTTTAGAATGAATTAAAATAAAAATTTAAATATTTTTTAGTGACATAAACGACATGATAGGTTAAGAACACATTTAAATGTAAAAGTTCTTAAAAGAATGCGATGCATTGATAATTACAGCAGGGGCTGGTATGGGAATTGATTCAGGTTTACCAGATTATAGAGGAGATTAGGGATTTTGGAAAGTGTACAGACCTTTTTAAAATAAATATGGATTCCAAGATTGCGCAAATCCTGAATTCTTGAAGTAGAACCCACATTTATTTTGGGGTTTTTATGGACATAGATTGGAATTGTATACCAATACAATACCACACGAAGGTTTCTAAATAATTAAGAAGTGGTGTGAATAAAAAGATTATTTTATTATCACCAGCAACGTTGACGGTTAATTTTAGAAGGCAGGTTTTGACTAGAAGAAAGTCTATGAAATTCATGGTTCAATTCATACTTTTTAATGTACTAAATGTTCTAAGTTATATTTGGCAAATAAATTTCCAAAATTAAAAATTGATTTTTAAAAGTTTGAAGCTGTAGATCCTTTACCCAGATGTGAATTCAATCATATTTTAAGACCTAATATATTAATGTTTTATGATTGGGATTGGATTTCTACTATTTATACTAAATAATGCGAAAACTTCGAGGAATTTATGAATAAACACAGGAATAGCAAAGTTTGTGTGATTGAAATTGGAGCAGGGACTGCTATTCCAAGTATTAGAATAAAGGGAGAAGGGATCTTATCGGAGATTGAAAATTCTATCTTGATCAGAATCAATCCGTCGGAAAATGAACCTGAGGAAAACAAGAAATACTACAGTATAAAGAAAGGAGGGTTAGAAGGAATAAAATCATTGAATTATTTATGAATTTTATATTTTAAATTTTATATGGCTTATTTTGGAAATAATCAATAGCGTGGTGAATTATAAGAGTTGTATGCTGATTTGAATGACTTAAATTTTGAGAAAAAGAAAGAAGTATTACATTAATAAATGTCCTTTTAAGGCTGTAAAGAAGGTTATTGCATACATGACAGTTGGAAAAGACGTGTCACAATTATTTTAATCGGTAATCAAGTGTCTTGAGTTTTAAGACATAGAGATGAAAAAGTTGGTAATAATATTGTCCATTAATTGTAGATTTACTTGTATATAGTGAATTATTCTCGTTAAAAACCAGATGATGCCATAATGGTGATCTAAAATTTTAGGAAAGATGTTCGCAAATCAGAAAATCCATTGGTGAGAGCTTTGGCAATACGAACATTTGGTTGTTTGAGAGTTCCCAAATTGAATGAATATTTGATTGAGCCACTTAAAGATTGTATTTCAGATGATGATCCTTATGTACGCAAAACAGCTGTCTTATGTGTTCCCAAAGTAATTTTCATTCATTTTTATTAGGTATTTGAAGTATCACCTGAATTATGTCCACCTGTACTGGAGTAATTGCAGAAACTATTGGAAAAGGAATCAAATGCCTTGGTTTTGGCAAATTTAATTTAGTCCATGAGAGAAATTGAAGTAGTTAATGGAAAACAATTAATTCTAATGAATCCAAAAATTATTCAAAAACTGCTATTGGCTGTTGACGAGTGTATGGAATGGGGATAGATCTTCATTCTTGATTATTTGGCTACTTATGATCCTGCTGATTCAAAATAAGCCGAAATTATTATTGAAAGAACATTGCCAAGATTGAGTCATATCAACCCTACTGTAACCTTTTGTGCAGTCAAACTCATCCTTAAATATTTAGATTATCTTGATAATGGAGATCTAGTCAAGAATCTTTGTAAAAAGATCTCTCCTTCCCTTATTTCATTGCTTTCTTGGAATCAATCTGAGATTTAGTATACCATTCTAAGAAATATATCGTTGATACTATAAAAGTTCCCTATTCTATTTGAAAACGAAGTCAAAGTCTTTTTCTGTTCATTCAATGAACCATATTACATTAAATATGAAAAGTTAGACATTATGGTTAGAATTTGTGATTCAAAAAATTTCACTTAAGTCCTGAACGAATTAACGATTTATATTAATGAAGCTGATCCTCACTTTGTCAGAAAAACCATTAAATCAATTGGTAAAATTGGCATGATGTATGATAAAGCACTTAATGAGTAATAATTATTTAATAACTTAGAGCTGTTTCAATCTTAGTAGAATTTGCAAAAAATGTCTAATAGGCCACTGAACCTGTTCAAGAATTATTCATTCAAATGCAGATTCTCTACAGAAAAAATCGAAATCTATATAAGACTAATGATAGTCTTAAAATACTGTTTAACATCCTTGAATATGCGAATGAAGCAGAAGCGAAAGTATCTTTATTTGTCATCTTAATCTCTAGAGTGCATGTGCTTGGATTGTTGGAGAGTTTGCAGAATTCATTCCAAAATCTGTTGAAAAGATGAAAGAATACATTGATAATTTCTTAATTGAAGATCGATTGGTTTAGCTATAACTGTTGACATCAGGAGTTAAACTCTACATTAAATATCCTTCATAATGTTCAGCACTCATTTAATAGCTTATCAATTCTGCTAAGGATTCTTTCAATCCTGATGTCAGAGATAGAACATATATTTATTGGAGACTTTTGTCTACTGATCCAGAAGTAGTCAAGAATTTAGTTTGCTCTGCTCCTATAGGTTCTTCTCAATTTTAAAAGGATATACGTTTGTGGGAGACTAAGGATTTAATTATTGCCTTAGAAAATATGGGAAGTATTAGCAATCTATTTCACAAATTGCCAAATTAACTGTACAAAAATATCAAAGTTAGAAATAAGTATAAATATATCTTATTTAAGTCATCAACAAGAAGCAAAAATATATAAGGCTGATGAAAAATAAGAAGCACCATAGAAAGATTAAGAAATTAAAAAAAATGATTAAAATTAATAATAACAATAATAATAATAATAGCAATAACAATAACAATCACAATAACAAAAATAAGATTTTGATCTATTAAATTTTGATGAACCTGTTTCGAATAATAGCAATAACGCAAACAATAAAGTAGATGTGTATGATTTAATTTGAATATCAATAACATTAAATAGTTAATTTTCAGCATCTTTCCAAAATAAGTTTTTTTTATCTATCTACAGAAAACATTGATCTTTTATAAATAATATGAAATAGTGAATTTATAACGTACATACATTAAGTTTAATAATTCAACTATGAACTCAATAAATTAACCTCTCTTGTGAATCAATTTCCAATTTTCTTTTTACCCCACAATCCAACCTTAAAGCTTCATTTTAAAACTCATTTAATTATTATTATATTTGATGGGCCAATTAAAATTGATCTTCCTAAATTATGGTTTTTATTTTTACTTTTGCATATTTAATTACTTTTTCTTTTAATTACTAGATTTATTATTGTATCTCAGGATAATCATTTTCTTAATTGAGCAACTACTATTTATGAATACTATCCTTATCGATTCTTTAATTATTCTATCCTAATTATTCCTCTCCAGTTATATCTATTGGAATGTCTTAAGAAAATTTTTTATTTGAATTAAGCATATCCTCATTCTTTTGTTATAATAATTTTAATTCACTACTTATCTAAAATATAAGTATTTATTATACCTCTTAAATTAAAGAAGACAGTCCTTAGAATCCTAATTATTAAATTTATTTCAACTTTAATTCTTAAAATTAATATCTTAGAATTTCAGTAACCTAATTCAATTACTTGAACTACTATTATTTAAGTAATAAAGTATCTTCAATATCATCTATTTATTGGAGGAGCTATGATTCTTTTTATTAATTTTGAGAAATATTATTTTCAAAGAGAATTATTTACTTTTATACTTCCTTTATTTGTTCATTGATCTGTGCAGCACCTTTAAAATTTTTATTTTAAACAAATTGTGCTTTACAATCAATCATTTTCGGTAGCTTAATTTGAAGTTCACTTTTTTAATTTAAAATTTCATGCAATTATTACTAACTAATGTTTCTTTGGTATTTTAATCCATCAATTTATCTTTAAACCTATTATAACTCTTATAATAGGCTGAAACTGACTTACTTTTATACTTAATACTTATGAAATATTTTTATTTCTTCTTAACATTAAACTGGTATCAAGTTAGTATTCTCTAAAAGATTAGATCTTTTTTCTTTGATGATATTCAAAGAATCTTATAAATCCTAAAGTTTATTTTTGTAATCTAATTATCTTTTGATACATTCATTTTCTAAGTTTTCAATTGATAGTTTTTCTACACTTAACCCTTTTAATTCATCAAGTAATTTTGTTCTTTTATTCTAAACTTTTCCTAATTGTTGATTAAATTTCTATTAAACTTATTATATCTTATCTTTTGTTTAAATTAATTCTTAATCTGTGAGCTACAAGTCTAAGATCTTTTAACTCAACATCAATTACAGTTATGTTATTTCAGAGTTTAAACTTAATTTCTTTTGCAATAGAAGATCCTAAGATACCCTATAATCTTTAGTTTGATTATCCATTATTTAATTTAAATGTTATTCTTCTTCATCTAAATGCTTATAATCAATGTCTATGTGAATCTATTAAATTTTGAGCCTTTCATTCTCCTCATCAAGAATTTGCAATAATCTTTTAATTTAAGATGAACCTTCTTATTAGTATTAATCGATATATTTCAAATGAAAGTTTTCAATTTCATCCAATTTTTAATCGGTAATGTTATAGTATTTTAATTCTTCTGATTTGATTTTTAGCTTTTCATTTTAGAAATTGTTAAATTCAAATTCATAAATTTTAATTTCCTCTTCTATTTTTTAAATTGTATTTTAAATTTAAACATATTACTCTTATAAGGAAATTTCAACTTATTCAGGTGAAGCAAATGTCTATTACTCAACAAATATTTAATTTAGTTGATTCTGAAAATTGTTTAATTATTAATGGTTCAAAGCTAAAATTTATTAAATAATATTACATATCAAGGATTCTATTTTTTACTGTTGTAAAAATATTTCACACTTCCTTTAGTCCTTTTCCTATTAAAAACAGTGTAACTACTTTATTAAAGTTGAATATTGTTCAAGGTGGGAGCCATCGATTTGAGTGTGCATATTTTAAATTAAGTTTTTGTAATTTTAAGCATCAGTGATTTATTGTACATCCTTCTACTCGAGGGTGGAATGGTTAGTGTTGACTTATGATTATTAATAGCCTTCGCTTGCTTATTAGTTGGTCATTTCATTATTTTGAAAAGAAAAGACAATTTAATCCTGAGGATATATTTATGTAGAATTTTGTTGACTATTCATTCCACATACTATAAAACTTTCATTTTGATCTTAGGTTGATTCATCTGTTGATTAGGATGTTTCCTATTTAGCCTTTTAAAGAAAACTAAAACCAGAGGTAGCTTTCTTAACTTGTGCAACATCAATTTTGATTTCTACATTTTAGTCTACATTATGCTAATCCAAGGGGAATTCCATAATTTGACTTTACTGATTATGAGCTGAATCAATAATGGAAACAGGAGGGGAGCTAGCTTTCTTTTATGTGTCCTGAGTTATATATTGTGGGTTTGATTATTATTATGGAGGAGTTTACAATGTGGTTTTGACTTTCAGACTTCCTTTAAACATGGATTCTTTGGGAGTTATTAATGAAGGAACAAGTTGGTTTTATTAAGAATTCGATGACATTACCTGTTTAGGGGGAGTGGTTGGATTAGATTGTAAATTATGTTAGTGTTCCTTGTTCTTAAATTTGGAAAACATTTATTTAATTAAATTATATATGTCTTGTCAGAGAATCACAGTAACTAAAAGGGGAGTTGAATTGTAAGAGTAATTAAGGGAGATTTTGAAGAAGAACTAAAAGATTCTCAAGTTGGAACCTCAGCAAGGTGTATTACAATAATTAGTATAGAATAGATGGTTCAAGTGATCTGTTGAAGAGATAAAATATTGGCAAGGAATAATTTGGAGGGTATATTGAGCTTCTGGAACAGAGATTGAATTCTCCAGAGAAAATTAAAGTGTTTCTAAACCAGAGATTTAACAACTAGCCAAAATTTATATAGAAAGAAGTCGAGAAAGTTAGTTAGAAGATTTACAATTATGGAAATTCATAGTTTAGGTCACATCATTCTCTGCCGTCCCTAGATTTTAGATAGGTCTAACACTTAAAGACTAAGTATAGCGATGGATTTTGGGATAGTTAGAATCCCTCAATGTCTGGAAATACGTGTAATATATTTGTATTTGATAAGTCTACAAGCCTAAGGACGAGGAAGTCAAAACGAGGAAGATCAATTACCTAATGTTTTAGGAAGCCAAAATTGAAAGAATGATCACAAAATACGATAAATTTAATGAAAAGGCTTAATTTATTCCTAGTTTTGAAAAAGGAAAATAGAAAAGCTAGAATTTAGCCACTGAACTATTAAAGGCTATGGAAACCAAGGATACAGAAACCAGAGTGGAATCAATCTAAGAAATAAATTAGAAACATGCTAAGGATCTTGATTTAATGGAATACAACAGTTAAAGAAGAGAGAGGTTTCTTCAAACTATGACTGAATTGCATAATAAAAAATATAAGCGTTATTGGTGCAAACTAAGAATGGCCAAATGATTGATAATAAATATTAAAGTTTAAAAATATATTTTTAAATATGGGCAAGAGAATTCGAAGTAAGCATCTCCTTTTATATCCTACTAGCACAAAGAAAGGGTAAATCCAACAGTGTCTTCAAAGCACATTAAAATCAAAGAGTTGGAAGTCCCTAATATAGACATCTTGATTATGCTGAGAGACATGGTTATGTGAGAGGTGTGATCTCTGAGATTATTCATGATCCAGGAAGAGGAGCTCCATTGGCCAAAGTTGAATTTAATGATCCTTACAAATACAAAAAACAAACTAAACTCTTTATTGCTCCTGAAGGTGCTTATACTGGATAATACATTTATTGCGGTGCTAAGGGTATTCTATTGTATTCATCAATTTCTAGCATAATTAGCAACTGGAAATGTATTACCTATTGGATCAATTCCAGAAGGTACAGTTGTTTGCAATTTGGAAGAGCATCCTGGAGACAAAGGTGCTTTAGGAAGAGCTACAGGATGTTATGCTACTATTATTGGTCATTCAGACGATGGAGCATAAACTAGAGTTAGATTACCCTCGGGTACAAGAAAAACATTGAGTTCACTTTGCAGAGCCACAGTTGGTTTGATTTCTGGAGGTGGAAGAACTGAAAAACCAATCCTCAAAGCAGGAAGACAATTCCATAAATATAGAAGACTAAGAAAGGTATGGCCTAGAGTCAGAGGTGTTGCCATGAATCCAGTAGATCATCCTCATGTATTTCTTTTGATTAATATTAACTTAGGGTGGTGGTAATTAATAACATATTGGACATCCTTCCACTTTATCCAGATATGCTCCTCCAGGTCAAAAGGTTGGTCTTGTAGCTGCCAGAAGATCAGGACTTCTTAGAGGAGGTGCTTAACTCAAACAAATGGACGAAGACTTGGCTGCATAATAGGCTAAAAAATGATGTTTTATTTATTCTTGTACAATATTAGAAACCTACATTATTCTCATTTTAATGAAAAAAACAAGTATTTATTAAAATAAAAAATAAATGAACAATTATATGAATTAAAAGAAATTATAAGTTGAATAAAAATCTCCTAGACTGTTGATCTTCCCAAAATAAAAATAGAATTAAGTAAACAGCAGAGCAGCAATGAACTATTTTACAGAAATGAAAAAGGAACACTAATAAATTAATCAAAACAAATAAGTCTTACCTCCAGAATTCTATATATCATTATTGTCATTAGAGCCAAAACAATCACAATTACATAACCCAAATATCGAGTTGATCCGAACCTTAATTGATAGTTATCTAATTATCATCGAATAACTAAATGGACAAGATGGATTGATGATTTATTTTAAGGATAAAATTAATAGCTTATTAGAACAACCATAAGTTAGATAATGCATATAAAAAAGTGATGATGCTTAATTGCAACAAATGTTAGAGAAAAGTCAACAATCTTATTGTAAATAGTCAAATGTGGAAGAGATGGAAGCATATATGAATATGAACAAACCCCAGGTTAGAAACTCCTTAGCAACCTTTTTAACTATGCACGATAGATTAGAGAAGGAATATGACAAGGCATAATAGATTTTGTAGGATTATGACGATCATGTTGCTCAGTTTGATGAACTCATGTAAAAAGATCTTGATAACCAAAAGAATGCTTTGGAAGATAGGCTGAAAAAAAGAAGTAAATTCTATTAAATAAAATATAATAGGTGATATTAAAAAAAGGTATTCCGGCCATGAATAGAGACCTAACCCTAATGATTTTTGATAATTTTATTTGTATAATTTATTGTTTATTCTGCAATAATTTAATTATTATTACTAAATTATAATCAATCCTGATGAAGGATTATGTGGGCATAATCATTGCTTATAATATTTTTCAGATGCAATCTCAGTTTTTTTATGTACTTGAAAGATACTCTATAATCGATCTTATCAACATCAACATTATAATATTTATATTACAGCATCACATTGTAAATTGAATGTAAAGAACAGTCGTAGGTATTCTTCTACTATTCAACTTAAACACATTATAAATTGAGTTATATAGGAAATATAGATGCTACAACAGATAATATTTGTTTATCATTTTAATTATTATAGGAGTTAAGCATATACAAGGTTTTGTTTTAGTATACTAAAACTAAAAAATGTATTTAATCAGCATTCAAAATAAATATTATTTTGTTATACTTTTAGCATCCCTTAATTATTTATTCATACTTCAATGGTAATTTAATATTTTTCTGATCTAGTTAGCTGATTTGGCTTGTAAATAAATCTTACGATTCAGCCGTATTAAATAGATAGATCTATCCTTTATTAATGTTTTTATAATAATCAGTTAGGAGACACATATAGAAGTCGATTAATACTTAATTTATCCAATTCTCACTAGTCAACCCAGAAAAAAAGTGATTATTAATTGAAATATCTTTATGATTAACTAAATACCTTGTAGAGATTGTATTTTCATCAAATTTATATTCAAACTCTTTCTCTTTTTGATCATTCTTAAAATACATTTTCTATTTTTGGGTTCCATTTTAAGTAGAAAGAACAAACAATCCTTATTTCATACCGTTATAATAATATCCTGTGGTGATGGTTTAATTGGGATTACTAGTCATTGAATTTCCATGTTTGAGTCCATTCTAAAAATTGCCTTCAAACTTCTGTTTTTAAAATTTCATATCCAAACTACCTTTTCCATTTGCTAATCCATCCACAAACTTACACTTAAATTCAAACCTTCCTTCACAATCTAAGACTCCTTGTCCATTAGGTAGATAAGTTAATTAATCAATTGGTCCTGTATATTTGAACACAGTGCTATCTAGGTCTCCTTGGAGAGGATTACAAAAAGGAATTCGAGTGGATATGTAAACATTAGTATCATAGAAATTGTAAATATCATTGCTTATTTTTGGTAATTTAATTCTATTTAATATAAATTGATTACATGTCTCCGCTTGGTCTTAAAATGAAAGTCTTTCTAGTTAAAATCTTTAAAGCTACAAATTATTAGTCTGTATTTCCTTTTTTTTATTCATTTTAAATCACTATAGCAATTTTATGATACAATTAATCGATTTACTTATTGAAATTGGCAGCAACAATCTCTTCTTGGTTGTCTTGAATGTTTAAATTACTGAGACTCAACAAAATCCCATAAAATTATTTATATGTATCATCTGAAATTTAATTTTTATATTTTATTTCTGAGGTTAATGATTCATCTATGAAATAAACTTCTACTTCCTGTTTTGGGTTTTTCCATATATAAAAATTGCTTAGATTATTTTTTATTAGTTGTTCAGCATCTTATTTTAGTTGCAACTTATTTAGAAAATGATTGATGATGTTTCTGAATTTTTCTTTTAATTAAGTTCTGAACATAGTAAACAAATCGGCATGATCTTTATTATTCTATTTTCCAAACAACATATAAGAATTCTCCTTCTTCTCCTTATAAAATGGAAATAGGTCTGCTAACATAATAATGTAATCCTATCTAATTTATTATATAATTATTATATAAAAAAAATGAATTTTCGTTTTTTAATTCTTCTCCTAACAATTGCATTCGCTTATGATCGAGTGAAAGCAGAGTAATAAATTGAGAAAAGCATCACGTTAGAAGAATCTAAGTTAATCTAAGAGATCACATTTTCAGAAACCTTTTAGGAAACACCAGTTGTCTACATCACCTTAACAAAACTATCAATGGCCAGCTAAAAATATGGATTTGAAATTGATGTTACTGAAGTGAATACCAAAGGGTTCAAAATAATATATAAAAAATACATTGATGATCCAATAACACTACAAGTTTAATGGTTAGCCATTTTTGATCCTAGAGTTGAAGTGGCTTATTACACCTCTTTTAAATAATAATTGATTGTTCCAGTGTATGAGGATAATTTTGCATATTCAATTATAGGTGTTCAAGGAAGTTCGAATTAAGTTGGAATTTAAGTTGAAAAAATTGATAATGGGAATGCATATTTACAAGTCACAAACTCTGTGAAAATGATAAAATTATGTATAATATCTGGGTCCAAACATGCTTTGTATCCTAAATTTATTCCATTCTCTGTGTCTAATAATCATCCTTGGCTTAAAGAACAGAAGGGAAAAGCATTTATTAGTTTTTCATACGATCTTAATGTTAATAAGCCTATCTTGATTGGCGGTATAACTGAATTCCTATTCAAGAGTTAAGCAATCAAGATCCAACTACAAAACTTAAAATATGATGATAAAGTATTAGCAGAAATTGGAACTTGTAATTTAATTAAATGATTATTAGGGAATGACGCCCAATTAGTGTAAGCCCAAGTTTCAATCTTGGCTTATATAATAGATGAAGATTTGATTATGTCAGACAAGAATTGTGTTGAGTTGTTTGAATAGTGCTACTTTTAAGGAAAAACTATTAAGATTTGTAAAGAAGGAGATGGATAGAACTTGGGAACTGAATTTAAATTCAAAAGTTTTATTGTTCCTAGATTCAAACAGTTTGAACTTGTAAACAATAAAGATGTTCAATAATTAATGGGAATAGAATCCTGTGTTGATGAAATGATATTGAAATGAAAATCAATTTTATTTTTGATTATTATTATTATTAACAAATTAATTATCTTCTGCTTCTTCTTCTTCTTCCTCATCATCATCTACATCTTCATAATCTTCATCATTATCCTCTATTTCCTCACCCTCCTATTATTATTACTTCTTAACAATAATATTTCCATCTTAATCAATATTATCAGCTGTAATCATTTCATCCATAAACTCATCTCCCTCTTCTTCCATTTCTACATTTGCAGTCGCTAATTCTGTAAAAATATCATTTATTTTCTTTTTTGCTTCCTATGATTATTTACTAAGATCAAAATAAATCTATCTCAAAAGGTATAATTACTTAATATTCACCCTTCCCTAAATTTACTATTTCAGCAGGGTTTTCTTATTTAATTAATTCAATTAATGCTTCTTATTCTTCTTCTAAATCCATTTCTTCCTCTTCTTGAGAGCCTAAGAAACACATAAACTGATCCCCTTATTCGCCATGTGAGACCAATGTTTCATAACTAAACATAAAAGACTTTCCATTAATATTAGAAACACAGGATGTATTTTCTTCTGCTTTCTCTATTAATATCTCTTTTTATATTTGTTCATTCGTTGATTATTCATTATTTTATGGTTAACAATACCAACACAATCTCTCATTTGTAATAAGTAAATTTCCTGAATTTGGAACAAACTCAATTTCCTTGCCATTTTAACCAATTAATTTCACTTTAATGTTTTCGAATAAGTGAAATTGATCTTCTGATAACATTGGCTAAAATGGATACTATATCTCATTCTGAACCTCTTGATCATTAGTTTAATCCATTTATAACCAATATATATAAATTATTTAAATAAATTTTATTGTATGTTCCATAATGAACATTTTATCTAGATTGACTTCTATATTTTTCATTTATTACTATTTCAATGGAAACAATCGTACCTTAAAAATTAAGAAAATAATTTATATTAAATAAATTGATTAGCATTTATTTTGCAAAGGACCTTAAATAATTATGCACGTTTGAAAATATCAATACGCCCGGATAGCTCAGCTTGGTAGAGCGAGAGACTCTTAATCTCTAGGTCCAGGGATCGAGACCCTGTTCGGGCGTAAATTTTTTAATTTTTAAATTATTAATTATTTTATATCAAATTAAAGGAAAGTATTGCTTTTATGATTTTAAACAATTATGTGAAGAATTGAATTTAATTTATATCATCCCATTATTATAATTGACTTGCTTTATACTTTCATAACACATTTTTGATTTTTCAAAATTATATCATCCCTAGAAATAGGATAATGAAGAATTGGTTTAAAATATATCATTAAATTTTAAACATATTAATTATATCATTTTTGAAAATCACTCTATCCAATCATTGAATCATCGTTCTGCCCTTATTAGTTTCCATAAAAGTAATATTTGCTATTTTGGAATGATTGCTAAGTCAAAGGAGCGGTCTTCTCATAATTGGTTATATCAGCTAAATTATTCTTTTTTAGGACTGATATGTTGGCAGAAGATGTAGAAGTGTTATTAGAATGGGTTGGACTTAATTTTTAAAGTCCAATAGCTTAAATGATATAAAGATTACATACTTGATATGTTATTGATTGGATTTCGGTATGTACTGCCTGTCTTGATATTATTACTTGTCATGTTATGGGCAGCAACACTACGTCTGGTAGCTCTTTATTCATTTTTTAACTTTTCATTTTCTCTCAGTAAATTATTCCTTTTTCTCTCCTATTTTATCTAATTAATCTGATAATTCATTTTTGATATTATTTAAATGATCTCGATCCAAATTCACCATTTAGCTCTCTCTTTTTCAAACTCAAAAATAAGGGTTGACCTTTTACTCTCAACCTCCTTATATTTTGTTTCCAATTCTACTATTTTAGCTTTCAAGTTCTCTCTTTCTTATTCTAACATCTTTTAATATTCAAAGATCTTATGATCCCTATCCTATTTAATGTTTTCTATTTCTTATTATAATCTCTTTTCATTATCTAGCATTTCAGCAAACTTCTTTTCTGACAATAATTAATTACCAATTTTTCCATGCTGATCAATTAAAATCTTATCTTTATGAGTTTTAACTTCTTTCTATAATCTCCTAATTTTATCTTCATAATCTTAGACTATTCTTTAATGAGTTTGATTAGCTTCTTCAATTTATGATTAATATTTTCTTTCAACACTTAATAACAACTCATTTAAATTGTTTTCTTACTCATCCTTTTCATTTGATCTAGCTCTTTATAAATGCATTAAAGTCATCTCAAATTTTTTTAATGCATCTACTAAATCCTATTTTGCCTATTCCTTTTGTTATTCCAAAAATTAAAATTTGCCTTCCCATAAAGCTTTATCTCTTTCATAACTAGTATGAATTTCGCTCTTTTCTTATTCCAATTAAAGATTAAATTATTTATATTTTTCTAATTCTTACTACAATGATTTCTTGTCTGTAGCTATTTATTCCCTCAAAGCAGCCTGCTATTAAGCTACACTAGCAGATTCATCCTTTATTTTTGATTCTAATTCATTCTTTCTTGATTCTAAATGTCCTAGCTTTTCATTTAGGATTGCTTTCTCTCTCTCTAAAGTTGATGCTTACTTATTATATTGATATTCGCTTTCTTTCAATTATTTCTTAATCTTCTCATACTTAGTTTCAATAGCTGTTTTTTCCTCTTATGCTCTTTCCATTTTTATTCTAATTCTACTGAATATTCATTCTTTTATTGTTTAATTTTCTCATCAAATCTTGATTGCTAAGTATCTATTTATTTTTATAAATCTTCAATCTTCTTCTACAAAAATTCATTTTACTATTAAATTAATGCTGTTTCTCTGCCATATTCAATCTTCTTCTCTAAAAATTCATCATTCATCTTTTAAAGTCTTTGCTTTGTCTCTTCTAATCTATCAATCAATTCTCTCTTTTCTTCTTACCATTCTTTCCTTGTTTATTCAAATTATTATTCCTTCCTTGTCTTCTCATTTTCCAAAAGATCCTTCTTTTATTACAATGCCATAAATTCTTTTTGTAGATTATTTAACTAACTTGATAGAACATCAATTTTAGAAATTAAGCTCTTTCTTTCTGTAGTGAAAGAGTTCATCTATTATTCTAAAGTAGCATTATTGTTATTCTAAAGTGATATGAGTTATTCTTTAGTTTCTTTAATATGTTTTTCAAATATCTCGATAGTTTACTACTTCAAAGCAATCTCATGATCATATTATTAAATTGTATTTGTATATTGTTATACTTGATCTCTTAAGTCATCCTTTAGTGTTTCGATTTCTTCTTCGTAATTTTATTCAGTTTCTCTGAGTTTATGATAGAATTCTTCTTAAGCAGCTTAGAATTTCTTTTCGCTCTTCTCTTTCTCCTCACATATTCTTCTTTCCAATCTTTCCCTTTCAATTTCATAGAAATTCTTCAACTAAGTCAAAGATTCTTCTGCTTTTGATTGAGCCAAATTAACCTCCCTTGCTGTTTTAGTATCAGCTTCATCCATAGCTTATTCTAATGACTTAATCTTCTTCTAATACCTTAACTCTTATTCTATTCAATATTGATAATTTCTATCCATCTAAAGTTTTATTTTGTTCAAGCAATTTATTTTTTTGTTCTTCTGTGCTCTAGAGTTATTCCTTAAGATTCTCAATCTCCTTAATCAGATCTCCAGTCTCAAATTTAACTTTCAGTTCCAATTCACTATTTCTCTCATTCAATTGATCTACTTATTATTATAATCTCTTCTTAACACTTTCATATTCATTCTCTATATTTTTAAGATCTCTCCTATGTTGTTCTCTTAAGTCATTCATTTTGGCAGCATCAACTTTATAAGTAGATTCATTGCTTGAATTCTCAAAAGCCTTCATAATAGCCTCATGAGACTTTTTATTTTCTTCAATTTACTTTTTGTATTCATCCAATTGAACCTCCATGAATTCCATCTTTTATTACATCAAAGCTTTATCTTTTTCACTATGACTCTTAGTTTATTTCAATTAATCATCCTTAGCTTTGATTAGATCCTCCAATCCTTGAACCTTCTCTAGCAATTCATTGACTTAATTATTAGCATCATTCTTTAACATTTATTACATCTATTCTTCATTTCTCTTGTATTCTCTGAGTTCTCTTGTCAATGTTTGTATTTATTCATTCAATTCAAAGTTTTATTTGGTTAAACTTCGTTCTTTATGTTCAAACTTTTTGAAGTCATTCTCGAAATTGGATTCTTTCTCAATTAATTCATTTTCCATCTCATTAAGTTTCTCCTGCAAATCACTGAGTTTCTATTATAATTATCTAATCATTTAATCAGACTTTGTTTGTTAATCCTTTGATTGTAAACTATGCTCTTTTCTGAGATTTTTTATTTCATTCTAATATTCAACTTCTTTTGCATTCATCTCATTGACTAACTTCTCAAAGAAAGTAATTTTTTATTCCAAAAGAGCTCTCTCCTTTTCAAACTCAGAATTTCCAAAAAGAGTATTCCTCTCCATATCCTTATTGAATTCTTCTGCTTTTAAGACCTATCCCCTTAATTCTTAAATTTATCTAGTTAATTCAATTTTTTCATTTTCAGATTCTAATTTCAAATCCCTTTCTACTTACTCCTTTTGTATTTTAAGTTCTTCTAAGTTATCCCTGGCAACTTACTCCCTTAGTTCTATTTCACTTTTTTCACTCTCTACTTATGCCAATTTCATCAACAGATTATTTTTATCTTTCAAACTATCCTATCTAACTTCTTTCAATTCCTATTCTAATTTTTTTTGAGTCTCAGAAGCGACATTTTTCATCATATCTGTCTCTTGAGCATATTATCTAATAAATAGATTAGATCCTTCAATTAAGGCTCTTTATAGATATTCTAAAATGATTTAATTTCTAGTTCCCACTTTAGGTCCATTTTCAATAAAAAAGTTGTAAAACATTTTGATATCTTTTTCATACTCTCCAAAAGATTTGTATTCTCCTAGTTTAAGTTTTCTATCGATTGGCTAGAATTCTTATTAAATGAATTAAGAGCACATTCTTGAACCTTCTCTATCATTTTCCTATTTCACTGCAGCAAATCTCTATTTAATTCTTCGTTATAATTCGAATTTGTATTCATCAGCATCTCCAACACATTTCTTTTTGAATAAGGCGAAGGCCTATTCCTTAAGACTTTTATTAAAGGCTTTTAAATCTTCATTAGAGATGGGGAATCTATTGTGAAGATTTTCCTTAAGGATTTATTCATAAGTATCAAATGCTTCAGCAACGGCCTTTTAACATTCATTCTTGCAAATATAAGTCCAAGCAGATTCAATGGCAGGGACAGCTCCATTATTAATGGCTGTGACATAGGAACGAATTAAATCACAATACATTTAACCAGAAAGTGTCTTTCCATTCAACATTTTTGGTCTGATTCTATTGAGTATTTTTTTTCTTAGATTGATGACCTATTCAAAAAATTCAGGTCTTAACTTATCAAAATCTAAGTTTTCTAAATTTTGGAGACTGCTTTCTTCCGTCAAAGGTCTTACTAATGTAATACAATCTCTATCTTTAAAAAAGGTTGACAACAATTTTCTAATTTTATTCTTCTGATCAATTCCTTCTGAGGATCCCTTCTAGATGACAAGTGCATTTTCTAAGTAATCCTTAGATGTAATTTGTTCTCTGTTCTTGTCAATTAGTTGAAGTGTAAAGTCTCTCACAACCCAATAAAATTGTGGAAAGTATTATGATAAATCCTCAAGTTCTTGAAGGGATTACCCACTAAAAATAATAAATTATGGTTTACCTCTTTAATTAAATGTTTTTAGTGAGATTGACAACGAGACTAAGGTTTTGAAGGGCATTTTCATCGATACTGCCCACAGAATTGTAGATGAAACATGATGTCAATAGAATGGTTAAAGAGAAGATTCTAATATCATGCGTAGAGTCTTCATCTGGAGCACCCAATCCTTCGCTATCAACGACTAAGATTGAACAGCTTTCTCCATCACTCGTTTAACCTAGTAATGGTTTGCCCCACATCCAAAGTCCCTTAGTGCATGGTAGTACAGTTGGACCAACACCAAAACCGTCAGATCTATTTAGAAGCATTCTATTGAGGAGGTAGGATTTCCCTGTTCTATACATGCCTGCGACTCCAACTATTCCGATGGGTGATGGAATATTTTTTATTATTTCTATCGCATCAGGGTTTACTTGATAAGCTGTTGTGATTTAGCAAATATTTACTTTGTGTTTCTTATTAGTAAAAAATAAGAGGCATTGCTTCTTCTTTGAATGATTTCTTCATTTTGTGTAAAATTTGAATTTAAAATTAATGAAATGTATAAATAAATAATTAACTGCTATTAAACAGTTCAAAGTTATTTACCAAAAATATAATCCCAAAGTTTCATTGATTAAATTGAGTACTAATATTGATGAAATTTTTGTAAATTGAATTATAAATAAGTTTATAGCATTTACGAGTGATCTGAATTTATCAATTTAAAATTAAACTTTATCTTACATATAAATGATTAAGATAAGATGATTATCCAATAAAATTTATATTTAGTACAAGAAATTTCATTTAAATTTACATACCAAGTGTCTTACTCTATCAAAAAGGGGATCAAAGTAAGTTAATTGATTTTGAGATCATTAAATTTAATAATAAAATATTAAATAATGCACAACCCCTAAGATTAATTAAGAAAGGCCTTGAAACGTTACAATAATAATGATAAGCCTAACAATAATCGCAATTGTAGATCTCAATAACTTTAAATGCCATAAGTTCCTAAGGGAATGCTGAGTATGAATAGCGCATAAAAATCTGAACGAAATGCTAAATTAAGCGACACAGGTAGTTAGCAATTATATTTTAGATACGACCGATGTGACTCATTATAACCTCAATTTCTCATAACCAATTCAGTCCTCATATTAAGTTGAACATCTAGACTTGAGTTCCTTTAAAATATAACCTTGTAAGATCCCGGGTAGTCATAGTCACAAACACTGTCCCTTCTACCACAATGCTAAAGATAGAAAAAGGTATAACCATATTAAAAATTAGAAATAATACATAATATTCAGCAGAGTTATGTGCATATATTGAAAGCAATTAATAGTGTCCATATGGTGATAATTGCAATAAAGCACATAATAGAGTAGAATAACTTTATAGAGCAGACAATTACAAAACTAAATTCTGTTCATATTATCCAAATAACATCTATTAATGTGATTATGGAAAATTTTGTTCATTTGCACATTCTGAAGCAGATATAGTAATTGAATTGATTCACAATTTGGAATATGATGATGATTTCTTTATGTTTTATTATAAAAGTGTGTGGTGTCCTTTCAACCTAACCCAACATGACAAAGCTTTGTGTGTTTATGCTCATAATTGGTAAGATTTTCGGAGAAAACCATAAATTTATCAATATCATCCAATTCCTTGTTAGAGTTGGAACACTGCAGAATATATTTTAGAGTATTACAGTGGATGTCAGGAAGGATTCAATTGTGGGAAATGTCATGGTTGGAAGGAACTTGAATATCATCCCATGTTGTTTAGAACTAAGCAATGTATAAATTAACAATGTTCAAAGACTGATTGTTCATTCTATCATAATAATTAAGAAAAGAGGTAAATTGAATAGAGTATGTTAGATGTATTGATTAATTGTCTCAATTCAGAGTGTTTAAAATAGTTCCCAGAAACAGAATTGTGTAGAACACTTTCAAAGTTCGAGATAAGAGCCTCCTAAATTCTCAAAGGAATACGAGTAACAAATCACAAGACCTGACCTTGAGTTATTAGAAACACTGCAGCACAAGTGATCAGCAATGGCTTGGACACAATTTACAAAACAGTTTTCAATATGACCAAGATTTGGATGAAGGCAAATAGAATAGTAAGGGATAACATTACCAAACTACCTTGATCTCCATTTAGGAAAGAACAGGTATACATATTTTATTAGAACATTAAGATTCCGATGAGTTAAAGGATTTAAAAGACTTAATGAGAAAGAAATCAAATTCAGTTGTTGAAGACAAATAAAATAATGATGATAATGAACATGTTCGTACAGTTTTGAAAATGATTGACATGGACCAGTGAATAAATATATTTTATATAATTCAAGAACTCCTCCTAAGAAAACATTATACATAATTAAAAATATATTTGAAATCAATGCAAGGCAATTAAGGTTCCTAGAAGAAAGATATTGAATTTGGTTCTTGCCCGTTTTCAGAAGCTATGAAACCCCCCAAAAGGCCATGAAAAGTATACAGATAAATCAAAATGTCCTTTCTAACAAATGCAACAACAACCAGAGATCAAAATTGCAGATGGAAGTGCTGAAAAGAAAAAAGAGAAAAAAGAAAAGTAACCCAAAGGAGGATGTCCATTTATGTCAAGTGAAAAAAAGAAAAACCCGCCTCTAGCCCACCTTGAAGAATCATATGACACTTATTATATAAGTCCTTTGAATTATCTACTTGATACTCGTGGATTGTGGATGTTGGCATTTGATTCTAAGGAAGTTAAAAAAGGTAAGGCTCTTTATTATTCAATCTTAGGTCCAATTAAGGATCGAAGAAAAGTGTTCGATTCATATCCAACTTATTTGAAAAGTACACTGTTTCATGATGACGAAAACACAAAAAAACTTAGACAATGCGAAGTGGCCTAACGATTTTTTGTTTATGATAAGTTTAGAGAAAAAGGTATTAATTATTTTCATTATCAGGAAATAAACTATTGCAAAAATAAGAATATGATGAGGCTATTAGATATTATGAAAGAGCCTTGGGATGTTTCCGTTATTTAGAAGTAGTAGAGCCTCCTGAAGAAGAATCTGATGAGGAGGAGGCAAATCAACAATAAGATACTTCCAATATGACTGAGAAGGAACGAAAGGAACTTGAAGATATGAAAAAGTCAGCTAAATAATATAGGAAAGAATAAAAGGAATTCAAAAAATAATACAAATCATTAATGACTATTTATACTGATGAAAATGTTAAATACAATGGAGTTGAACACATTCAAGTACTTATTTCATTCATTCCTTTTAGGACGAAGCTGATAAAGAAATGTGTAATTCTATTATGTATGGTCTGTATCTCAATATGTCTGTTTGTTACATGAAGATGTCACATTTCGATTTAGCAAGAAAGATCTTGGATGATGCAGGTGTTATATAGAAGGAAAATTCATAATATTTATTTAGGTATTCTTAAGCACTCTTATATGATAAATGGTCTACCTATAAAGATCTACTTAGAGCAAAAGAACTGATTGAGAAAGCTATTAGTTTATCGAACGTTGAAAACATATTCAAATAAGGTCCTGGAATATTGAAGTTGATGGGCTTAGAGAATGCTAAAGAAATTTATGTTGAACATGCACACAGAGTTATGGAAGCATTGAAATTGAAGAAATAGTGGGTTTAAGAAATAGTAGAGCCATTATTCTTACGAGCCAAAGAAATTGATGAAATTGAATAAGAGATGATTGAAGACGGCAAAGTGCCGTATGAAGAAGGAGTCACAGATGTAGTTGATCCAGAAGATTTGATTCAATAGCCTAATGAAACTGACAAACAATTCTTATATAGAGTTTGCATGCCTCAATTGACTTAAGAACATCAGGAATACGAAATTGTTAAAGAAATGGTTAACAAATATTATAGAATCATTGAGTTTTATGCTGTAATCAAATTATTCATATCTTTAGGAATAAAAGAAATATGATCAAGTAAAGATTGCAAAATAGGAATTGTAAAGACTCCTAGAAACAGTATAAACAATGTCATTCTACATGAATTTGGATCTCATTGATTATGAAAATGATGACATACTTAAGGAACTTGTTACCAAACATTAGATAAACTTTACTGACAGAAAATATGTCAGAAGATTAATTAGACTTTGTAGAGAAAATGTGACTGAAATCTTTGGTTAAGGAAAATTCAATTTCGAAGTAATATCTTTATTCAATATTTTAGGTGTTTGAATATGCTATGAATGATTACTTCAAGAAAAAGAGAGAATAAGAAGAAAGAGAGAGAGAAGAGCACTTAAAATAACATCCTGAACCTGTGAAACCAAAATAAGAGTCTTCATTCTTGAAGAAAACTTTGTTTTCAACTGAATTTTGGATGCAAGTATTCTATTGTTTTTATTATTAATAGATGTTCGTTTTATTGTTGGTTATGGGAGGAATGTTTTATTTTAACAACAACACAGGTTTCTTTGGTAAACTCTTCTCCCTCAAAAAATGAGAGCATACTTGAAAATGAAATAATAGATCATTATTATTTTTATATATTTTATTATATTCCCTTTTCACCTTATTTTAATTATTATGGACTAATCAAATTACATAATGGTTTTTGATTTTCATTATTAGTATGCATTCTAACTGTATACATAAATATCATAATGATTGCTAATTTATTTTATGTAATTTTAATAGAGTATGATAAATCAACAAGATTGCGATCTTATTATCAAAGTTTGATTTTTCTACTGTCTTGACATCATTGTATATAAATCTTTAATTCCAAAAAGGTATCAACTCTGGTGTTGTCTTTATTTTTGAATAGTTAATATTTTATGGTTAAGAATTTTAAATAAAATATAAAAATGTTTATATAATGAATTACTCAATTCTATTCAAGCAATTTATTTTTCTCACTTTATATTAATAAAAAATTTAAAGAAAGATAATTACAGATTCAAGTATAGAGAAATTCAATTCAGAACAAAATAAACAGAGTTTTAAGGGATTAACAATAATCCCTTACCCTAGAAACTCATCGATTTCACAAAGGTTACTTTAATTTTTAAATAAAAATTTTACCTAATAATAGTGATTCGAGAACCTTGTGTTGAAATTAATGCCAATCATAATTATCAATTATACTAATATTGAAGATTTATGATAACAGTTAAAATAATAAGTACAAACCTTAAAATCGACATAATAGTTAAAGTTGATTTCTTCATCTAAAAAAAGGTAAAAGAATAAATCGGAAAGATTAAGGTAATTTGAATATGATTTTGAATATGATTTAAGATCAGAAACCTTTAAGTCACTTAATGACTTACATATCTGTTTTACCATGAATCATTCTCGATCTAACGATATATAATTTATTTCTATCTGGTTTATTGATAATATAATACAAATTTTAATTGGTATGGATTATAAGAAAATTAAATTTTTTGATAAATGAAGTTTGATAATTAATAAGAATTTTAAAAATTAGGAATGTTTGAATTTCTTTTTGGAATTTCTTGAATAATAAAGAATACCAAGACTTTTGAGTTTAAAGATACAATGAACATTTAACATATAGGAGCAATTATCAATAACACTAAACTTCGAGGTGGTATTTTCTAATCAAATAGAATTAAAGAAAATACCAATCTAGACTATTTAAATCTAGATTAGAAAGATTATTATAAATAATATTTTTACTTAATGCTCAATTACACTAATGACTATTTTTCTAATTTTTCTGAGAAAAGGGTGAAGGAAAGAACTGTTGAAGATGCTCTATATCGAGTAAGGGAATGGAGGAGAATATATGAGACGGGTTTATAGAAGGATTCTAATAAGGAATCAAGAATCACCCTTTAAGAGGCTGCTAATCTAGTTAAAATACCCAAAAAAACATTAGAGGACTATATATAGATTTTCAATAAAGTTAGTTTAATCTGTCCAATTCAAGATTTTTAGAACAAAAAAATGGGATTTCTGAGGACTTTTATAAGGAAAAATAAGACTAAGATAAAGAAGGCTGCTCAGGCGAAAAGATAGAGCCAACAGGAGTCTCTTAATGTCAAAATTGAGGAATCCCTTCCGCAATACCTAAAGAATTAATTTGAAAACTCAATGACCTATGATATAAAAGAAGGAAATTAAAAAAATGATTTAAATTTCGATATCAAAATAGAAAAATTAGAGGAGGAATGAGAAGCATCTTCCTCCTAATATCAATTTTGATTTTTAATTATTTATTCTTAATGATTTGAATTAAAAATTATCAAACCGAAAAAACAACATCTATCTGACTTTGAGAATAATTATTAATTATCACTAAATTTAGATATAAATAAGTATAAATTAATTCAAAAAGAATACTACAAAGGAATTCCAAAATTATTATTATTGCATAAAATTAATGTCTACATAAGCTAATATACTTATTATATATATATATATTGATTTCACCATTCACCTTCCTCAAACAAGCTATCATCTTCGTCGTCGTCCCTATTACGTCTATGTCGAGCATTTGGATCTAGATTTACTCGAGGATCAGCATTCATGCTATCGCAATCCAAATTAATGGCTGTTAGTAATTACTTCTTCAAGATCTAAATTGTAAATACATCTAAATACATCTTTGCTAGAATAATTGGGTAATTCTAAATTAAAGAAACAAGTATCTGCTTTTGGCAGAGCTTTATTAGGCTATTTAGTATTAACAGTAGAAGGTTTAATCATAAATCTAATTTAATTTCGATCGAATTCTTCATCATTGGCAGGTAATCTTTCTTATCCCCAACAGAATTTAATGAATCTAAGCTTCTCTTATTCTGATAGTTCATAGAGTGCCTCCCAAAAGAATTTAATTCTATCACTGTTTTCATTTAAGTCTCCAGAATATCTTGTGTGTCTCTTAAGGAGATCCACATCTACAATAGGTCGTCCACAAACCCATAATTCTAAATCTTCCGCTGATACCCCTAGGATTTGATATAAAATGTAATATACAATTCAATAAAGGTGAAGGAATTATTTTGATTAATCCTTTGATCAGACTTTCACATTGTAATTCACTTTCAGTACATTTGACTTCTATCAATTTATTAATATATTCTAGTCTTTCCTCATATTTGACTGGTATTTTGCTGCCATTCTTAAATATATAAGATATATAAAATTACTTCTTTTAATTCCTGTACACTTTTATCAGTTCTCAGAGTAACCCAATTTTCGAAAATATTCTCTTCAAAGGTTGATTCAGGACATTCCTACATAAAATTAATTAAGTTGCACATGGTTGCATCAATTTGTTCAATGTCTTCAAATGTGATTTTCTCACCTACTATTTATTTCCAAAATATTGATGGTAAATCCAAGGAGAAGTGAGTGGCAGTTCTGATTTGCAATTGCCATCAAAATTCCCAGGAATTCATACAAGTGTAAATAGAAATTGGATCTTGCACTAGGATTTAGAACAAATTTATCTTTATGGTTTCCTAATTTCGCTTGATTGTTGGTTGAAGGATATAATAACAATTATGAAGATTATAATTCCTTGCTAATATCGGCAAAAAATTGTCTATACGGTCCACTCTCTCCCTAAACATCCTCACCCCTGAAATTGACCTCGAAAGCTAAGAATGGATCAGTTCCTTGTGGTTTTATAGGTCTTAACAGAGTAGGAGGTATATTTTTCATCTATTCATAGGCCATAGTGAATAGGAAATCCTATTGATTTGTTTTCCCATTACGATTTGCCAAACGAATACGTTCTACATTGATCTTGGGAGGAGAATCTCTGCTAATACTTGTTTTATTGAGAACTCTCTAAACTATATCCACTTTTGTAGGAGTCATACAAAGCTGTCTTAAGACCTGCATATAATCGCCCATAGATAGGAAGATTGTGCGTTATTAGAATTCTTATGATGTACCAATAGGAACATCCATATTAATAAATTGTCCGCAAGTCTCTAAGTATCGATTGAAGAGTTTTATTATAGCCCAGGACTACCTAATAACATATATTGGAGCATTAACAAGATCTTAATATTTAGTTAAACAGTTGATGAAATCTTGATAATTTATAGCTTATTCATCTATTAGATTCCTAATTCTTTTTGGATTGTAAGTTCTTACAGCCTTGGTTTCTTTGCAAATTTCGAATTCGATTAATTTAAGGAGATGTTTCATCTATTAAATGGGTAAGATTTGAATTTTATTTGGATTTTGTACTAATTAATAATGGAGATCATAACCCTATTTTTCCAAATATTTCCAGCTTTCTATTGCATCCATGCTACCAATTTCTTCTAAATACTTCGGATTGATTTATGCTCTGAAATATTCTAATCTGTTTTAGAGGAATTCTTGTAAGAAGGTTGCAGCTTTTTCAAGGATTTATTTGCCAGAATAGATTTAGAAAGTGTTTTCAAGTTTGGCATTCTATAATTCTTATAATTCAGATGTGAGTTATTGCAATTTTTATTGGCACTCTTGTATTTTTTATTATTGCAATTGTATTTATGGCTATTTAGGTTATTGTAACTTAGATTTATATACTTACTATTTTTATTTCTTTTCTTATTATCTATTGAGTTATTTTAATAGATTTTATTATGCTTCAATTGCTAGATTGATTTGTTTCATTTTTTATTCCTTCTCACTTTGTCTTTCAGTATAATATCTTTTAATCTTATCCTGAATCCTTTCTATTAGGTCATCAAAGAACTGCCTTTCTCTTTTGTCAGCCTTTTCGTCTTCTTCGTCGACGTTGACTTAAACTGATTGTTATTCTAATTGTTAAGATTAATCTTCATTTTCTTTATAAGGAACTTTGTTGGCTGGTGCTGGATTTTCACATATAGCACATTAGGTGGAATCCCAGACATTATGAGCAAAAGTGCACATTTCACATTGCCATAGTTTTACAGCTTCCTAGACAGGTTCAGGAGGCAACTGTATTTCAACATTCTCCAAATTTAATTATTAAAATCCATCAATCAGAACAATAGCTTGATTTTACTTTCTAAATATGTCAACAGCAGGATTTAATATTCTGACTAATTACTCTTGTAATACATCTTGGATATCACAAGGCAATCCTTGCATGTATATCAATTGATCCCATTGATTGGATTGTAACATTTCATTAATTTGTTCAATCTATTCATTGTACAAGGGTTTTCCACATTTTATGAAATCAGCAATCTAAATAAAGTGTCGATAGGCATTTAACCAATCTGGGATCTAAATTTTAGTCTTATTGGGGATGGCAACAGCTAAGAGTTCAGTCAAATCTTGGAGATAGGATGAATACAAGACATTAGGTTCTGCTTTTTGTATATTATAGATTTTGACAGCATCATTAACTAATTGTGATAGTAAATCATCAGTCAAGGTTTCATTAGAAATTGATTACAATTTGCGAATATTCCTAATTAGTAATTTTATTATAGATTGATTTAGAATATGTGGTTGTTGTTCATACACTTTTTCCAATAGATTATTGATGCTCTTTATATTTGGAATATCTTTGTTTTTAATGAAAATGGTGCTCATCTAATCAATTACATAGCAGACTGTATTCCACAGAGTAGGAATTTTATAGACAACACAAGGTAACCGAGATACGCACTATTTCTATTGGTAGATTGGCAAGGCTTCTCCATTGAAATAATACTCACAATAAACATTCTTTTAATTTAATATGATTGGAGATAGTCTGCCTCTTGTCTCTTTGCCACTGCTGATCGTATAAAAGTCGTTGATTCCCAATCGATCTTTATAGAAATTTATGCCAGAACAAGTGCATAGAGTTGCATCATTGTTGAATACGATAGCCAAACCAGCAATGTCTAAGTCAGAATTGAGTTCTAGAGGTTTCTTATGAGATTTGAATAAATCCAAAAATAATTTGTTTTTATTTACAAATTGATGAATTTATTCAAAAGACTTAGACAACCAACCGAATATTAATTCAGGGTTCTACAAAAATTGATTTAATTTCTGATTTATCTTCGTATTGTCATCGATCAATTATTCAGTAAGCCAGCCATTAATGCATGAACCTTCAAATTGCATAGCCAATTACAAATAGATGATAGGGTCGACATTGATAGTTTGACTTAACAAAATGTACAATTATCTGGCCTATTTGCTGAGTTCTAAGTCTAATTCCCTATTGTATTCTTTTAAGATTGTCTCCTATTGATATGCATTAGCATTTGGAGGAATATACAATTAAACCTATTTGAGTGCACTGACAGGGAACCAAGTAGCATAGAGTTGTGAATTGTTGATATCCATATGTGTAATAAATATGGAAGATGATCTTTAATCAACGCCAATGATTTATCCACAAATGAAGGTTTGACCTTACTTCTTGTAATGTAAGTATTCCTTTGAGTATAACTATTCTGATGTTTTATCAATGAGTCTACAAAGAACATATTGTCCAGCTTGGACTTCTTCAATTGTTAATGTACTCCAGTCGTGGTTAGACTCAGGTATAATAACACCATTTGGCATTCTCTGATCACATACAATGTAGGCTATTTCCAAGGCTTTGTTTTGTTCTCCTTTTCTCAGTTGTTATCTAATTTATTCAAAGAAGTCCTCTATCTCATATGGTTTCAAAGAACCTTTAACATAATCATATATTTTAGGTAATATGTTCTTCTCCCAATATTGAACTAATTTCAACTCATTTGAAACTATGCAAGCCTCAGGCAATGACTACATGTAAGTGCTGCCAACTATAATTGTATTATCCACGTTTTCCACAAAAGGTTCGATCTTGTAATCTTCTTATTCAACCTACTATGGTTATTATAAGAATTTTATGATCTTAGGGATTTCTATGGGGAAGAAATAATTAGGTGACAATTTGCTATCAATTAATCTTTCCCATGCTTGGTTAAATTTGTTATCTCCTTAATAGAGAGTGGCCAAATTTAATATTTTATTTACAATTCTCTCTACATTGTATCCCTTCCATTCCAACCTACTTGCAATAATGAAGAGATTTCTCAAGATAAATTTATCACTCTCTTTGTCTATTAAATCTAGTATCTGTTCTTGAGTTATCAATTAAGGGATCTCTTATTGTATTAGTTCGATTTCATCTAAATTTACAACCTGCAAGTTCAGTTTATCATCATTATTAGATAGTAATCTCAATTCTTTCTATCCACAATAGTCTCCTCCAGACACAACATATTATTTATCATATGACTTGTGTTTCTTAATTTAAACCGGGATTCCTGGAGCTATCTGAATCAATTGTTATGATAGGATAGTAGTGTATCCAAGTTTGTAATATTTGTTCTCCCTATTAATGTCTATCTGTTAATGACTCAATAATTGACTAAGTTCATAAATCAACTGGCCAACGATTTGCCCATTTACTATTTATTATGTGAAGGAGGAACTTCGATTTATTTCATTGTAAAAATTGACACTCGTATTCCCATAGGGTAACAAGGTAATGTAATCCATTCTAAACTCAAAAGACTAGAAAGTGTAGACATCACAAACACTAACAGTCATCTATGATTTACCACTTGTCGGTTATGGTTGAATTTGGGCAGGTGCTTTTTGTGGTTATGATTTACCCTTCGGAGGTGCAACTTCCTTGATTGCTCCTAAGAGAATGTACTTATTTGGATCAGCCTTGTTTTTGAATTCTTCAGATAAATCATTCATTGGTATGTTGGGCAAGGTTCCATTCAATGCTGATTAAATAAGCTCTATTAAAACTTAAGCCTTTTGAATAGTAAATATTTCACTAAATGGGATGCATCCATAGACTGTTAATAAACTTCCATAATTCTTTATCTCCTTAATATGGGAATGTATTCTTGTTATAAAGTTTTTCTATCTCAAGAATGCTTGTTCATCTGGAAATGATTTGATGTCTTCATTTTATTTATATAATTCCTCATACAATCTTTCCAATTCTTAGAAATTCAAAGGTCTCCAATACTTCTTTATCTATTTCTTCACTCTGCCAGATGAATGCTTTTTATTATCAGATGGTCCACTCTTCATATCACTATACAAATTGCTATAATTGAATCCCCAACCCAGCAAATAATCCTTTTATTGGATTTCTGGCTAAGTCATTAAGACTCTCTCCAATAGTTTATATTGCTATTGTTATTGTTGTCTTTATGATTGAAATTCTGTTTATTAAGCAATTACTTCCTATTATTGAGTCTTCTGTTCTTCTCTCTTTTTCTCCTTCTCCTTCATTTCTAGATATTCCTAATAGGTTTAAGGCAACTTCAATTTCAAACTTGGAAATTGCTCTTCCCACCAATAGAGGATTTTCAATAAAATAGATATTTCTTCCTCCTAACACAAGTGTAATATCACTCTATACTATTGACTACTATTCTAATCAGAACTGGTGTTTGATGAAGTAATCATCTTTTTTTACACATTCACCAATTCATTCTATAACAGAGTATTAATATTTTAATTATCAGTAACCTCATCCTAACACACCATATGTCCTACCCTTTCGATTAAGACCTCACTGAAACATTACTCCTTATTTTCCTATAAGACCTTAATTTATTACTAATTGCAATTCTCATAATACATCCACAGATATTTTGGAGTGTACTTGATCTAATTAAGTTTCATACCACTAAAGTATTTTGAAATTCTAATAGCTAATCTCATTGTGGATGGAGTATTAGTATGGTGTAAGATGTAGAAAATCAATTTCACTAATGATGGAGGAACTTCTTGATTTTAATGAATCATCAAACAATCCAAGATATTTGTCAGTAAGAAATTTACTCTCTTCACTCCTATTAAATCGTATAATTTGGTCAGTAATCTACAATTAATTTCATCTCCCTGTAAGTTTATTCCCAATTCTTATGACAATATTTATATTAATTATTAAAGAATATCATCAGTCATTAAATTATCGGTTATTATGTACAAAGTCTCCTTAACATTGTTTAAAATATTTTAACTCAATAGGGCAACAGATTAATACTGTTGATCCAAATTTACAAATGCCAAACTTAATAATCCGGTTATGATGATGTTATTTAGGAATTATTTGAATATCGGATTAAAATGAGGGTTGTAATCGTGTTCTCTGCTTTTCCAAAGGATGTTATTGTCTACTTAAAATAATTGGTTGATTTCACATAGAGTCATACAGATGACTTTTAATTATTCGAGCAAGGTTCCATCGATTTGCTGTGTGATTGCTTAATTTAAATATGTGGCATAATCATTTTTAATGGATTACATAAGATAATTTAATCTTTTGACTACTTCTTATAAGAGTATTTCTTTGATGTTCGAGCTGGCAAACTCTATCTTATAGTTCATGACATCTTGACATAAGATGCCTCCACTCTAACCTTGGAATTCATTGAGAAATTTCAGAGAAGCAATTCTTCTTATGCATCTTCTATTATGTAAGTCCATAACCTAGATTAGTGATTCATTGACATTCTATTATAGAAAGAGTATGACAGACTTCACCGGAGGGATATCTAAAGATTCAGCAGAAATTTGATTTAAATTCACATTATGTAGTACTTTCCATTTTTAATAACTATCTAGCCATTGTCTGAACTTCAACAATTTCTAGCTGTCAATGTTCTTGTCATCAATCTAATGAGATAGTGATCTCTCGATTCCAAGTGGTTTTAATTATTTAATGCTTCCAGAGTCAATAGATTACTAGGATTTAATTTAAATCATCTATTATTAACCCACCAATTATACATTACTGATGTTGAATAGGATCAAGATTCTCTTTTTGATAACTTACACAATATGTTAGTATGGATTGACTAGATCTAATTTTGATTCTCTGATTTTAGCCAAAATATTATTAAAGATCTATCTTAAGGATAGATTGGGATTGTTTTCAATTATTGTTAAATTTTGTTAGGTGCATATTTTATAAATCATTTCGCTATTACCTTCCAATCTCTTTTGGAGCATATCCCAAAGAGTATTTTCGATTTTCTCATTGATTTGTGTCAACTTCTATTATTCCATCATTTCTGTGGCTTGCAATGACATTCCCTCATAATTCTATTAGTATTCAATCATAGTTTCCACTTCTTTGAGCATGTAATTAATGACATCGTTTCTAGCCTCTTGCAACATGTCGATATGATGTTCTAAATTCAATAGATTGATTTCATCCAATAATCCACTGTGATATAAAGTGACTAAAATGACGAGCATCTCGATTTATTTGAATTCCTCGATGTGTGCTTTCATGGCTGACTTTTATTTTGCAGTTCTGTATTGAAATGAATCGGTGAATTGGCTCACAATGGCTGAAATAACTTTATAGAACTCTCCCTTCTTATCCAAGATCTACTGAAGATACTTATTTTATTATTGAGACAATTGGAGAAGGTCGATATTTGTTTTTTGGATTTCTCTCGCCTTGTAATTAATGGTAATGAGATCTCCTTTCAATTGTTGATATTTATTCTTGAGTTGAGGATTGGCTCCTGCATTTTCATGTAATAGTGTGGCATCATCATAAGACATACTAGAGATCGACAACTACCCTAAGACTTTAATAAGATGTTTGTCGAATTGGAATCCAGATCTCCCATTTTTCAGAATATTCCATTTCAAGAGAAGCTAATTGCTTTCTTCATTGGCTGTTCTGTTCTCATTGAATCCCAATAAGGATTAAATGTTCTCCAGAATTACCATATGTAAAACATTGCTCACATGATATGTGTCTCCATACACTGGACGAATGGTAATTTTGAATCCCCATCGATTAAGTGAATGCTCATTTCTGACTTATCCACTTGGACTGAAGTCAGCTTGAATCACATTGCCAAGCATCAGAATGGGTCGTTTAGTACTTAATTTACCTGAAATTCTATATGACACTCCCATTGGATCCTTCAATTTTGATTACTATCCAAAGGGTCCACTATGAGGAGAGTACCAAGAATTAATTGTTAAGAAATCATGGGCTTAATCACTTGAGCATCTTGGATCAAATTCCACAGCCAAGGCCAATGCACCTGGGAAGTAGGTATCCTCAAAAGTCTACACCTTCTATCGTTCATAAGGGTGACTAGTCTCGAACACTTTGTATCCAATGGGATCGATGCCTTGGGTTCTCGAGGGAGTTGTAGGTAATTCAATGTTTTGGTTGATCTACATCAAACTGGACAAGAGACTACAATCAATGGGACATTGAAGGACAGGGGATAAGAATAATTACAGCAAGAAATGAGTCAGAAAATTGTGTTTGATTATTAGTTCTTTGACTTCTTTGTTGGTTATTCCCAATTCGAAGACTTGCAATATGTTGAATGCTAATTTATGTTACACTTCCCATTCACTATTATCATTAAATGCCATATTGAATACCATGTTTAAGAATTGCCATTTGGTTAAATCAGATTGAGTTGCCCATTCCTTTGCCAATACCCAGAATTGTTGATTTATTTGGGAGATGTCACAATCCACGAAGTAGCCTTTACTGTACACCTTCTTGAATAATTTTGAACTCTAAACTGCATCAATTAACAATCTGGGCAATGGTTCAATTAGAAAATGCTATGTCCCTTTTTTGTGGATGCATGATTTGAAATCTCCATCCAAATTAGCATTTTTGGATTTCAATTTTAATATAGCAGATTCTGTCTCTGGTTGAATGCTCGAATATGTAGATATAATTTGTTGTAACAATTGATTGTCTCCCATTTTCAGATACTGCAACTAGAGTGAATTTGAACACATAAAGAGTGTCCAACCTTTGATGAAGATGTTCCTTTGTAAATCACTTTGCCAATTTTAAATCAGATACTCTCCTATCTCCTTCAATAAATCATGCACTCCAACATTCAACAAGATTGACAATTCGCTATACTAAACCCAATATTGTAACAGTTGAAGGTATTGAATCTTATGGAACTTCTTGAACAATGACCAAATCTGTTTCAACTCCTCAAATGTACCCTCTACACAAAAGGCATAAACCTTTCTAATCTCCACTTCGCTTCTTGAATTATCAATTGAAAGTAGCAGTTTGTTTAATCGGTAACTATACTTGGATTTTTCATTTTGTATTTTCTTGAGATCCTCCTCTGAGAAACGCTCAGTGAGGTTTCTTAAATTCTTGAGCATTATTTGATATGCAACATACCAATCATTCAATCTCCATTCTTAATCATAGCGTTATTCTTATTATTGTAGTAGGAAGTTAACTACTTCTTCATCAAAGGTGGTAGCTTGAGCCAAGTTGAGATTTAAGGGTCTATGTATAAAATCAGATCCGATGGTCACTAAGGCAGGAAACTATAAGTCTGTGGAATTCCATTGAATGTGCATCACATAGAACCTTTTTGTGTTGTGTTCATAAGACACAATATAATTGGGATTCTAATAGAATTCGTTGAGGTATTTATTGACTGTTGTGATATAAGTACCCTTAAGAGTCAAATTTGAGGCTGAGGGTTTTTTGGTTGTGTAGTGATCTCTGAGATTGAATTCATCTTTAGCTTGATCGAGTTCTTTTTCATCAGCTGGATCCTTGGAAAAAATCTTAACTCCAAATTCAAAATAGGCAGTCACATATCTTTTATCCATAGTCCAAATGATATTACTAATGATTTATGGTTATAGGATGGATCCCTCCTTACATCCAATGTCAGCACTGCTCTTGACTTATTTTGCTGAGATGTCAGTAGTGATTTCAGCTTAGCAAAGTAAGGTTTATTTTGAAACAGAAACGGTAGTTTTATTTCTTTCCTTCTCCCCTTCTTCAACCAACCATTGGGCAGCATTTTACATATCATTTTTATTCAGATTCAATGCCTTGCTAATCTCTGCCTTGCTGAAATATCCTTGGAATGACTCAAATAACTCAGCCAATAGTTTCTTATCAGATTCTTCTTCATTTTATACATTTCCTGTTGGTTTGTTCAAATCGAATTCAAACAGAATGAAATCCATAATCTTGATTGTGTTATCAGGTGGTTGTTGTTCAGCCTCTTTCTTCTTTTATGCTCTAGAAGTGGAAGCTGCTGGTTCTTTAATAACTTTGGCTGGTGCTCCTTCCACCTTAGTAATATTTAGTTTTCTTCCAATTATGAATAATTTCTCTCCGTCTGTAATCAATGGGTAATTCTTGTTTATCGCCTACATTTGAGGGTGTTGAAATAGTTCTGGACAATGGAGAGTCATTTGACTCAGAGTCTGAAATGTCTCAGGACAAATGATATCCAAAGTTCCATTCTGCTGTTTCAGATATAACTTATTCTGCAGGAACACCCATTGGACATCGTCTTGCTTCTTTAGTGGTTGATGTAGATATATCTTACCAGCTATAGTTCCACATTCTCCTGTGCCCACCTTGTACATTCCACCCACTGGGGAACTCACCAAGATGTACAAGTAACACTAAGAGGATGTCATTGTCATTTGATGGTAATTTAACTTAGTGAATTGCTGTAATTAGGTAATCGTGAATCCTCCTTGATCGCACAGGGATCTCATATAATGTAAGTGACGACTCTTTTATTGCAATCTCGGTAACTTTATAATTTCTCTTATATTTAAATCGCAAAGACTCAACATCGACTTAAACGTTCCGACTCTCAATGCATAATCGATCAAGATCTTTGACAATTGTTTATGATCCATCTCCTTTACTAATCTCTGCAAATTCTTATCGATGCTCTGTCTTGAGTAATCTGGCTCATAAAAGAGAGACAATAGCTCTTATTTGCATAATGATTTGTGAAAATCCTCCAATCCCCAAGGCCATCTTGTTGGATTCGATTACAATGCAGAACAACTTGTTACTCCTTAACACTATTTAAACACTTCGTATCCGCACTCGTGATCTAAAATTACAGATTCTTCTTCTTACATTATGCCATTACAATGGGTCTCTCCATTTTGCTCTTGTTGATCTTATTCAGCATCATACTAGCACGACTAAAGTATTCATTCCTAGAGTTCAAGAGACTCTCCGTCAAATGTCGAGATGAATGTTATATCAAATTAAAATAATCCTATCTACTCTATTTACGATACTTCACTACCTCAATTTAATATACGCCGATCTCGTGAAGTCTACTTGCTCCAGATAGGCATCAAACCCAGAAACTTCTTCACCCCTACTTAAAGACTTTTCTGATAGTCCATCTGTCTCTTTCATCGACAACAAATATAACCAATCCAAATTCTCAATCAATAAACTCGGATCTAAAAAACTAAGTGATGTGCTCGGAATATGTTGCGGAAAACTCATTAAATTTATTTTTTTAATATTAAAACAACACAATCATTTAAATCTGGATATCAACTATCTTTATAAACTCTGATCAATAGGATAATATAAATATCTACGTCAAATCACTTGAATTATAACGTGAACTAATAAAAGTACCTATAAACATAATTATAAATTTTTTATTAAATAATTCTGTCCTATTAATCAAATTTCCTTTCAAAAAATTACAAAACAACTCAACCCATAAGAATACAACAATACTGTCCCTCACATAATCCAATCAGAATTGCTGTTAACTTCATCTCCAAATTCTCAATTGACAGAGCAAATTTTGATAATTCTGCTTCAATCTTAAAAGAATCACGCATATGATTAATGTATCCATTCACAAGCAGAATCATGTTTAATTTTACTTAAAATGTGAAACGTAATTTAAAATTCGGTTGATTTAAGTATTCTTTATATTTTTCATATTATTTGCCACTTATAAATATTTTGACAACACTTCCTTTCCTTCCAACTTATCATCAATTGAGATCAAGTTCACAAGTACCAAATAAGAATTAATTCAGAAAATCTAAAATAATTTGTTTTTTGCGCCAAAAGTATAAATTGTGGCAAAGTTGGTACGTAAAGTTTTGTTATTTATTAAAATAAATTAAATCAAATGAACCCATAAGATGCGCCATAACAGGATTTAATCTACAGGGACTTCCTCGAAAGATTTCTCAGTAACATAGATATTGCACAAATCGAAGCCATGAGACAACAAAACAAAATTAGATTTCCAATCAATTTAGATCTTTTGAGATAGGAATCGAGATAGCAATACCCAAACTTGTAAAACAGTTATATTTATGTATACTTTAGAGTTGATGACTTGATTAGAAATCCAACGGATTTTATTAGAGTTTTCTAACAGAAATTAAGTCAAATATGCAAACAATTACAAGATCAATAGGAAGATGATAACAAAAAGGGAGTTTAGACTGATAAAACATATAAAATCTACTTTGAAGGTAAATTAGGAAAGAATTACGTGACTCCAAGAGGTTTGGGAGCTGCATAAATAAATTAATTAGTTTGCACATAAGCTATAGTAACTAAGATGTCCTTGGTTTTGTTGAAACTACAGAAATCAGTTCACTTTATAGAGAAGAAGAACCAATTCAAATAAGTGGAATACTTCAATAACATGGATCCAAGTGCTAGGACTTCCTCAAGATAAGTTAGAGTAGTATAGAAGAAGGATGAAGAAGGTAACCCAATGATTTTTGAATTTGGGTTGAGTGATCTAAATGACATGTAGACATTAGTGGTTTAAGAGTTGCCAGAGAGAACTCCCACTGGAATGTTGCCAAGATCATTAGAAGTCATCTTAGATTAAGATTTAGTTGATAGAGTGAAACCAGGAGACAGAGTTGAAGTATTAAACATAATATAATCATAGATTACCGGTGTGTATAAGTGTATTCCAAATTCAACTACTAAGGCAAATGGAACTTTCAGAACTACCTTGATAGCTTAGAACATTAAAGTGATGAATGCTGTGCAAGAAACCAAGATATCAGAAGTTGATATCAGACACATCAAAGAAATTGCTAAAAAGCCAAGTATTTAATTAAAATAATGCAAGATCTTTTGGAATACATGTCAAAATCTATAGCTCCATCAATATTTGGACATGGAATTGTTAAGTAGTCCATTTTGTTGCAGTTGTTAGGAGGAACAGAAAAGAATTTAGAGACAGGAACTCATTTAAGAGGAGATATCAATGTTCTTTTGATAGGAGATCCATCTACAGCTAAATCTTAACTACTTAGATATGTTATGGGAACTGCTCCATTGGTAGTTACTACAACTGGTAGAGGAACATCAAGCGTTGGTTTGACAGCTGCAGTTAAGAGGGACAATGAAACTGGAGAGAATACGTTAGAGGCAGGTGCCATGGTATTAGCAGATGGTGGAGTTATTTTGATAGATGAGTTTGATAAGATGAATGAAATAGATAGAGTAGCAATTCATGAGGTTATGGAATAACAAACAGTCACTATTGCAAAGGCTGGAATACATTGTTCATTGAATGCAAGATGTTCTGTTTTAGCTGCTGCAAATCCTCTTTATGGTGAATATCAATTAGATATGGCACCAACAAAGAATATTGGTTTACCAGATTCTTTATTAAGTAGATTTGACTTATTGTTTATTATATTGGATGAAAAGAAGAAGGATATTGATAGAAAGGTTGCTGAAAGAGTTACTAAGAATCACAGATACAAGGGATAATATGATGACGAAGAAAATATTGGAGATATCATTTAACCCATGGCTTAGATGAGTATCAAATAAGAGATTTCACCTTTTGTTCAATAGTCTGCCATATATCATTCAAATGATCAAAAAGACCTTCTAACATAATCATTCCTTAAGAAATATATTATGTATGCAAAAGAAAATCATTCAAATGTGATCTTAGATGATGAGGCAGCAGAAGAAGTGACTAGACAATGGACCAAAATGAGACAAAATGATTTGTTAGAAAAATAAATCAGAACTCAACCTATTACTATCAGATCTTTAGAATCATTAATCAGATTGGCTTCAGCTCATGCTAAATTAAGACTATCTAATATAGTAACTAAACAGGATGTTAAAATTGGAGCTAAATTGATGAAAATCTCTTTACAAATGGATTAAGAGGAGGAAGTTGAGGACAATAAGAAACCAAGTGGTAGGAAGTCAAGTCTATAAAGACTTAAAAGTGAGTAGCCTTTGTCTGCTGGAAGATAAGAGCTTGAATCCGAATAACTTAAATAGGAAGAACAAGAAAATCAACTTATTGTTAAGAGTGATAAGAAGAAGCAAAAATAGGATGATCCCAAAGAGAAGGAAGCTGAGTTCCATCTATACTTGCAATAGGCTCATTCATAAAACATCACAAGAGATTAATTGAAGGCTGTCCATAAGGTGTTGAGAGACTTCAAAGAGAAAGTATATTAATATACCATTATCTTAGCTTCATCAAGATGTTGTTGATATCGATATCATCTGGGGAGAGTTGTAAAGTTAGAGTAGAATCATTATTGCTGATTATTTATAATTCTTAAAATGCCTTCTGGAATTGGATAAACAAGAAAAGGTCTAATTTGATGACAAGAAAAGAACCTGTGTAGTTATTATGATTTTGGATTGGTTTTTTTTTTTCAAGCAAATTTAATCTGTTTTTTTGTTCAAATTCATTTCCTTATTATTACATTAAAATTTATATCTTTTTTAAAAAAATATATAATGGCAGACGTCTAGACATAAAGAGCATTCCAAAAGCAAGAAGGCATCTTCTAAAACTCAAAAAAACTTTTGGCCAAGAAAACAACAAAAGGAGTTAGATATTGGAAAGAAGTTGGACTCGGATTCAAAGTACCAAAGGAAGCAATTGAAGGACATTACGTTGATAAGAAGTGTCCATTCACAGGAAATGTCAGTGTCAGAGGAGCCATCTTAAAGTATGATATTAATTAAACTATCAAAACAGAGGAATTGTCATCTCAACCAAAATGACCAGAACAATTATTATCAGAAGAGATTATTTACATTATGTTGCCAAATACAATAGATATGAAAAGAGACATAGAAATGTTCCAGTCCACATCTCACCAGCTTTTGGACCAGTCAAGGAAGGTGATATTGTTGTTTGCGGATAATGCAGGTATTCAATTCATAGATTTAATTCAGACCCTTATCAAAAACTGTTAGATTCAATGTATTGAAAGTCATCCCTAATGAAATTATTGGTAACGTTAGAAAGCAATTTGTTTTGTTTTGATTTAATAAATCAATAGTACATTATATAAAAATTGATAATTTTCTTCAAAATTTATTTTTCAATCCCTTAAATAATCTGAACCACTTAGAGTCTTGCTAAGCTTAAGTACTTTATTCCTATTGAGCAATTCCAGGTGCCTTAACAACATCATCATGACAATAATCAAAAAATCGTTCAGCCTCATGAGATCTGTCCGGATCAAGTCCAATCAATAACAAAAAGTCCACAAATTATTCCTTTGTAACTAATTATTATATTGAAACTTAATACTATATTTCTCAGGATTGGATTTGAAATTGAATTTCTTATGCTCTGCCCATAAATTGAATAAAGTGCTCAAATCATAATTCTATTGATCTCCTTTATAAATAATTTTATTATATTTCCTAGCCTTGAGCAGATGGTTGATCGTCTTAAAAAATTTGAATAGAAATTCTTTCATTTTCTACTATAATACACTATTCTTACTAGATTTTTCAAATAAAAATCTTCTCTTTCTTTTTTATTCAGTTTTTCCTTCTGTTTATCCTATGGTGGTACTTGTTACTATTGAATCACTTTTGCAGATTAAGGTCTCTTCTTTCCCTCCTATTTCATTACTTTGTTGATTCTCAAAGATTCGACATGAGTGCTCTTATCCCAAATATCTGGGTGTTTCATCTAAGATTCGACTGAATTCTTTTTGAAAATCTTCTTTATATAAATATAAGGATTAGCTAGATGCTCTTACATTAATGGCTTCTCTTTCTCTAACATGGGAGGAGGTCTTAATTTGAAATAAATCTTACTTCAAGTCAATTTTGTTTGCCTACAACACCAAATCTGCTTGAGGTTCAACTAGTGGATCCTCTGGTTTAGGTCTCTACTTTTATTTCATCCTTTAAGCATACCATTCCTACTCCTTTTATTTAGCTTCATTTTTAATGACTCTCGGGTCTTCAAATTAGTGTATTGGATTAATAATTCCCATTTGCAATTTCTATCTTTGTGATCCTTGAGTGGCTGTGATCTGTTTTGGAGGTACTTTGGCTTCATCTGAAAATACGGGTGGTCGGTTATTAAAAACTTGAAGCAATTTTTCTTTTTATTCTTCAGGGGTCAACTTTGAATGCTCTATTCTTGCCTCTTTTTAATGCCTTGCGTAAAGAGATAAATTCTAATTGGAATGTAGCTAGGAATTTATATTAGAATATATATCAGACATTATTAAAATTAATTCAATGGATTAGGTATAGAATGAGGATATGAGACTATATCCATGCAGTAATTGTGCAGAACACTATCCTTATTGTTTCCTTTCTGATCATTTGGAAAGTTGTCTTTAGGAGAGCTTGTAAGTCGATTGTCGATATTGTGGAGAGAGCGTATTGGAGAAATTTATGCAGAATCATTAATAGAATTGCAAGGCTTATGCTTTGTAAGATACAGAAGATGGTGTTTGTGAATTTTGCAAAGAGAAAATATTTTAGAAATTTAAAGAGGACCATTACTCAGATTGCCCATTGAAGCAGGTTGCTGACTCTTATTAATCCTACAAGGCTCAAGAATGCCCAATTTGCTTAGTAGAAATTGGACCAGCTGATCAAAAAGGAATTCTATAATGTTGCCATGTATTTCATTAAGGATGTCTAGAAGAATGGCAAAAAAAAAGTTTAGAATGCCCAGTCTGCAGATATAGTTGAAAATTCAAATTTTCTATTGCGAAAATTTTATACTTTGTTAATTTTATTATTATTGATTGTGTGAAAGCATCAAAGAAAAAAATATATTTTTCAATATGACATGCAACCAATAGATATCTCTGGTTGTTTTTCATGTAAATAAATGATAAACATAATATAATATAATGTTCTCTATATTCATATTGACTCAATCAATTCCATAGGAAATTAGAATGGCACTCCCTCCCATATTAAATATTTATGAATCCAATTTTTTAAGTGTTTTTATAATGAATGAGAACGTTGAAAATTGATAGAATTAAATATTTGCCAAGATTATAATTTGACAACAAATTTTTATGAGCTTAAGTACTTAATAAATTGATTTCAATTTTAATGTGTAATACTTTTTCTCTTATATCATCTGTTTTTTTCTTTGTCTTTTTTTGAACTTTATGGTGGAATTTTGATAAAAATTTAAAAATTAATTTATGAATAAGGATTCTCTAATTTATGGTTTATTTTTTGGAGCGATTCCATTTTTAATTGTTGTATCAAAGTGGAGAATTGACCATTTGAAATTTCGAAAGATGGAGAGCTTATACAAAAAACAATTACATTGTTTTACGGAGATTGAAGAATAGAAAAAGGAATAAAAGCAGAAACACTTGAAAAACGATGCAGAATAAGGAGATAGCATAGAATATAGATTAATGAATATATTGATGAAAGACAATCGTCTTAGAGTTAGGAAAATTTGTATAACTGGAGGTCCATGTGCAGGTAAAACGACAGGGCTAAATTATCTTGCGGAAAAACTCAAAGAGAGAGGATTTTCAGTCTATATAGTCCCAGAAGCAGCTACAACATTGTTTATGGGAGGAGGAATGTTAGATCTAGACAATTATTCAGCTGAAGGTAAAATGACTTTTCAAATGAATTTACTAAATTTATAAATGAAGTTAGAGCATTGTTTCAACGTGCTTGCCATGCTCTGTCCCCCGAATAAGACTCCGGTAATGTTATGCGATAGAGGATTAATGGATGGCAAGGCCTATATGGATCAAAACGAGTGGTACGAAATGATCGGAAAATATAACTTAGAAGAAGTCAAACTGAGAGATGAGAGATATGATGCTGTTGTGCATATGGTAACAGCCGCTGACAGCACCGATTGCTATAGTACCTTGAATAACAAAGCACGTCATGAAACTTAACAATAAGCTTTGGAAATGGATCATAAAACTCAAAGCGCTTGGTCTGGACATCCAAACTTAATTAAGATTGACAACCACAGCGTTAAATCTTTTAATGACAAATTAGATTGGTTACTTAGAGAGGTTTTGAGAATTTTGGGTCATCCTATTCCACAGAAGGAAATCGGGAAAACAAGATAATTTTATTTAGAGAAAGACATGAAATTCGAAAATATTCAAGATGTAAAATCAATGATAAATTATAGGAACATTAAATTATTGAAATTAAAAAGACTTACTTAATTCCAAAATATAAAAACTGTTCTCTTGTGTTGTTGCAAAGAAAACATGAAGGAAGATAACAATTATATATTAAAGAAAAGTTGTTCGAGAATGATACTATGGTTAAAGCTAATATAATCAAACTTGACAAGAATGACTTCGAATTATTCAAGTAGATAAAAGATCCTAATTATTATGAAATATCTATTAAGAAAGTATGTTTCACATATGAAGGATAATATATTGTCGTTAATGAATATGTAGGAAGTTGCTAAGTCATTAAAATAAAAAATTGTAAAGAGAATTAATAAATTAAATTTCCTCCATATGTAGATTAATAAGGTATGGAAGAATCAAACGAGGTATTTTTGTGTTTGAATTTAGAAAATTACAGCTCGTCTTTTTGCGAAAAGATTCAAGAACGAACTTGGTTTTCAACACAGATCAAATTCAGATAAATATAAATTCAGAAAATTGTCTTTCACAGATGATATCAATGAGTAAGCCATCAAATAAGACCTTGAGGGGTTTAACTTAGATTAAAAAGGATCAGATAAAAATAATCAAGTTCCCTAACCACAATAAAAATGATTAATAGTATATGTCCATAAAAAGAACTATAGTATTTCACTTTTATTATTACACCATTCTTAAAATCAATTCAATTAGATATTAAAACTAAATATTTTCAAACTAATTATATTAATAATGAACATGAACTAAACTATTGATTGTTTTGGGTAGAATATATTTTTTCGATAAATAGACCAGACAATCTAATAATACATGAAAGACCTCTCACAATAAGTTACATTGATGAAAATAGCCCCTAAAAATTTTGTAATCTCTCATAATTACTTGCATCTCAAAATACCAAAAGGACAAAAAAGATATCCAGAAGATCATTATATCAAGTCAACTTAAAAGATTATTATTATCAAACCTATATTCCAACTCGATCCCCACCAAGCTTATAACTATAATTATAAAATTACTAATACAATACATCAAAATCAACGAACACTAGGAAAAATAATTTCATTAAATAAAAGGAAGCTAAATGTAAGACTCTTCCTTTAAACGATTTCAACTATGATGAAATATAGAAAAGAATCGAATTGAAAAAGATGATGCTCGAAAAAATGTATCTCATCAAAGATAATTAAAAAACATAAACAATTAAAACCGAAAAAACAGAAGAAGTTGTCTTACCTTAAAAATTGAAAACTGATGTCTCCATTTCATGCAACAATAAATAAAAGAAAAATTAAGAAATTTAGACTTATAGACCTACCTAATCACGAATAGGGTCATCTTATTACAATAATAGAAAAATGAATACAACTTTTCAGGCTATGCCTTTGTCTTTGGGTTTAAACATTGAGAAATGTAAAATAGTAGAGAGGTTGACTTAATCACCATTCTATTCTAGAACAAGTAAAAAGATAGGCTACAAAAATTGTAGTGTAGGAGATAGGGGTTAAAAGTTCATGATTATGCAAAAACCAATTTTAGAACAATTTAGCTTATAAAAGAAATCATCAATACCTGTTGCAAAATGGGATCATTCTGATTTGGAAAATGATTGAAAAATTAATTGCTAAAAATTTTTTTGTATTAATATCAATAATAATTTGTATATTGTATATATAATCCTATTAATTCTAAAGTATTCCCAGACTCAATATGTTATTATTAATTTCTATGATACACAAGGTCACTGCGAATTATTGATTTGAAATAATTGAGGAAGATCAAATAATTATCAAATATATTATAAGTACTTCAACTAAGAATCCTGTGAGTATCCCATAGAATAGTTTATTAACATATTTATCGAACTATGTGATAAATGGCAATGTGAAAATCAAAGAATAAGTACTCTAACAAAATAACGATTAAATTTATATATTGTGGTTACTTTATATTGATTTGAAAATTTTTCATAAATAAAAATCTTTTATCTCTAAGAGAATGGGCGCATATAAGTATTTACAAGAGCTCTGGAAAAAGAAGCAATCAGATGTGTTGAGCTTCATTATGAGAATCAGAACATGGGAATACAGACAATTACCAGTGATTCACAGAGCAACCAGACCAAGCAGACCAGATAAAGCCAGAAGATTAGGGTACAAGGCCAAGCAAGGTAATAGAAAACAATGATGATGTTAGGCTATGTGATTTACAGAGTGAGAGTTAGAAGAGGAGGCAGAAAATTGTTGATCAGAAAGGGACTCGTCAAGGGCAAGCCCAAGAGTCAAGGAGTCAATTAATTAAAGCCCACCAGAAACCTTAGATCAGTTGCTGAGGAAAGAGTAGGCAGAAAGATCGGAGCACTTAGAGTTTTGAACTCTTATTGGGTTGCCTAAGATGGAACATACAAATATTATGAAGTCATCACCGTTGATCCATTCCACCCAGCAATCAGAGGAGACTCAAGAATCAACTGGATCACCAAACCAGTTCACAAGCATAGAGAATTGAGAGGTTTGAATGAAAATGAATATGAAAGGTTTAACATCGGCTGGCAGAAAGAGCAGAGGACTCAGAGTCAAGGGTCATCGCAACAATCAAACTAGACCTTCAAGAAGGGCCAATTACGCCAGAAGAAATAGAATTTCCCTCAGAAGATTTAGATGATGTTTTTTTTTATGCATATACTCAAGTACAAATTAACAATAACAACACCACATAAAATAATTTATTTATGAACGAGATTGCCTATCCCCAGACCCAATTCCAAAGATACTCATCTCGCCAAATTAACAAGGTTACTTACTACTGTCAATCTCTGAATGCTCCTGAGAAGGATGTTTCCGAAAAGAAAAACCAAATATATTAATGGTAAGTGAGACACATTAATCAAGGTTGAGAAATTTGCCAACGCCACAATTGGAGCAAGTATTATCCTTCACCTCTTATTACAGAGTTCATTCCTTTCTAAAGATGTTTAAACAGGATTAAAATTTGCTTCATGAATATTTCGAATTAGCTTAATCCCCATATGAGGTTAATGTAAAAATCAAATTACATCAATACTATTATGTGAGAGAGTGCAATAGAATAGATATGAATGCGCAATGGAGATCTGCCTAATAAGTATTATTTGCACTTAAACTATAGTATATTCTTGATCACACCTACATCTCAGATTATGAATGGCTTTTAGACACTATTACAATTAAAGGCAATATTGAGGAGATTATTTAATCGTTTGAAATACTATCCAAATCATAAATATTCACAAAAAATTGGAGAATCGAGACCAATGAGGACGAGGAATACTCAGAAATTAATTTTGATTCATAATAAAATCAAAAAATGTTCTGGACCCTATCAGAACACATCGTAAACGAAATTGAAAAGGCCATCTTAATTAAGTAACATTTTGTAAATACAACTTAAGATTCTAATAATTTGAACAGAAATGCACTTATACTAAATAGGATTAATTATTTAACTTTCATTAAATTGAGTTAAATTTCAATAATATCAATTATGAGGCTGAAACTCAAGAATTTTACAAGGTTTTGGAACTCTCTCAAGGGGAAATGTAGTTTATAGATGAAAAAGTGCTTTTATAAAGTTGGCTTTAGCATATTAAATGTGAAAGTTTAAGTTTGAAGAATGTTGATAATGAAATCCAACATTTCCTTTAAGAGAAGGATCTAATCTTTTAATCTCCTCTTAAGTACACAAGTAAATATGAAATTCAATGTTATAGTTACGGAATCCTTATTGTTTTGCAAATATCTAATTTGTAAATAATTAAGAAATTAATTTCCATTAAAAAAACCAGTTGAGGAGAATCTAAAAGAGAAAAAAAAACCAAAATAAAAGCTTTCTGATTTGAAACTATTCCAAAATCCAGTTCCTGTTCCAGTTGAAGATTAATCATTAAAATCAGTCGTTTCCTATTTTTCAAATTCTGGAAAATCAAAAATATTACCAGAAACTGAATAAAGACTATTTAGTACCCATTTAGAAGAAAAAGAGTAGTAAATATATGAACATTCGACAGGTTTTATGAAAAAATTGATTGAAACTGTTTTGATTGAACTTGAGAATTTTAAATAATATAAAAAGAAACTCAAAAAAGTCAAAAATACTAAAAAATAGTAAGTAATTGAAGTTGTGCAACCAGAACCTGCAGTATAATAAGAATCTTAGAATATTATAAAAGATGATGAATGGAATGACAAACCTAAGTCTAAAAAATAGAGAAAAAAGCAGCTTGAAAAACAAAGAAAAAAAGAGTAAATTTATCAATTGATATTTCTAGCAATTTAGAGAGGAAGAAGCTTAAATAAATGAACCAATCTCAATAGCTTAGTGTATAAGAAGATGAAAAATTAGAGAAATCATCTAAATCTTCGATCAAGGATGATAATGAGGATATCGAGAATCAAAATGAGAATGATTCTTAACAAAATAATAATGAAGAACTTATATTTGAATAATAGTAAAAGAATGATATCATCGAAAAAGTTACTCAAGAAATTCCTATTATCATTAACTCTGTACCTGATGATGAAAGTGATTACATCGAAGTATAGAATAAAAAGCAATAGAAAAAATAAAGTAAGTCAAAATCATCCAGGCACAAGAAACAATCAAATAAGAAAGACAAAGAATTTTAAGACAATTAATCATTACCAGATGAGTAGTAGTACATTCCATTGCTAAAGAAATCTACCTCATAATCAGTTCAAAAGAATAATCGTCACCAATATGATGAGCTTAAATTAGAAAGGATGCCATCTCAATAGCAAAACAGAATTACACTTTAAAAAAAGGAGAGTGGAATGAATAAAATACAAAGATCAGGTTTAGTTAAGTCGAAAGCTCAACAGAAAGAATAGAAACTGTATACATATGATTTAGATCAAGCCCAATTATAAAAGATCTATAAAACAATATTGGAATAAAAGATTACGAATGATGTCAAATAAATATATCAGAAAGAAATTGATTAATTTAATAGGTATAAAGCAGCGAGAGACATTTCAATACAAAGGGTCTAACATGTTATTAAATCATATTTTAAGAATTGTGACACTTAAATCTTTGGATCCTCTACTACTGGCTTAGCTCTAAAAGATAGTGATGTTGATATGGTTGTTTATGGTCTACAAGTATTCACAAAATAACAGTTGTTTGAACCTATGAGAAGATTGATTGAGATTTTCACTGAATTAAAATGGGCTGTGTAATGCAAGTACAATATAAATTGCTATTATTTAGACATATATTTCAAGCTTCAGTGCCACTCATTAAAGTCTTAGTAGATCCTTCCATAGACTTTCTTTCATTTAAAGGAGAACCAAAATACATTATCATGTAATGCAGGAACCTCGATCTCAATTTAAAATATGGAGATCCAAGTAAATATGAGTTTGATTTTAGGTTAACATATCTTCATTGATATAACATTTGAATTGGCTCCTTCGTATGCAATATATAATCCATATATCTAAGCATTCAATATTGGATTTCAATCAACACAATTCACAATTGATATATGTGGAAAAATCCAAGGATTTTCAGAGGTTGCAATATATCTAAAGAAACTGCTTAAGATAAAGGATCTGAATGATTCATATACGGGTGGTATTAGTTCATTTTGTTTAACAATAATGCTGGCAGCCATTGGATAAGATCACAGTATAGGTTAAAAACTGATAAATTTCTTACATAAATATGGATGTAATTTTGATCCAAACAAATGGGCTATCTATTTGGATGAAAAAGAATAAAATAATTTTTACAACATTGAAGATGAATAGTCAAATCAACCACTTACTATTATTTCACCAATCAATTTACAAAAGATTCAAATCAATGTTACTAAGATACAAACTATATTGTAATTATTTCAGCAATTGTATGTTGAAATAATGCAGAATATTGATTAGATAGAATCTTGTTTGCAGAAAAGGATCAATCAGAAAGAACTATTAGAGAATTACAATAGTCACTAAATATCAAAATTAGTTGACCTTGTCTCTTGGCAATGTTCTAATCTACTTGAAAGCCACATTTAATGATTTTATTATTAATATCTATCTGTTTATAATTGACAAATAAATTATCATCATTACGCTTTAACTAATTAAATAAAAAACCTTTTTTACTAGAAGTCTTCTTTTCTCCTTTCTAGTTCTTTGATGAATGGTAACATTGGTGCCTTGCTTTTGATTGAATTGAAGGCTATAACTATATTTTCTATATTTATGTTGATGAACAGGTTGATCAGACTTTCAAATTTTTACCTCTTAATGCATTCCTTTTATTAAAGACTAAAAGAATTGTTTTCCTTTTTCTTTGGAGTTAGACAGGTAAATTGCGAAACACTTCTATTGAGAATGGGTGCTCCATTGATATAATTGGCTGATTTCTGGCTATTCTAAATTCTTTTTTTTTGAGTGCATTCCTAAGAGGACTTTAAGACAAAATTCTTTGATTTTTCTTAGGTTTATAGATTTTCTATGCTTTGTCTTCTGATTCTGCCATATAAATCTTGGTCTTTCAGAAAATCAGGCTAATGCTTAATAATCGTTTGTTGCCTATTAATTTATTATTTTAATAATGGAGTTAGACTGCCTCAAATTATTAATAATTCTATACTTTTCCTCAGACTTAATAATTCTTATAATTTGGCTTAATAAATTTTGCTTTTTTCCATTTATTTCTAATTGAGAATGTTTTCGTCCTAGACACTATCGTGATGAATGGTTTTCTATTTTTTTGGTTTCAGTTCTGGAGATAAATTCATTTTAACAGTGGCTAAAGACTTAGATTCAGGTTGACTCGGTTAAATAAGTCGGGCTCTTCTCAATCTAGTGAGGTCATTGTTACCAACCATATAGTTAGAGTTTTTCAGTCTCAAATTCATAATTTAAAAATAACGATTACATTCAAATAAAATAAATAAATAAACATAAAAATTGTATAAAGAGTTATATAAAATATCATTATATTCTAATGTATTATTGTTGATACAGAGCTTCTTTCTTGTTTCTTAGTGAAACAGAATAAGGTATTTTGATTTAATGAAAGCTTACTTTTTTAATTACATTTTGCGATTCTTACAAAAAACTTTTTCTTCGTCTTCCATCTTCACTAAGGCATAATTTACTCTTGAGGATGCTTTTCGGTTAAGTATTTTGTTTAGTAAATTTAACTGTGTTTGTTTTACTTCTGAATAGTCTTAAAGGCAATTTGCAAAGTTTCTCCTTGTTCTCCAATTATACAAGACTCAACTTTTCTTATAAAGGTTCTTAGTTGGTGTTCACCAATTAAGTTACGTAAATTTATCTTTATGAAAACCTAGTAATTTTAATGGGTGATACTTCTAAAGCACAGCTTTTATATGTTTAAGTTAATTATCTTTTACCTTATCTTATTAAAGATTGTTTTTATAATGGTTGAATAATTTGAGTTCGCATTCTAATTGAATTATATTCTTGATTTATTGGGGTCTGGGAATTGCCTATATGTTCTACTGAACCTGAAGGACTTTAGAGAATGTTGTCCTTTCTAATTGATTTACGAACATTTCTCTATCTTTAGACTGGAAGAAAGTGTGACACTTCTTTTGATATATTTGATTCATCATCTAAATTTAGCTAAGTGCATTAAATTAGTTTTTTATAGGTGAAATTTAGGGAACATAAAGGACTAACTTGATTGGACTAGAGGAATCTGAATTCTTATGAATTAGATCTAATCTATTTCACTCTTGCCACAACTGATGTATAGGTTTCGGTTTAAAATGTATCATATTCTTCCTTCTTAAACTTTGGCACTATAATTCTGCAATCCAACTTCAAAGAATCGTCATCGCTGACTATTGCATCTGAATTTTCCAACATTTCCATTATTAATTCTTATGATAAGGTTTGATTAAAATGAAAATAATAATAAGTCATTGTTATTATAAAAATATTAATGTATCATCATAAAATTGATACATCTCAGAATAAATTGTATGTAACTAAAATTAATAATTCATTTCTGTTCAACTTATTAAGATAGTAAAATCATTTATGGAGAATGCTTGAATAACCTAATCATACCTTGATAAACGTATTTATTAACTCATTTAACATTTAAAATTCTTATTTGAGATTGAGTGAATTTAGTGGATAGTTTTTTTAAGATTGATATAAGAATTGATAATTTAAATTCGTTTTTCAACTATTTCAATTAAAAACTATAGATTTTTGGAATATCTTACGAATACTCAACCACCCTTTGAAACTTTAACTCGTATTCCAAATAGCTAATTGAATCCTATTAAATTGCTACCTTAATTTTAATCTGATGAATGGACTAAAGCTCATTAGAATATCATTTATATAAATTTAATTATCTTTCAATAAAAATCATCATAAACATCGTAATATTGAATGAGATATTAATACTCCCTATAAATTTGATTTAATCATAGCAAAGATGAATTAGCTATATTTAAAACTTTAAAGCTCTTTATGATTTTTAGATGCTTAAATATATGAATTCTCATTTCTTATAATAATAGTTGAATATTGTATATAAAAAACAAATTATTAAATAAATTAAAAAAAAGATTTAAAATGGTAATGAGTTTCACTTATGTTTATCTTAGGGAGCACACAAATCATTGAGAATGAAGAAGAGATTGATCAAAGCAAATAAGCAAAATAGACCTCTTCCAAATTGGTTTAGATATAGAACAGATAACACAATCAGGTAATGATTGAATTTTAGTCTCATTCTAGATATAATTCAAAACGTAGACACTGGAGAAGAACTAAGCTTAACATCAATTGATTTGTTTACGATTATAATACCGTACATTTAATAATAAATCTAAAGTAATATGCCACATTCACAATTTATTTAATTATTAAAATAAATTCCGTTCATTATTTTTTTAACTATTCCTTCAAATGTTTTACTCTTTCGTACATGATTTCGATCTAATTCTTCATATCTGGAATATCAGATTTTCTAACATCTCTGCTGATGCATCTTTAGATATTTAAACACCCTTTTTGATCGTCAATGGATCCAATAATCAATTCCTTTTGAATAAGATCAATTAATAATGATTCGATGTCTGCTCGTGAATTTAAATAGCAGGCTTATTGAATTTAATCGAAAGTCACAGTCTTACTTCTATATTTTAATTATTGTTTATTACCTTTAACACAGTTGTAGGATGGTAAGGATTATCATTTTCTTTTATTGTTTGTCATTCCTATATTTAATCTAAGGATTGCAAATTCCATAGGCGAATCTATCGAAGAGTACTTTGTCTTCTTCAGTCTAATAGGATGGAGGATGTGAATACCTTGACAAGATGTATATACTTTGTAAATTAGTATGTTTAATCATCCTCTATATAATCTATTAATGACATTTTAGGTTTATTAAATTATTAATAAAATTTATAAAAATGAAAAGAAAGCAAACGATAAATGCGGATTACCAAGACATGATTCAACAAGCCAAGAGCATGTTTAATTTGGGTTAGGACGAAGTAAACGAGATTATCGTGGAAGTGAAAAAATTTGATACCAAAGGGACTGGATATGTAGGCAAACATGAAGTGGATGACGTTCTAAGAGGTAGTTACATTTTTAATAATTAAGATCTTAAACTGTTAGACAATGAAAAGTTGATAGCTAGGTTTAATGAGGAATTAAAAATAATGAACGCAAAGTTTCTTGACTTTAAGCAGGTTTGTGATTTGTATTGTAAATTAAAACAATACTAGTAGTAACTAAACGAAGAAGAAACCATCACTCAAGAATACAGTAATGTTATATATTAACGTGTAGTTGATGCATTCTGTGCCTTGGGGGGTTAACTTGATAAATCAGGATTTGTATTAAAATCTACAATTATTGAAACGATAAAAAGAGAATTTGAATTAAATTTAGAATTGGATTCAATCTTAGGTGACTTTCATGGAACCTAATTGGATTTCGATGAGTTTTGTTAGTTGTTTGAGAATGCTGGAGATGATGGTAAATCATTTATTACTGTATCAATTTGATCTAGCAATAGAATGTGTCTTTATCAAAAAGAAATCAGAATGATTTTGTTGTTAGATACAAGGACTTCGAAAAATGGGACAAATTAGTTAATTGAATTGAAAATTCATTTTATATTTCTTATAGAATAGAAATATATATAAAACCTTATAAAATATATATGTTAATATATAATTCAGTTAAAAATAATCCACTAAATGGGAAATAGTGCAGCAAAATTAAATAGAAAATTTGATCATTGGATTTCAAAGGCACATAATTTTATATTCAAGGCATCTTAAGGCAAAGATCCTCAATTGGTTATTGATCATAATAGTCAAGGCCATCCTGTAGATCAAAACATTGAATAGCATTAAAATTAAGGAGATCAGTAATAAGAAGCCTAGAGCATTGATGATAACCTCAATGAGAATAATTATGAATCATTGATTCTTACATCTTCAATCACAAAAGATGAATCGAATTCAGACAAAAGAAAAGCTTCATATTAATTAGTCTCGGAAAGTGAATCTAAAAGAGTATGTGTCAATTAAGATTATGTAATAATTGATGAATGACATATAATATTGATCACTGAATAGTGAGTGATTCATAATTTACCAGAAATCACCATTGTTAATTCTCCATTCTCCCACTTCCCTGTAAAGTAATCATGATTTGTTCTCTTTATATAACCTTCTCCATTCGGAAGATCCATATCGAAAAAGCCCTCAAATTCGGCGTTGTTAGTCAAATCCCAAATTCCTTGTCCGCATTTTCTACATTTATTGAATATAAATTACTGCCCATTTTTAAATTCTCCCTTATAAGTCCTCCAATAGCCTTTAATCTGCACTTCTCTTAGTAGTGAGTAATTAATCTAATCTTCAAACACTGGATTTTCATTATAGAGTATTCCCTAGCCATCATATTAATCGTTCTTAAAATGTCCTTCATATTAAGGCCCCCCCTTTTTGAAATACAATATCCCTTTTCCATGTTTTAAACCTTGATTCACACTTCCAACATATTTAATCTAGGTTTTATTATCATCATAATATAATCGCGATTCATTTTCCTATTTAATATCGGAGAGGACATTATGAGTTTAAGTATCCCCAAGTGCTTAAGTGTCGAATTATTAACTTCTCTTTGTATCCAATTTGCTTATACCTTCAAATTGTTCATTATATGAAGGATTATGATTTTAAAATGATTGCTATTGTTAATTATTAGATAACAATCTGCCTGACTCCCAGACTCCTGAAAACTTTATTTAATTATTTAGTTCAAATTTCCCTTACCCATCTATCAAATCATTAGCAAATCTTCCAATGAAAATTTCTCCATTAGTTAAAAATAACTTGCCTTATCCGTGTTTCCTAAATTATTTATTTCAACAATAATACTTTCCAAATTAAAATGATCCTTCATACTTCGATGCATATTGATCTATTTTAGTGCAATCATTATAATAGAAGTTCTCTTTCAACATTTGAGCTTTCAAGTTATAGAATTTGCCTGTATTATGAAAGTCTCCTTAATGAAAATCTCCTTCGTAAACCAGCTAATTACCTTATGTAAATAGCTTGCCTAAATCCTTATATGATTATAATTACCCTTTCCATGACGTTATCCTTCATAACTACTACCGATGTATTGAAGATTGTCATCTACTTTACTGACTTAAGGCAACTATGCTTTACTAGCAGTGACTTAATGATAATCAAATTTATTGTTTCCTGACTATTAAATATTAGAAACTGCGTCAATAATATGATGATCATCTATTTTTTAACTAGGTGGTTTGAAAAGATTAGATTTAATAGTAATAGTTTCATCAATTGGTTAAACTAAAGGATCTTTAAACTCAGACTCAATTTTTGACTCATTTGAGGACAACTTAGTATACAACTGATAATAATTAGGTCTTCTAACTATGTCTAAATCTAACATCTCAATTATTAATTCAATAAATCTTCCTGTAAATTGTTTTTTATAAGTCATGAGGTTCTCTATCCGTTGAGCAAGCAGAGCTTCGTTGATCTGAAATTTTGAATATATATCTTTGCTTTTCATTCCTACACCATATACATAATAGTACTTGTGATCAACTCTAAAATTAGCATTCCCAACCCAAAGATTTATACTCTATCAGGGTCGCAATTGTTCTAATGGAATTCCTCTGGTGATGGGAAGCCTGACAAGTCAAAATTACGTAAATTTTTTGACTTATACTCTTGTATTTCTTAATAGAATGATTTTGTCTGAACAAACGGTTTGATCTTCCAAGATTTACCATCATTAGTATGAATGTTATCAAAGCCCAGATATTGCTTCTTCGATCCAAGCAAGTATTATGCATTTACCACACAAGTTAAAAGGTCTGTGATTTATTTTTAATCTAAACTTTAATCTTTTGCCTTCTTTTATAAATATTCTCTTAGATTGTATAGGGGATGTTCAGTTAAAATGCTCAAGATATAGTACTTTGAAAATAGTTTGTCAACAGAGGTTAACATAATGTTTTCAATTTTCGCTATTCCGATCGAATCCCTATTTTTTAATTCTAAAGCTATTTTATTTTCCTCTTCAAAAGGGTAGTCTTTAGACTTAAGCGACCAGAAATCGTATTTATTGTTCTCAGGGCTCTCAAACACTTTATAAACCCCTTTATCAGAAATGAGTTTCATTTTTTTTAACTCTGGAAGATTCTCCCCTTCAGCGCTTTCTATGTTACCCATCTTTTTATTAATAATTAATAATAAATGTATACACCTATATTCCCCTTTTATATAAATGAAAATGCAAGTGTATGGAAATATAAGAATCAAATTTTAGATAATTATTAATTATAGAAGACATGAGGAGGCAACGCATTAAATAAAATGAAATTGCAATTCATTTTTAAAAGTAGTGAACAAATTTTTGATGTCTCGTTTAATGGGGGGACTTTAAAAAATTTAAAGAAGGCATGTATGGATGAGATGTATGTGAATCTCATTGCAAAAGAAATAAAATTCCTTAAAAAGATGAAGCATCTAAGCATAATTTAAATTTATGAGATTATAGATAAAAATAAAGAAATATATTTTAGTGGTTTCTCAAATTTTAATTTGCTAGAGGATAAAATAAAGCATATTTTTAAATATTTAATTCTATTAGGAACCTTTAATTTGCTCAGTGGGCCTATCTGTAATACAACTTTATAAACATTTAATTATTTCTCAAAAATCAAGGGAAATAATTACAGAAAATTAAAAAATTCTACTCAAATCATCTATCGTAAGGAAATGATATTCCTAAAATGGTTAAAAAGTGATGGAAAGATCTTAAAACATATTAAATATAGATTCAAGTGAGAAATTCACAATATCTCAAATGATATCACATTCTTGAATGGACAAATAAAAATATCTATTAAGAAATGATAATATAATTATTACTTTAAATCATAGTAGAACAATTAAAACAATATATGAAGCGGATTCAATATGATGCCAGGAAAAAAAACAAACATGACATAACATAATCAATTTTGCAAGACTTGAAAAAACAACATTAATTCCACTTTAATTGAAAGTAATCACTTAAATTGTTAATACGCTCAATATTAAGTGGTGAAACAAATTGAAATATTCCAATTTCGATAAATAATAAATAAATCGAAAATAAAATACTTCAACAATAATATTTGCAATAGTAGTTTAAAGGACGAGATTATGTTACAATAGCTCTATGTAAATAGAAATTTAAAGTTCAACCAATAATACACTTATTTAAGGACACATAAATGGGCATTTAATTAAAAAATGCCCTACAATCATAGATCCAAATATAATTGTTTGTAGATTTAATATAAATCCATCAAATAACTGCAAATTAAATTATTATACTTATTACTTACCGATATTTCCTAGCAAAATGATCTTTTTGATTTACTATGCCAATTTTAATCTCAACATAATATTAGAAATATCTATAGTTAGATCTACAATTATAATAATTTATATTTAAAGTAAGGTCATGAGTTAAGTGTAGATTGTAATTCATATTAGGATACTCTAAACAAACTTAGCATGTATGATTTTTCACTTTTTTTTTGGTTAAACAAAATAAAAAATTAATAAAAATAATATAAAAGTTGCGACAGAGTCACATTTATCCGAATTTATTTCTCAATTGCTTCCAAAGTGACTTTGTTACATGATGAAATTGAATAATCTTAAAGATACAGTCTATAATCTCAATCGAAACCCATTATCAAGCATAAATAAAACCTTAGATATTGCAATACTATAAATGTTAGCATCAGTCCAAGTTATATCATTCTCAAGGTGATAAAAATTGCTCAAAATCGATTTTTGTATGAAGTGAGCTCAACCATGGATTATTTATTGCTGATATGAAATATATTTTAGTTCTTTTTATAAGAAATAATAATATGATCTAATTTAATTCAAGTACTCTGATAGGACCTAAGTCTATCTTTATGTAACCTTTAGAAATTTACTAAAATCATGATATTGATGACACTTAATGCGCAGATGACTTTACAAATAAATACTTATCATAAACCAATAACTCTATATAAGAAACTCCGCAAAATAAGATTGAAGGAGGCAATAAAAAAAAGGAGGGCAAGAAAAAGGTTAAGTTTAATCTAAACATCGTTCATTGTTAATTTAATCAGAAAGAACCTGCAATTGCTATTGGAAAACTAGTTTAAAAGTTGATAAATTAGAAACCTTATCTAGATTGGGTAAATCCATAGATATAAAAAAACTAATGATTCTAAAATTCATATTTATACTTTTCTTTAACAATTCTTAATCAATAAACTTGTATCTCATATTAAGAAATAAGAATAATTTGATTACTTTTCCAAATTATTATGCCGTTTTTAATAACTTCGCAAAAAAAAGGAGGCTTTAATTAGATTGCCAACTCTTCTTTTAAGACACAATATAAATTAAACCATTCTAAAAATAAATATTTCTTATAAAATCTTAATCAATAACAGTATTCAAATTTGAAGTTTAACAATTTTTAATCTTTTATTATGATAATAACTCTGAAATATATCAAAATTAATAGAACATCAAGAGACTTAAGATATTAAATAGAGGTTAATTTATTTAGAAACTTATTTCACATAAACTAATTTACTGGGCAATAAATTTAACTGAGAGAATTATTGCACATCTAAATATATTTTAACAGATTCATTTATATATTCAACATTAGCATTGTTAACCTTATTTTGCCTATTCTGTGCTATTATTTGCCCATAAATTGACATTACTTTTTTCATCATCCTATTTCCCATCACCATATTGTTGACTATCATCTGTTCTCAATGAAGATGATGATGATTACTACTTATTTTATAATAAAACAGTACTTTTTATTATTTTCTTTTATTCCTCTTATCCTAGACCTATTAATTTCTTTTCGCCATTAATTTAATTGCGATTTTCTTGAAGGCTTCTTCAACTCCATCAGCAGTCTTAGCACTGGTTTCAAAGAACATCATATTTCTTTTCTAAGCATACTCTTGCACTCTCTCACTTTAAACTTATTTTGTACTAAGATCTGATTTGTTTCCCAACAATAAGAGTTCAGCATTCTTCTCAGCATAACTCTCTATCTCATTCAACCAGAACTTTTCAATATCATCAAAGGATTGCTAACATGTTGTGTCATAGACAATAACAATTCTAAAATTTATTTATAATTAGTTACGCATCAGCCCCTTTATAATAGGCATTAGTAATTGTCCTGAATCTTTCCTATCCAGCAGTATCCCAAATTTATAACTTTAAGCCTTTATTATCAACTTTTAATGTTTTGAATCTAAAATCAACTCCTATTGTTGTTATGTAATTTTCACTAAAAGTGTCATCAGCAAATCTTAATAAAAGAGCAGACTTTCCAACTCCACTGTTCCCTATTATAACTAATTTAAACAAATAATCATATTCTCTGTTAGCCATTTGAACTTATTTAATATAATAATATATCAGAATATTTCGATTTGAATTTTATGCATTACAAATACTATTATAAAATACTAATAATAAAGATCAGTTGAATCAAACAAAATATTTTCCAGAACAACAGATTGCTCTAATTAATAATTAAAACAGCATTATTGAGATTAAATATTAGTCATATGAATCAATCCTATTAATGTAAATCTTCTCTCTTTATTTTTTATTCCTCTATTAACTAATCAATTTCATTTTTTTCAAACCATTTCATTCTTTTTCCTTCATTCCATTCACCCACTTTAACTTCTCTGTTCTATAAATAATAAATTCCGATGCCATGTTATCTTCCTAAAACAATTGAAAAATATTCTTACCTTATATCCAAGTTCCTATGTATTTTCTGCCATCAGCCCATTCAAACACTCCTTTACCATGCTTTTTATCTTCTTCATATTCCTAAAATATACAAAATCATTACCCCAGTGTATTTACGACCATCCTGCCAAATAATCTGTCCTTTGCCATGCATCTTATTCTTTTTCCATGACCCTTTGTAAACTCTCTTGTCAGGCCAAATATATGTTCCCTCTCCATGTATATCATTTTACAGGAACTCACCTTGAAAAATAGACTTATCCTTTACCATCATATCGTGAACCATCAGCGAAATTCAAAATACCCTTTCCATGCTTCTTTCCTTCATAATATTGACCTTCGTATTTTGCTCCATCTGGCCAGTTTTCTACTCCTTTACCATGCTATTTATCATTTTCCCACTAGAAATAGAATTTAATCTTACTTCTCCTTCATATTTGGCTCCATTTACATGAACATATGTTCCTTTACCATTGGCTTTATCATTTTTCCATTCTCCATCATAAACATCTCCATCTGCATGTGTTAATTTACCCTAATTTTAATATTTTATTAGTACTCTTCCTGAAGACTTATCTTCGACCCATTCTCCCTCATAAACTGAACCATCTGGCCATTTTTATCTTCCTGATCCATCCCTCATTCCATTTTTCCACTCTCCTTCATATACAGCTCCTGACTCTAGTTATATTGGGGGTAACCTCTTTCTTTCAGTGCTGTTCATTGTACTTTTAATCAGATCATTTCCTTCTTGATTGCTTGCTACGTTCATGCTAACTGAATGGTTGGCAGAAATATTTAATTATTTATCCAATTCTTAGGATTTTTTAGAATTCTCATCAGCATTTTTAGGAGGTGCTTCCTTTGCAGATTCCCTTTTTTGTTCCTTTTTTTAATCTTTCTTTTATTTTTATTATTCTTAATCAATCGTAAATCTTTCATGTTCTTTTACCTAAACTTTCTGTTCCTCTTTTTTTTGCTCGTTTTCCTAATTATCAGGCTTCGGCTTAGTTTTCTCCTTTGGTAATCTAATTTCTGTATTGTCATTGTCTTTATTTGCACAGCATGATTAACAATTCGCCCCCATAATAATATTTTGTTATGTTAAATAATATTTATATTTAACAAGTTTTTTAATTAACAGTCAAAAAGTGTAGTACTGATATTTTATGGGAACTACCAATAGAGATCTGAAAAACGTAACGAAAATGTTTGGAATATTATATTAAAGGAAATTAAATTAAATTAATTGTAACCTTAAGAATAATGCTTTTAAGTATCAATTTTCAAATAAAATAAATTATATTAATCATAAGAACTAGACTGAATGTCCCCCTAGCAATCCTCTTTATTAAATTTGACCGCAAACCTAAATTAGCTATTTAAGACATATTTCCAATGCTGATTCATCCTCATATCCCATTTCGACTTAAATAATTTGATTCCATAATTACTTAATAAACTTCTATTGATATAATCACAAACCCTTTCTCTTTACTGCTGAGTAATGAGTCCTCTCAAAGCACTGATTCCAATGTCATCAAAACATAGCAAACCCACAATACTTTCGATTTTCATTTTAATAGGATTTAGCTACTAGTCAACACATTCTACTTGAAAATTTAAATGTTGACTAAAATGAATTTATCCCAAATTTATAGCCTCTTAGACTTTGTCCTTTTTCACTATTCATAGGACTGATAGATTACTTAATTCAATAAAGTATTAGGCATACAAGGTCTGTTGGACTCCCTCCTTTTATAAAAAGCCTGGCATCATTTCACTAAGGATATCAAGGACATCAGCAATTTTACCTTCTCGAATGAGTTATTGTATTTCTTGTTTAAAGAACATAATTACTTATTCTTTCTGAGTTAACTAATTGATCTTTCAAGAATGCCTATTCAGCTATTTAATTAAGTTCATTATTATTGTCCTACTCATCTAAATAGAAGCCACTGACTTTCCTTTCGATTGATGAAATCTATTGGAAATTCGGACTCTGCAATCCACTTAATTTTCTTTGTAAAGCAGACATCGGAGTCATTTGTAGACTCTATTTTCGTTTTAAGTCGCCATCACATTGCTATTCGTCTTCATAATTCATTTCTTCTGGTTTTTTCTCTAGTCTCATATTCTCGTTTTCTTGCAGAGAACTTTCTCTCTCAAATTATTTCAAAGAATTCAAGTATCCTTGACTCCATAAATACTCTTAAATGATGAGATGAAGACTGTAAGGAGATACATCTTATTTATCAATCTCTTGAATTATTTCATGCTTTTCCTTTTACAACATTTTCTGAAAATCAAATATCATTGGACTCGCTCCTAAGTTGAAGCGAAACCACGAAACATCTCCGCAAACCACTGTTGGGTAGAATGGCTCTTTAAAATCAACCTTGACTGTTTACAAGCTTCGAATTCCATTATGTGTGAAGAAGACTTCTGATTTATGAATACCACATCCTATAATGTCATCCTGTTTATATTGATTCAATTTCAAATCAATTTCTTGCTTTTTCATAATTACTTTTCCATCACAGTAGTACCCTATACTACCACCAATAATACCCAAAGGTTTGTTTGTTTGATAACCGTCAAAAGCCAACCCTATGGAAATAATACTACTTTTATTCATTACTATTACTTCTTAGTGTTGTCTTTTTTTAGGATTTTAACTTCAAAGTAATAAAAAGAGGATGTAATAGCTTTGTCTGTTTACAAGCACACGTATTCATGTGTTTCTGGGTTTGGTTAGTATTTGACAGTGAGTCCATCATTTTCATATACAACATTCTAATACTTTCTTCGATTTAGTTTTGCATTGGATAGAGTGCTATTATCCTGTATTTTCAACACGCTATTAATGTAGGGCTCTACTTGCATTATTTTTTAATTTAAATTAATGAAAATATTACAGATTATCTAGAATAATAATAATACAAATTTTGTGTAATATACTTATCATTGGATTTGATGTATTTTCAGAGTGTTAAATATTTAGTCCCTAAATAGCCTTGTACGATTTGGATCAGAAATAGAATTAGCTTAATTGAAGCAAAGAAGTAATATTCTGAACCTAAATTTTAGATGGCTATTATTGCAAATTCTATTATGGCAAACAAAGACAAAATCATATCATTAATGGTGGAACAGAAATTAAAGATTAAAAAGTTCTTACCGAAGTACTTCTTTTGAGGATTCAACAACTACTCATAAATATAATATTCTTACCCAAATCACCAATGCTAATTCAGTTATCAGCTAAGAGAAGGGAAACAAAGATATTTACATTATGGTTTCAATAATTTACAAATTATAAATGTATTTTTCCTCTAAAATCGTACTATCTAAAACATCAACTATCAATTCTAATAAATAGATCACAAAAAGTGGAATTTAAATTATGCACAGAATAACCAAAGCTGAAGTCAGCATTCTCTCATTTTTGAAGTCTCGATATCTTAAGAAGTAAGCGAATGTAATCGTAATAGCTCTTTTAACTCTAAGCCACCACATATTACACATATTTGTTTTTTATAAAGTATTATCTTCCTCTTCCTCCATATCAAACTTTTAAGTTATTAAGGGGGTGAGTATTCCATCAGCTTCTATTTTTCTTTACATTTACATTTTGAGATTGTTCAATTCTTCTTTGTCTTCCTCATATCTTTGATATGTTGTTATTTATTTATTGATATCGTTGATTGTATTGATTATAATTTAATTATCGTAATATCTCTTGACATTAAAATCTTACTTTTCAAAGTTGACTGACACCTTGATCTAGTATTCTGATTTGTAATTCACAATATAATGAAGTTCCCTCAAAGTTTATTAGAAATCGAGAAGCTTCTATGTAGTCAATATAATCAAGGAGGACTATTGGATTCCTAAAATGTGAAAACAGATATCCAATAAAATTTGTTTTTTATTGAAAATCTCACTATTGCTTTCATCTATGAATTCAAATAAAGAAAAACAATTTTTAATGAATTCTGCATTTCCCTTTCTTGTATCTATTTACAACATTAATAAGTTGAATTTTGTTATGAAATCATCGAATGTATGTATCTCCTCTTCTTCATTTTCAGATAATAATTCATCTGACTCTTCATCATCTATTGGCATAAAGATCTTCTGTTTTTCAAAAGACATCTTCATGGATTTTACTAAAGGATCTTTTAAATTGATTTGCCAAGGAAATAAGAAATCTCCGTCGCCTTACAAAACCAAAGAGATTAGAAATTGAGTTGATTTATTCCAATCCAGTATATTATTATTATAATTTAAGACATCAATATATGCTAAAGTGTAATCTGAACTATAGGATATTTTTAGACAATAAATTTTAAATTTATTATTTTTTTGCATAAAGGTTAGGATCTATTAAGATTTCTTCTTTTAGTAGTACTTTAACAATATAAAATAAAATGGAAAATACCAAATTTTTAAGAACACTAAGGAAACTTATTAAAAGTTTGAATATTTTCCAATAGCGTTGATATTCTCAACTACTTTATTGATATAATATTAATCCAATTGAGTATGAGGAGGTAAATGCCAAGGAGTATTTGGAGTGTTATTCCCTTAAACATATAGTCGTTTAACATAGTAGGGAAGATCTTCAGGCAAGAACTGGGGATCTTCAGATGCTGCTTCGTATAGATTTGGATTCTCTTGAATTTCTGTTAATGATATTATAGCAGAATCATGTAGCCTATTATTAGAAGTTCTCTATCGTAAGCAAAGGAATAAAATAAAATTTATGACCAACAATCCAATACAGAATATAATACTAAAAAGTACAATCTCACCTCCAGATTGTCTGACAAAATTATATACAACACACTGTTATTTATCAAGGATTTTTCCAGGTTTGCAAGAGTGGATTTTACATATAGGGCTAGTCGATAATTCATAAAGATGGACATCTTCATCATAATTGATGCATCTTTTGCATTCTCCAACACTCGATAGGTAAGTGTAATATCCCGATGGACATTAAAAACACCTTGATTTTATTTTATCTAATCCAAAACCTTAAGGACATTCTTTGTAATAAATTGATCCTTATAACGAATTTACCCCTGCCTTTATTATTAAATTATGATTCATGAGGTCTTCAATATATATTCTCCCTCCACTTCCTGTTCCACTTATTGTTGATCCTTAACCTCCCTCTGCTGACACAACTCCTCTTCCAAATAATCTCCCTCTCAATTAAATCGATCCTCCAGAACCTCCACCATAAATAATTCCGTCATCTCTCTAAGATGCTCCCCCATTAGCTTCAATAACTCCATCTAATATAATGTTCACACTCTAAAAATAGATGACTCCACCACCATATCCTCCGAAGTAATTTCCTCCTCCGCCTGAACCTTCAAATAAGGGATTGAATGGATCGCCATAAGCTTATCTTGGCACTAAATTTTGACATTATTCATTAAAGTCATTCACTTCTGATGTTGGTTTTCCACCCAAACCACCGTAACTACCGCCAGATGACCCACATTTAAGAGTATATGATAGCATCCAATCATAGAACCCACAACCGTATCCTTATTATTCTTTACATCCTAAACCAGACGTATAAACTATAGACTTTGAATCTATTGTTATATTGGATAGATTGGCATAAATACCAATACTACTTCCATATAGTGATGTATTCTGTAGATGTACTTCATTTGAGGCAATCCCAAGAGTGAAATTGTCATCTAAATTAATTGGAATTCTCTAAAAAGATTTAATGTCTCTGATCGAACTCGAATTACAATATCCTTAATTACATAAGCAATCAGCTCCTAGACATTTTTAAACATGGCATTATAATAAAGAGTGTTCCAATTCAACATAATCAGAATAGATCATTAAAATATTCGTATTCATTCTAACATCCTACAATAATAAGTTTTCTGCTTTAAATTAAACTTTATCAAAATAAACAAATACTACATCTTAGAAGACTATTTGTTATCCTTGAAATGCTAAATCTACTAAGTTCTCCCCTATATTTTACTAAAATGTCGAAGATTATATAGTCATAATTTAGCTTTTTAAGGAGTACTTCTCAACTGAGGATTAATGATTAACAATGTTAAAGACAACATTCGTCATAGTAATATTTTGAAAGGTCCAAGCAGTTTATACGAATAGCTATGCTTCACAGTCTTTTATAATGCAATTATCCTGATTAAAACAATCTAAATATTATTATTAGCAATCTAAAAGGGCAAATGCATTATAAATATAAATGAGCAGGAACATATTTATTATTTATTAAATTATTATATGAGTGTTGTATAACAATAGTGTTAATTATTGAGTATTTATCTTACGCGCTTTTGGAAAGTCTAGCTTTTTTGCAATCACTCAGTTTCATATAAAAGCTAAATTAATCTGATCCATAGTTAAAATTTTTTTTAAAGAATTAACCTTATTTCATTTATGGGAGATCACATTAAAGCCTTAATTGAAACCTAAGTCATCGGAGCATTTAGAGTCGCATTAACAATGCCCTTGGAACATGTGCTTGATAGAATTAAGACCTATAAGCAATCTAAACAAGGAATAACTTACATTTAAGTACAATAATCGATTGAGACTGTAGAGCTACTTGGACATCAAAGGAGCAAGAGGATTGATCGGATTGTACGATGGCTTCTACCCTAGCTTTTTGAGAAACATGGTGAAGCAATACTATAGATGGCCCATGATGATTTTCATCCCTTCCATGCTGAAAGATCACATCCACAACCAATCTCTGAACAAAATAATCACAGGGGCCTCCATTGGATTATTTGAAAGTTGCATCATTACGCCTTTTGAACGACTTAAAACTCTGAAGATGACCTCTATGGCTACAGGATTTGGTTATCTCAAATACATCACATTTGAATCTATTTATGTAGGATTTAGAATACAAACAACAAGACAAGTGGTTTCGTGGACAAACTATTTGTATTGGGATCATAAAGTTCGTTATGCATTAAAAGCAGACCCTAGTCAACCACTCTCAATACTCAATTCATTGATTGCTTCAACATTGAGTAGCATTCTGAACATTCTAGCAGGTATTAATTGAATACTTAAATCAGTCCATCCCTTTGATACAATAAAAACCCTAGTTTAAATGGAAGAAAATCAAAATTATCGAAAAATCTCTTTGTATTAGTCTTTTAAGCTTGTCTATCAAAATTACGGCCTTGCAGGTTTATATGCAGGATGGTAAGCTAGAATTATAGCTTACTTCTGTCAAGCTCTTCTTACCACTCCAACTATAGATTATCTAGAAAGAAATTATGGTATTTCTAAAGGTAAAAAGTAATAATGATGAGATTATTCTCATATCAAATTCTATATGTAGGTTTTATAATTTACATATAATTTTCAAATTATCAACTTCTATAAATCATAAATACTAATTTAAGTAAATAATCTCAATTAATGAATTAATCACTTCCCCCAAAAATTCGATTCATTAGACTTAGGCATCTTTGAATATTCAAATTTGTTCAATTTCTCATCCTCCTTTTAAGCGACCCACAATGTCTTTTTCTAAACCACATCATTTAACTTTTTAGGTTCTCCTGGATACTCTCGAATTGCATTATTCTGCCAAAAATCAAAAGGATCATCCTTAGCATTGACATCCACAAATTTGGATTCATCAAATAACTTATTTTCTCTTGGTTTCCTCAACTGCTCTTGAACCACCTTTATTCTATATTCATCCTCTACTTTATTCTGTAATCTAAATTTAATCATTATAATACTATCTTAAAGTCTGACCCTAGATTTACACCTATTATTCTAATCTTTTGATTTATTCATCCTTCGATTTTAATTGTTGATCTTAATCTTTAACTTTTATTACTAACATTCGAAGTTAAGCATTTCTTTACCTCACCAAATCTCTTAATTTGTCATTCTCATCTTCAGTCTTTCTTTTCGTAGTAGCTAAATTTAACAAAGCATTATCTATTGCAAATCTTATATCATCCTCCTTGTCACTCTCCTCTTTCAACATCTCTATGACATTTTGTACTGTATTAATATCCTTCTATGCTAATTCAATTTGCTCATTCTCAAATTTGTTTTCCTCTTACAATCCTTCAGCTAGTAATTATGCCTCTTGGATTTCTCCATAAAGGTCATTCAAAAACTTTACTTCATGTGGATTCAAATCCCAAGACTTCGCTGAAATAGTGTAGTTCTTATTCTATTGAGACTAATTCAACTTATCTTCCTGATTCTCTTATTAAGCCTATTCATTGGTTTTTGATTTATTTAGTTCATCCTTAAGAGATTAATTCAATACAGACTAATTATTAATTGAAGATTAAGATTTAGATTAATTAAGTTATGCTTAAGAACCATTTTTTGAGATATTGGCTTAGGAGTTATTAACTTACTCTTTGCTTTTATTTTTACTCATATTATTAATATTTTTATATTATTATAACTAAATTTCATTTGATATTGGATTAAGTTAAAGGATAAATGATTTAATAATATCTTCTATATGAGACAGTATCATCAAGTATTACCATTCAATAAGTCCCTGATAAATAATATCCTTAAAGTAGATATATAAGTATTAAAGCATAATATAAATAAAATATGGTTATTTAATTATCAAATGGTAATGCGATATGATTTGTTTCGTTCTTTGTTTAGATTGGTTAATCTAATGAACTAGATGTGTATTTTCTATTTTAAGGCTATTAATTTAAATGTTACTATATATATTTAAATTGCTCTCTTAGATATAAATCATCAAATCTAAGAATAATTTCTATTGAAAATTTACATTAGTTCTGTAATACTAAGCATATTCAATATTAAAATAGCTATTCCTTTAAACAGTAAATTAATTGAATAAAAATTAATTAATTATTAAAAAATAAAAATTTACGCCCGAACAGGGTCTCGATCCCTGGACCTAGAGATTAAGAGTCTCTCGCTCTACCAAGCTGAGCTATCCGGGCGTATTAAACAAATTGACCTATATTTTCTTATGAACGGAAAGATCATTTTCATATTTTTATATTATTTTACAATATATAATATCATTATAAAAGCTACAAAAACAATTGAAATAGATCTTAAAATTTCGGATCTTTGTTCTCATTATATATTAATTCTAATTTTGGTTTGATCTTCTTAATATCTTCAATTATTTTATTAGATTAAACTTCTTTTGCATAATTCAAGAACCTACAGAGAGTGTCCACAAAGATCTTTAAAACTACTGTATCAACTTCATCAATCAAATTCCCTATTATCTCTATTGTTCCTAATTCAATGAGTGTCTGAAACACTGCATTATCTCCTGTCTTTTAAAGATTTTAAATGACTTGGATGCAATTTTACTTTTCTTACAGAGCTGAAGCAATTAACCCATTTATAACTCTGTTAATGATTTTATGTTAAACAATTTTATTTGAGATTTAACGATCATTATAAGCAAGGTTAATTACCATTAAGAAGGACAATTTTCTTATTTATTTCTTTCTATTGTTGATATATTCGAAAGCCACATCTAAGATGTTCTACTCTATCAAAAACTGTAAAAATATAATCAAAAGTTTACATTTGAAAAACTTATAGAGTCTGTTAATGAAAACTATTTCAAAACCTGCAAAGTTGTTCCCTCAAACTCTCCTTTTAAAGCCGAAAAAACATATTATACTATCTTTGAACTTATCAAGTACTTATCAATCTCTTCATTTTGTGCATATAATACAGTTAATGGATGCAATATTTCATTTTATAACATATCGCAATCAGTTCTATTAACTCCTTTTTCTAGAATTTATAAGCATGTGATTCTCTAATTTAAAATAATAATAGTAAAGTACATCTTTGATGCTTAGATTATGATTATCCATAATATAACATATATTGTGCATGCAGAAACATATATTTCTATATAGATTACTGTCGGCTGATGCACTCAGTTCTAATAAGCGATCAAAACACTTGACTAAATATTAACAAATTTCTGGCCATTTATTGGCAATATTTCCCAAATATATAAGAATCTAATAATTTATAATATATAATTACATCGCTTATATCCTAGTTGTCTGTTAATGAAAGAAGTAATAGATATGAAATTTCTAAAGATTGGATTAAATTTTAAGGTTATTATTATAAAAATGAAGGATGGTTGCAAGAATTAGCTAGGGTTCTAATGACATCACATTAGACTTCTTTCATCATTAAACTAGGGAGGCTGTGTTATAAATAATTATTTGTAATTAAGAATTCTTGATTCTATGTTATTTGGTTAGAGTTATAGTTAGAGACACAATTAAATGCAAACAGATGAAGTTATTTTAATTCTTAAATATTCTAATTCAATTAAGATTATTAAATTTATGGTATTAAGTTGGTTAATTCTAAATCGTCTTTTTCTCTCATTTCATTCTCTTATCTAATTAAAATCCTTTTTTAATTAAATATTCTTTCTCTATCCATTCTACGAATTTCAGATCGAAAGGCATCTTTTTTTTGTGCGACATATTCTTAAGGATTATTAAACATAATATTATAATCAATTAAATTATTTTTAAAACTTTTTCTATTTTTTCTTATTTCTTCTTTATTTATTATTACCCATCCTTTTAGCATTTGGAGACTCTTCAGACCAAATTGAATATTATGAAGGTGAGTCTTACTAATAATGTTTTTAAATTGTTTTTTTGGTCTTATGTGGCATATTTTGACTATATTCATTTTTTTAGTGCTTTTATCTATATTAATTCTCATGATGACGATGGTCATGATTATGTTAATGGTGATGTTAATGATTATGTTTATTCTTTTAAGAATGATCCACTCTATTCATTTTTTCTCTTTCTCTTTATTCCTTCCCTTCACAATAGAGTAAATCATATTTTTTATATCCTTTTGAAAAACAATTCAAATGTCCTCTCTCTTAGCAATTAATGCATAAAAGATCCTTTAATCTTTGCTTATCCTTTTCAAATACATTCTCATCATCTATAATGATAACATTACAATCCTTAGACTTATGCCCCTTTTTATTGCATCTATGACATTTGAACCCCTCAACATCGCAATCCTTTGCCATATGTCCAGCCTGGTTGCACTTGAAGCATAAACTATTAGGGCATTTTAAATAATAATGATCTCCCAAACAAAATCGACAAGTCACTTTAGATTCAGCAATGTCTTCAACACACCATTTTTCAAAATGGCCAGGCTTTGGTTATCACTACCAATTACTTTTTTGCATCTTCTGCACACTCCTTTAGAGAGTACATCAATACTATCAAGATTAAAGTATCTAGTCTACACTTGAGCTGATTGATCTGGATCTGGATCCTCCTCTTTCTCTTCATCATCTTTAACGAATCTGGCTATCTTATCTACTAAATTGGTTTATTAGGTAATTCTATCCTTGCTCTGGTTGTACACACTATAAATCCTTGGATCCTGGTCTCCCACTCTCTCCGATCTCACAGCATTATCTATAATAGAGCACAACGGGGCAGCTTCTACTACATAAGCTGTAGGCAAGAAGTTGGAGAGATCAAACTAATTGAAAAGACCATTCATTAATTTATTTATATTGAGAATTAATATAATTAATAACAAATAATCACCATCATTTGGTATTAATTTATTAATTGAAATATTTATAGATTAATGGATATCAAAAATATTTTACAGATTTTACTTCTATTTGTAAAATTAACAATAAATAACGGAGAAAACCATATTATTAAATAGATATATCCAAAATAAATTTCTTTTTTATGCTAAGATTATTTCAAAATCACTTTCACATATAATCTTATAAAATAAACATTCTTTTTTTATTCCATGATGATTTAAATGGATAGTGATTCTTTCTTTCTATTCGTTATTTATGTTCATTACCATTTAGATATGAGATGAAAATTTCTATTTTCCTTTTGATTCAGTAGGAAATTCAAATTAGAACAATTATATCACATCGCGTTTTAGAATAGTTCAAAATATAGAGATGATAGCAGATAGTTGAAATTCTTTTATTTCACTAGTATTTACTTTGTTTTTATTTTAATCTATTCAAGGTTTATATTGTATTAATTAATTTATTTATAATATTATATTTGTGTTAAATGATTATCTAAAACTTGTAATTCGAAGAAATAATAATTAAACCAAAGAGTATTAAAAACAAAAATGCTATTAAAGAGAAGCTTTAATCAGATAAAGTAGAAGAGATTGATATAAATGAAATACCACCTTCTCAAATACTTGAATTATTTCCAAATCATGTTACTTTGTCAAGTACAAACATTCTTAGTGAATTAATGAATACAAATTTGTCAGATGATTGCCTATATAAAATCTTAGGGATCTTAGTTTAATGGGACAACTAAAACAATGTCGATTTTACAAAGTTATATAAGCAATTATTTTATTCACCAATGTAATTATATTTATATAATTTATAGTTGTAAGAGCATTTTATCAGGCAACCTAAATTATAGTAGTGAGAATCTAATAATTATTGTTAATCAATTGATTTCCGTCTTTTAGTCAGCCATTAATGACGAACCTTCTAAAATTGAAAATGTATTTGTTTTAATCCACATATATAGATCACCTCTTGGATATCTATTCTTGTTGAGAATAATAAATTATCTATGCCAAAAAAAGAAACATAGAAATTATTGGAGTTGTTGAAACAATATTAAAATTATTAAGAGTCCATTAGAAATATCAAACGTCTTATTAATTTTAGTCCAGTCCAATAGAAAAAAGAGAATAAAGTAACCTAAGTTTATTTTTGAATTGTTTATAATTGTATAATTGAAAATTTGATATGTACTATCGTAAGGTTTAATAAATTGTAATAAATTGTTTATACATTTGATTTTATCAACGTTGAACTTGTTAGAAATTAGCAAATGTCTTGGCTTTGAGCTTCGTAAGTTCATCTCTTAATATCTCGATTTCTTCAGCCTATTCCTTTGCCTTCTTAAATAGTCTGTAATTACGAGCAATTTAACTAAAATATATAAACTATTTAAATACGTAAATTTATCTTCTTATGGTTCTTATTATTCTTCTCCTTACCTAACATTCTTCTTGTTTTACATATCTGAAATATCTTATAGCTATTTAACATTTCCCTAGAATAATATAAAATAAATACCGATAAAACTCCTCCCTATCCAATCAGTTATTGATTCTCCTTTTTGATGAAATCGATGTCTTTTTCAATCTTTTCTCTTTTCTTATTAATAATCTACAATCTCTTATCAGTAGCACTCTTTAAGAGATCGATCTAATCCTTTAGATTTGCTAGTTCTCTCTCATTCAATCTGGTATCATCTTTGGTTAAAGCAATTTGCATTTCCTTTTTAACCTTCAATAATTAGACTTCCCTAGTCTTGCATTCTAAATCTTAAATAATGAGATCTCTCTTCTTTAAGTCATATTCATTTTTTTCAACTTAATATTTACTTTTGATAATATCTTTCATCAATTCAATTTTAGTATCTCCTTCCTTTTTGATTTCATCATTCTTTTTCTCAATTGTTTCTCTAGGAATTAGTGCAGCATCTTGTAAATTAGGGACTGGTTTGTCTTGACTGATTTCAACATATCCTTATTTGAATCTGAACATGACTTCGATATTAGATCTACTCTTTTCAAGCATATTATGTAAACTCTAAATATCTTCTTCACTATTTTAGAGTTAAGAAGATAATTGATTAAATTCTTATTCAAACTTTTTATTGAAATTTTCAAGATCATTGGAATCCTTATCAATTTTTTCATATTCTAATTTCATTCTGAATCTTTAACTTAGAACTTACAATAGTTGATCCCGAACATGTTCAAAATCAATTCCTTATAAATTACTAGCTTTCTCTTAGATATCAAATAAGTAAGTTTCAAATTGTTCGTCCAACTATGCAGATATAATTTTCTTTTGATTTTCAAACAATGGATCAATTAAGATGAGCACATCTTTATATTTTTAAATTTTAAGCAATTTCTCATCAGATTCCTATTTAGCTCTTTCATTAGTCTTCTAATCTTCAAAAGCATATTGCCAAAGAATCTTGACTTTGTTTGCATCCATACCAGCAGTCTAACCTCTATTGAAATAATTGACTATTTAGTCATTCAAAGTTTTTCTTTGTTATTAGGTCAAATCTCTAGTTTAATCTAGATTATTCTTCATTTATTGCAATTGATTTAATTGAGCTGTCATCTCATCATGCAACTTCTCCAATTCTGAAACTCTCAATTAAGCTTATTATGAGATAATAATAGATAATGCCAATCTTACAATTGATAATTCTTATTCAAGTATTCTATAGTCATATTCTAATTTTCTTCTAAATAGAATTAGCAACTTATCATCAAATCTTTAACAAATATCAGTAATTTCATTATTCAATCTTTTTGAGTTCAGCTTCCAAATTTTTACGAATCTTTTCCTTTTCTTCTTCTAACTTTTACTTCCTAACTTCAAATTCTTTTAATTTCATTCTCTCCTCCTCTGTCATATCATCTGGACTCTTCTTCATCCATTCTTCTACTTCTAATTTTTCATCCAAAGGAGTTTCCTTCTTTTCTTCCAAAGTGCCTCCCATCATATCTTTAACTGCCCTAACTCCTGAATCATCAGCCATCAATGCTTTCAAACGAGCTTCTTCTTTCTATCTCTCTTATTCCTTCTTCTCTCTCATTTCTCTTGTCTCATATTATTGGAATCCTATTTCTTCTGGTTTAACAGTCAATATTTTTTCTGGATCTTCCAAAATATTCTTTTTCATTTGTTATAATTGAGGATCTCTCTTCAATTCTCCATTAATTTCGATGATTCTCTTGTTTCTTTCATTAATATTATCCAATTATTATTATCTCTACTTTTAGATTAATTCAAATTCAGCATTAAATTATCTTTTCATTGAAAATATCACATCGTTAATCAATATCATTTGATTTCTCTTTCTATTAAGAGTAAATAACTCGCTAACTCCATATAAATAATCCCATTCTGTCAATTCTTCACTTCCCTCCTTCTTCTCTTCAGTGACCTTTTACTATTATTATTATTTCTCCAATTCTTTCTATTTTTCCTCCTCCTATCTCTTCTCCTCCTCTTATTATTATTGTTATTATTATTATTATTATCTTTATTTGATACTAGCTGCACCTGCCTGTGCTCTTCCAGGTGGTTACTTTTATTAAACACCTCCAACACCCGGCTTAGCAGCAACCTTAGTAGGAGCCACTTCCTCCTTCTTTTCGTAATCATTTAAGACCATTGTCTAAGCACCAGGTTTAGAATTGATTATATATTTTGGATCTTGAATATGTTCTTCAATACTCCATGCTTCTTTAATTTGCTTATTATTTTCTAATTTTGAGTTCTCTAATTTCTTATTTTCTTAATTCTCTAATTAATTTTAATTTTCTCATTTCTTCAGATTATCTAACTCTAATATGATAATTGGTAACAATGATATGTTAAATCAACCCATTAACGCCTTTCATAGGAATTTCAATTTAATCCCAAGTTCTCTCTTTAATCAACTAATAGAGAATCTCTTGCTTAACATTTTCTTTCTTGACTAAATCTCTTAATGCCTATTATTATTTCTTGCCATCCTCTAGAATAGCATCTCGAGCATATAAATCAATAACAAATTCATCTCTTTATAATCTTTCTAATTCATCAGCCTCAGCATTTTCTTGTAAAAGTGCATTTAATTTAGTTTGAATTTATTTCAGTAGATCTTTTGTTTATTTCTTTTGTTATTCTCTAATAGGAGCCTACTATTCAAGAAATTCACTCTCCAAAACTTATTAGTAATATCTGACTTCCTAATCGGGCATATCCAAAATTTCTATAGGAGCATTGTAATTATTCTTCATCAATTAAGCAGCATCTGAATCTCCTCTAATCTTTTCTCCTGTCCACCAGAATATATCTCCTTCAAAACCACCAGAATATATCATCTTATACTTCTATGATACATATATAGTAGAGACACCACCAGATTTCAAATTATGTCCTCTCAATAATCTGACATCTTAATTTAATTGTTGATAACTTCTAAACATTATTGTGCCATCCTTTGCGGAAGAGTATAGAAAGTCTTTAATCGCCAAGCATGTAGCCGGTAATTGATGGCCATCCTATTCATCTACTGGAGGTTAATTTGCAACTCTCATTTTTAAATCCATTTTCGATAATAATTCTTCAGGAAACTTATATTTCTTAAAGATCTTATCCTTTCCTGTTGTTATTACCTCTTATTAAGGTGTAACTATCAGGAGTGTCTAATCTGGGTCTATCTTTCTTCCCATTATTTGCACTTCCAATTTCAAAGACTATTATTATTTTGGTTGAGGTAAGCTCAACAATAAAAATGAGCATATACAAAATAACTAACCTTTTCCATAAGCAATTGCTTGACAATTAAATGGGAGATCTACAAAACCAATCAAATTTTCATTTTAAAAGAAAAATACTGTTGGTGAATCACTGCTGCAAACAGCCAAATTGTTGTCATTAATACTAATACTCGATATAGCTTTATCAATATAAAGTTTTATCATCTTGAAGAGTACTGGCTAACGAATGTCAGCAACATTATAAAATCTTAATACTCCTGCTGATGTACCTATTATTAAGTTTGGTTCTATCAATTCTCCAGAAATTATTTTGCCTTCAATATTAAAGCTCCTCAAAGGTAATTCTAAAATTTAAAATATCTTTTACTTGTTATCACATCCATAAATAAAACGACTCCTTAGTCTGATCCACATACAATCACATTAAGCTATTTGTATTCTCTGATAAATGTTATGACTCCTTTTTAAAATGGACCTAACTTAACTGGTTCAATTTCATGAGTCAAGTCTATGACTTTATCCTCTTCTTGTTAATCAACTTAGGCTTCATCTTCTCCCAAAAAGCCTTCTGCAGGAATAGGGATTATAAAGAGAGTAGCGTTGTCTTATGAGCAAATCAGTTTAGTGCATTATTGATTGTACATTATTTTTTTAACTTCTCTGTGATCATGTAAATTATATTTCTTATTCACTTTAAATGGTACAGCCACTTTATCTTCCAAGTTATTGGTTATATATTTGTACAACCATTCAATTTTTGAATTAACATATACAACAATCAAATGGACTTACGTTGGTATTAAGTGCTTTATTTCTGAATGGCATTCGTGTCTTACAATTTCATTCAAATTTGTTCCATCTAAATAAATCAATACGTTTCCTTAGATTAAATAGATGTTATTTTATTCGAATTGTGATTTTGAATCATCAATTAGATTGTAATCCTAGACCATAATTGTTGGAGCTGATAATTCAATTGATGTCACCAATTCTAATTAGACTTATTTCTGAATTTGATTATCATAATGTGGTGTAATTTAATATAATTGCAATTCATTTGCATATCGAATTAGAATTCGCTCACCTAAGATTGTGAATTTGGCCTCTATGAAATTCAACTTCAAGGGTAATTAACTAAACTTTCCTTTGACTCTGCACTTCTCTTTTAGATCCCATAAACAGATTTCAAATTTTGGCACTCCCAAAATCACCAACAAATATCGTCCACAATTTGATACTTCCATTTAGAGTATTTCCAATGGACTCACTCCAACCAAGTCATATTCATTTTCATTATCATAAACATGAACTAATGGGTTAAGTCCATATTCTGCTACAACCAATATGTTTTTCCTGTAATGAACTGTAAAACATTAGAATCCCTATCTCTAAGAATGCACAAAGGTCTTGCTGTTGTTTTCTAGATTCCACTTACATAAAGTATCTAAACAATCTTATTTATTTGATTACTTCCAGCCAAAAAGCCAATTGTGTCTTATTCTAGCAACTCCCATTTGTCTCCAGTAAACGCTATGCAATCACTAAATATGTTAACCCATTTCTTACTAAACATTCATCGGTTATCTTTTTAGAAATATTAATTAATATATTTTTATTTCACAAATATAAGAACTTATTAATACTATTCAAAATTATAAGACTAGGATTACTAATTAGATCACTAAGTCATTTTATTTTGTTTGTCTAAATTCTTAATTTATCAACATATAAGTGAAGAAAAAGATTACACATATAAATACTGAAAACCCCTTATTTTTAATAAGAAAATCAAATTTAATATTGTTTATAAACAAATTTCAATTAGATCTCCCTGTTGACCCAAACAATTCCTTTTCTAATTATTATCTCTTTAATTAATAACTTTTCTCATTCTCTCTATCCTTCTGCTTGTTCATTAACATTTCATTTCTGATCTTCTCAATTTAATATTTACATTTCAACAATAATTAACCAACATTCTATCCGTGCTTAGCACTTATCATCATGTAATCAAATTCTTATTTTATCAGATCAGCCTTATTAACACAAACTAGATAAGGCTTTTCTAAAATCTTCTCATTATACTCTTTAATTTCACTCTTTAGTATTTGTAATTGCTCCTCTATATTTCCTGCTTAACCATCTAATACATATAGTAATAACTAAGATATATTCATGTATTAAATACTCGGCATCTTTCAATGTGTCTCAAAAATTCATGCCCTAATCCCTTATCATTATGGGCTTCTTCTATTAACCCTGGAATGTCTGCTATGGTCATTTCCATATTATCTACAAATCTCACCTTCCCCACCATAGGATTCAATGTTGTAAATGGGTAATCAGCAATCTTAGGCAAAGCTCTTGAGGCTGCAGCTAAAAATGTTGATTTTCCTGCATTGGGAAATCCTACCAATCCTATGTCTGCTAGAGTCTTCACTTCTAAAAATATGTCCTTTTCCTGTCCTTATTATCCCAATTGCACTTCTCTAATCCCTATATTTCTTGCATTTCCCTTTCCTCCAGCACCACCTTTTGCAACCAAGCACTCCTTATTTTGTTCATCAAGATCAGCTATCAATTCTTTTGTATCATCTGATTTTAACTCATAAACCAAGGTTCCCAAAGGAACATTAACTTTTATATCTGAACCTGTTTTCCCATTGCATTTCAATTTCATTCCTTATTTTCCATTAATCCCAAATAAATGTGGCTTTCTTATAATACTTAGATCATATATTTATTCGGAAGCCTTCAAATATATATCTCCTCCTTTTCCTCCATCTCCTCCATCGGGGGCACCTGTAACTACAATACGATCTCTATTTCATAAATTTAGAACTCACCTATAATAGCACACACATCCTTTACCACCATCACCAGCTTTCACTTTTATTTTCATCTTATCAACAAAGTGTCTCTCATTAAAACTAGCTGTCGATTTTAGTATCGTGCAAAATTTGCTGTAAATTTTCATGAATTAATTATATTATTGATTAATAAACTATAATAATTTAAAATTAAAAGTAATTTAATTTTCAATGTTATTCATACTTCTTTACTTATTGTTAAATATTTAAAATCATTTATTATAAAAATAAGAAAATGAAGTTGTTTTTATTTGGAAGATATTCAATTATAAAAAATTACATGAAGTATCTTTATTATTTTAAACTTTGGTTGAAGTAGTAGAGTATTATGATAAAATTCATTGTAGAATATAATTATTAATAACTCAAATTTTTTATGAATTTTCCAATTTAATCGTAGATAACGAAATTTCTTTATAGACTTCTCTCCCCAACTCATTTTTTTGAGTTTATTTTTTTTTATAATAAAAGATAATAGCAGCCAAAAGCATTAAGACTATCAAAAGGAAGATAAAGAAACTTAATTAAGAAAGTTTATTTTATAAAATTTCTTATTGATTAACTTAAAGGTAAAATGTCTCTGAAGTCAAGTAATCATTTTCAACTAAGTAATAATTTAGATATAATTTACCTGCGTAACTTTAATTAGTTCTAATAACTTTAAATTCAAGAGTGGTCGGAAATGTAATATTTTAAGATAATTTTTATAATACATATCCTCCTCTTTACCCAGCAGATAATACAACAGATTGATTGTGTTAAAAAAAATTGTAAAACAAAAAATGTGTACTATTAAGTATCTCAACTTGTTAAAGGATTTTTGTTGAATAAATAGGATCTTAGAGATACTCAGTAGTTTTCATGTCATAATAATAATTTGTAATGTCACACTAAAGGATCATTTCCTCGTAATCTATCAAAATAAATTTGCAATTTTAAACACTTTCAGGATACCTTAAAATCTTTCTAATATTTATTTCATATTTCTATTCCCTTAGTTAAAGATTAATCTAAAATAACAAAGCAATTTTTTTCACGCCGATAAAAAATATACTTAAATCAAGTTATTAGTTGTCAAAATTTAATTTCTATTTTAGTAATCTTAAGTAATTTGATGATTAATTAGGTGCTTATCCATAAATTAAATCTTTAATTTAATAATTCGAAATAGATACTGCAAATACTTAAAGGATTTAGACCGACGCATTAATAATTTTAAATAATCTAAATAGCATAATTTGTTCCATTCCATTTACCATTGCTTCTAAATATGTTTCAGAATCGATATTCTCAATTAAACTGCCCTAATTCAAAATAGAAAAGTTTAATGGGTTTATGTCATTTTAATCAATCAAGAATCTATACTCTAAATAATAATTTGAAATAAGCAAAATATTTTACACTAATCTTATGCCATATAACATATTGGTGAAAATAAAGTCAATCTATTTTTAAACCTAAAAGATTTGATCTTTTAGTATCATTAATGAAATTGAAAAAAATAGTTGATCTTTTTAATGAATAAATAAGAATTAGTTCTCACCTATCACTTCTATGAATACTAGATTTTAAATTAAATGCTCCAAATCATAGGCTGAATAATAGTTCTTGGATTATCCAACTTTAAAGAATGTCACATTTCCAGAATTAGTTTCTTAAAAACAAAACTTATTGTAACAATATGAACACTGCATAAGGATTTCAACTTCAAGGGGATTTCTTAATTTAAAATTTTCATTATTATTCAAAAATATATTATCTATTCTTCCTAAAACATTATTTCTAAAATTTATCTCTTAATTTGTATCTTCGATAAATATATGAGAGCTTTTATTGATTAGCTTCATTATACTTGGATTTAGCATTGTTATAGCAATATCCTACTTCACTGGAGGAATTTCACTGTCCTCTAATTCCGCTTACAACTACAGTATTACATCCTAGCTAATTTTATCTGTAAACTATTCATTCTCTATTTCAATAACTAAATAATCCACATCTTCAATAGTCAATTGGTTTTTGACATCAAAATAAAATAAATAGCGATTAGAAAACCAAAAATACTGATTTTTTATTTCAATAACTTATTACAGTAAATGAAAAGATAGTTGAGCTACAGGGTTGAATATTAATAGATATAATTTCTTATTAATTTTATGTTAGCAAGAAATAATTAACAAAAGCTTTGTACTTTTAAATTCAAAAGGTTAAATAGGGACATATAACTCTAAATTATAACTTTTAGTTAAACGAAACTCAAATTATTACAATTCATAAAATTGCAATTCATTTTTAATGATATCTAATAAAATTACATTTACAAGGTAAAGACTTTTAATTCTAGAAAAAATTCCTAAAATTTTACAATTAATATTTATTCCTTAATATATATAAAATATATACTTTATGTAATTGTTTCCTTGAATAATACATGCAGTTCGTTACTGTATACGATTAGAAAATAATCATCCCTTATGAGATAAATGTCTTAAAATTTTTAAGTGATTTATTGAGGTAGAAAGACTTTGATTAAATGTATCTCATTTGCAACAAATTGTAAATTGTAGAATACATTTTAATCCTTCACTTTTAATAAAATGTAGTTTAAATTGATTACTCTTTCAATTTACGTGTCTAAACAAATAATCTTCATAGGCATCTCATCTAAATTGCGATTCTCTAAAATAGTTTTATAAAGACAATGTTTTGATTAATCTAAGAAGAAAAGAGCTATTTAATCTTCATCTCTAAGTATTATTTATTCATCCAAAGGTGATACATTTTAATACCTACGGATAGTTTTTTCCTAACAGTTATATTCAACAAGATTATCTTCAGAACCTTATAGAATTATAGAGTAAATCTATTGATTATCAGTTCTAATAATAAATTTTCCTTAATAATTTTTTAAATAATGATTAAATTAGCAGTTTGCTTCATTGCTCCTTAATTTAAATTTTATGTTATCTAATGAGGAAGATAAAGTTAATCTATAAGGTTTAATTGAAAAAATTAATGATCTGCTAAGGAATATCTCAAACTATTCTTCATAATTAGTTCTTTCAGCATAAATATAGGTTTCTTTTAAATTAATCTAAATAGCATTTTCCTATTTCTTTTCATAATTCTCATCATCGATTATAATGGTTTTATAACAATTCAAATATGAAGTGTCTATTGCATGGATTTTATTAATTTATTCAAATTAATAGTAGTATTCAGACTATTAGTAATTTTCATTTTTAAATGGTAAACATGGAATATAACTTTTAATAAATAAAAATATTATTTAATTCCCTTCTTCTATTCCAATAAATATTTTTTAATTAGAATGTTGCAACAAATTCTAAATTTTTCTTTTTATAGTTTATTGAAGGATATTATTTACATAAAGAGTGAAATAATCTCCATACAATATGAATAAGCTTGGGGGAGACTAAATTTAAATGATATTGGTAGGTAAATCTTTTGTATTAAAGGTTAAGTTTTGATACTTTTTGGGGAAGGAAAATATATACTTATTGTCGGGTAAATCCTTTACTATCATTTTTGGATTACAATGTTGATCAAACATAATTAGGGTTTAATTAATTTTTAGATCTTCTTTAACAAACAGTATCTCTACTGTTTCATATTTAAATATATATCCACCTGATGAAAGTAGTACAATAAAACAAGTTTAGCATTATTTAAAGTCTAGTAGATTTCCCTCAATGTTATGTTTCTCTTTTAAAAAATTTCGATCAATCTCTTATTTCAAAGCATTATTTTCATAAATTTATATTCTCCAATCTAAACATTATATATAAACTATATAAAAAGTGTTTTGAAATAAGTAAAATTGTAAAAGACATTATAAATTCTGATTTTCTGATTCAAATATATTAGTTTGTTGTATGATATTCTATTCTTTTTATAGTGAAAAAAGTTTAATTTAATGAAAGGAATAGCAAAATATAATAAAACCTTCCTAATAATAATCGAATTAAGAACAGTTAAAGTTTTATGTTTTTTATATTTCTAAACTAAATTTTGTATTAACGTTAAACTAAAACTTATTATCAATAATATAAGTTGGTTAGGTTGAAATACAATTTATTGAATAAGTCTTTAGTTGAGTGTTGTATATTAAAGAACAAAGCTCATTTTGATCCGTAAGTTCTCGGAATTTTATCATAAGGAATATTTCATCCTTTGAAATTAATTAGGGTGCACTTTAAACTTAAATTAAATCTTGTTCAACCTAATAGGTATCTGTGTTCGTTAAATTATCAGTATTTTTAATTGTAAAAAAGGAATTAACATTGTCGATTTCACAATAGAATTCATTTTTTCTTAAAATAACATCTTTACAGGAATTTTAATCTATATTAGCTTCAGCATTCTGAATTAAATGTTAAATGAGGATGATAGATTAGATAAGTAAGGATTTTTGAGGATTCATTTCAAATAAATATAAAATTAATAAATATTTAAATAACAATATGGAATATTCAAATGGAAATAAGAATTAGAACATTAAACTAATGACAATAAAATCAATATTTAATGAGAGAATAATATGAAAATATTTAATAATAATAACATAACATAAAGCCATATTTATTATTTAAGAACTGGAGAATTGTTTATTGATTAGATTAACTTTGGTCTTCAAGCTATTTTTGGATTCTCAATGAAAATCTAAATTTACAATATATTTATACTTTTAAATAAAATTAAAATTCATAATTGGTCGTAATTGTTCTTCTAAACTATTAACTTTAGGAAATTAATTATAAAGATAGTCAAATTTTGATGTCAAAATAGAATTTATATGAAGGCCTCGAATATTAAAATTTATATAGGAATACAATAAAATTTAGGAAATTGGAAATTGTAATTGTAAACATTAAAAGAGTTTTCTATAACATATCGATATATAAATATAGCTAGAATAGAATTAGAAAAATTAAATAAAATGGAATATCAAATCAAGATATTTTTTTGTCTTTCGAGTTTATTTTAATAGACCAAAATTAAATAATTGATTTAGATAATAGTCATAGAAGCTATTCATTATCTACATTATTTGAATTATTATTAATTGATTTAAAAATATAAATTTTATTTGTAATTCATCCACTGAGGTAAGATACATAATTATACTTATTTTGTGTCTACTAAAATATATTTTAGCAATAGCAGAAACGATAATTTATATAAATATAATTTATCTAAATATAGATGATGCAATTCATTTTATTAAGTTTGTCCTTTGTCGAAATAATAAATGCAGCCTTCACTCTCTAGACTTGCAACACAATTTCTAATGCAACTCTTTGCAAGATGGCAGGGAATTGTGAAGTAAGTGCTTATGGCACTCCAATCACTTGCTAAACCATTACAGATTGTTATAGAGTGAGTGAAGTTTAGACTTGCATATAAAATGCAATATCTGGATGTATACCTTTGAACATAGACTATAAATATGAAAATGTATGTGTGAAAACAGGAGAAACCAGTGTTCCAAATGGACTATTAAGATTTAGAAGATAAGCAAACATAACCAGATCTCCAGATATCACATTGTCAGAGACTCCTGTTTCCGTATTGACAACTACAACTACTCCATAAAAATACTCCTATTAATTATTCACATTAGATATTCTTTTAGCATCCCCTACTTAACTGTCTGCTATTTTAGATGCATTCAACCATGGGATTAATTAATTGATTACAGATGCAGTCCAACCAAAGTTTTTGGAAAAAGCTGTAATAGAGACCTTCTAGAACATTAGAGTAAAATTATATTTATAAATTTAGGATGACGTGACCTATACTTTGGCTACTAGATCTGCTTAACTTTCTAAGGCATGGGATTTAGTGAACATCCTATTTTAAAGATATTAAAACTATAAAGCATATTATGTTCAAAACTACGACTTTATAAATTTTGGGTTTTCAGATTTAAATAGATAAAAACTTGTGATAACTACAAATAAATATGAAATCGAACTCACATGGTCGACATATGCCTACAATGGTTACATCTATGTGATGACACTGGCTCCAGAATAATTTGGTATTATTAGTGTAAAACAATTGTCTGACTTGATTTGGATCAAGATAGTTAAAGATGATGGTACAGCCCAACTGATAGCCGATGTTCCTGTAAGTATAAAATACACCTGGGTTAATACAGCAACACAGTATACAGCTGTCTACTATTAGACATTTAACAAACTATTTTCAACTGCCTATGCCCCAGGAGTAAACACAGTAGTTCCTGTAACTTGTGTATATGATATTACCACAATCACAACCTGTCCAACTTTTCCAGTTCCAGGCGCATCATTAGATTAATTAATGATATTTCATCATGATACAATTAAGGACTGCACTGCCATTTCATCATCGAATTAACCATATTATAGACTAGCAAAATGTGTTTGAGGAAATTATATATACATTAGACACAATCTTATTTAATATTCTAATAATATAAATATGATATTTGCTATTTTATTAATAGTAAATTAGATTACATCATCTGTTGCTTATACGTATATTGGAGAAACACCTTGTTCAGGTTTGGCAATTGGGAGTTGTACTTCAAGTGGAATTTCAGGAATTGGATATTGTTATTGGGAATCGTAATTTATAACATAATTCCTCATAATAGAAGTTGTTAAACACTTCCATGTTATATGATTGATGAAGTAGCTGCCTGTAGAACGGGCTCTGGATTGGCAACTGGAGGTGCATCAACTCTATGTGATTCTTTGGAAACCTTCAGTTTATAATATGACAATGTTTGCTGTGATAAATCAGAAGGCAAACTAAATTATGCATTTGTAAGATATACCAAAACCTCAGATGGCTATTATGATAAGGCCAGTGATGGAACAACTACCTTGACATCTCTAACCACCTAAAATTCGGCAACTATATTTCAATTGTACACTGTAAATCCTTGGTTGATCATGCCCTCATTGACAAGTTTGCCCACTGCTGCCAATTTCGAATCCCAATTAGGAGCCATCTTAACCTAGTATAAAACTCTGGCAACTGCATTACAAACTATGCCAGATTCACACCCTTTCTATTTAGAAAGAACTGTATACTAATCATTATAAATGCTGAGAGTATATGAATAAATCAATCTTAGGATTTCGTTGTTTTACAAACCACTTCATAAAACACTATGAGAGATAACTTAGTCTAAAAGATATGGTCGGTTGCCCTCATTGCTTTATTTAGAATGGTCAACTTTCAACCTAATTATTATTAAACAAATTACTATTTCATCAACTTTGCCATCATTCCTTATTCAAGAAACTCAATAACAATCAATGGACAATAACACACCACCAAAATTGACTGGTCAGGGTATCTTTATACTTCAAATGGATATTTGATGGTGTATTCATTTCCACCTGAAATTTTCGGAATTAGAAATGCCTACTCAGATGTCGTCTGTTTAAGACCAATGATTGGAAATCCCCCAGTTTATGCTGCAGCCTAAAACACTTTTGATACTGGATTCAAACCATTAACAATAACATGGTCTTGGACTGACACATCAATGAGTGTGGTTGCTGCCAATTTGAAATTATATAAATTTCCAGTTAATACTGCCTTGGAAACTGATATTTTGTAAGAAGCTGGAGTCACCTTCACTTGTAATTTAGGTGCCAAATATTGTGTCTCATCTTCTATTACATCTACCCCGGCCAATACAGGAGTCAATTATTTTGTATCACCAGGATTAGGAGTTGTTGGAGATAAAAATAAGGTTTAATGTAGATTGTAAGGGAAAACATGGTCAGGTACTTGTGCTTGAATATCATATTATTAATAAAATTAAAATTAATTTAATTGTATTTAATTTAAAAAGTCTAAGCCATTTAACAAATTAGATGGCTTTCATTAATTATATTAAATTATTAATGATTTGCCTTTCTGAAAGGAAAATCTCAATACATCAAAACAAAGGATTGATTTAATTACCTGAGATATCCAAATCTTCAGAACTTCTAGTATGATTATAATTCATCAATTTAGAGATTGAACAATATAGCTTTGTAATCGGGCAAAAATAAGAAGAAAACAAAACCACAATCTCCAGATAAGGACACTTATTACTTAAAATTGCCTCAAATAAATAAGAAGCCGTAGGATAAATCGGACAACTTTTTCAAATTATCTAAATCCCAATTATAAACATAAAAAATGTAATCTATTATTACTTAAAATAGACTTTATGGAGATACTTCGCTAGACAATATCAAGAAATACAATAAACAAATACAAGATATCTAAAATAAACACAATCATTATATTAATAAAATTGAAGAGCTATATATGATTACCAAATAACACTCATGAAATCATGCTTTATGCTATAATCCTTGATTAATTATTTTATGTTCTTATGATCAATTATTACCTTCTAATAGTCTGATCTTTGAGTTCTTTTAATTATTGCTAATATTTTCTTTTGATCCTATCCGGTATCTCTATATCATCAAACAATTATCCCTTCAATTTGATAAGTTACTCTTGGCGATCACTTTACCCGTGCTGTTTCTGTTAGCACCTCACAACGGTGCCTTCATTATACAAAGTAGCACAACGTACTCTTATTTTTTTTCTATTGGAATTACTATATATTGGAGTGAATCTCTAAGTTATTTTGCCTGGCGATGAGTTATAATGAAACTTATTCTCTAATTTCTTGTTTGACTTTTTTATCTCCTCCACTCCAAATATCAAGTTCCTATTTCCTGACAACACTGATGAAGCTGTCTACAACCTCTCCTGTCTGCTCAACGTCTAAGTTCTCATAACGTTATTTATGTAATTCTCAATTCCGCAGTGAGGATTCTTTTAAATAATCGCATAAAAGTTCTACTTAATTCATATTATTACTGAATTTGAAATCTTATAACAATAAGCCTGCTCTTTACACCTCGCTGTGTATTGTCTACTCGTGTTCATCAAACAATCCAAATCTCCGAATAGTTCAGGCTTCCCTATCGTACTGATTGGCATTGATTTGTGTTTGTTCTGAATATCGAACTATTTACTCAACTCAAATTCTCCCTCCTAAATTGTAACTATCAATTACTCTTATCATGTAAACATAATCCGCCTGCTCTCCCTCTCTATAAATTATCTGATTCTTTCGGAAATACACCAAAGTAAATAAATTTATAAACGATGCAATCGTTCTTTTGGACATCCTCTAAAAAATTTAGGATTCCTTCATAAATTCGATAAGATTGTTTCTTTCCTTGAATTTTGCCTTCTGTAAAGCTTCCTAAAAGTTCTATCTACTGATTATCAGAAACTTTGATTTCTCAACTGTTTGCACATCTTAAACGTAAGCCATTTAATTTAAGGCTTCAATACCAAAGCATAAATCGTTGACATTGATTTTCCCTTATATCAAACCATAAAATAGATCACCGTATTCTCCATTCTATATCACAATAGTATTTTAATCTATTTCAACGTATTTGATATAAGGTATGTATTCTGATAATAAATTTGTTTCTGCACTTTAGTTGAGACTAGTAATAAATGGATGTCTTTAGTAGAAATGCGAGAACAACAAATTGTCATCCATTGATATTTAACCTGATCGTTATTTTTCCAATATTTATTGAGTTAACTTGATTTTACTATATAAATTACAAATAGTATATTGAGATCCTTATTAGATTATGACTTATTCCTATTCGTAACATATTGGCATTCGGATTACTAATTTTACATATTTTATAATATAAATTTTATAATTGACATCGAAAATCTAAATACTATTGATAACTTTTTAATAAATAAGAATTCGTAATGATTAAAATGACAATTTAGACATCAAATGAAAGTATAATCAATCACATTTTAAAGTAACTACTTAATTTATTTTAATAAAAAGAGTATTGGAATAACTTAAGTTGAGTGTTTTGAGTGATATAATTAATTGGAGACTTTTGCATATTAAATATTCCAAAATATATAATTAATATATGTATGTGAACATTTTGTTTATTTTGTGAAATCACCAATTTTTATTAAATCATATAAAATTAAGGTTATAGTCAACAATATTCTCTTTAGATATTTCAATATATTATGTTAATTTAAGTTTTACAATTGATATTTAATATACTAATCAGATTATATAATATATATATAATGATATTGTCCTAGTCTTTAGATATAATGGCTATTGATGATGTTTAATTGATTTCTCAAACATTCTTTAATTTATTTTATTTATATCAAATATCTAAATATATGGGAAGTAATAATTTATTTATAAGGAATCTAGACTCGTGCTTTGAAAAAAGACCTGTGGTGCCAAAAGAGAAGAGAACTTATAAGGAATTAGTAATTGAGGCATTATAAAGTGGACCTTTAATTTTAGCTTAAACGGAATGCATAAGTAATTCAGATAATGCTATGTTTAGTAAATATTGACATAGACCCTCAACATTCCAAATTAAATGAGATGATTAAATAAGTGTAATTTAAATAAGAATTGTTAGATTATTGGAGGAAAAAGAAAAAGAATCAAATTGTGATGACTTAAGCGAAATGAGTGAGAAAGGCGAAGAAACCCTTGATTTAGAACTCGGAGTGTGGAAGGTATAGAAGCTTAGAAAGAGACTGTTCCGACATACAAATTATATTGCTCATCTAAAAATAGACACAGAAGTAACTTATATAATTCTAAAATAGATTGCTCAAGAGAACATGATTAAATTATACTAAGAATTGTATTATATTGTTATTCAATCTTTTTAGATTTTCAATCCTTGCTTAAAAAAATATTCAATATGTTGTAATGCCTTAGATGTGGATGGATGATCATTTATATAGAGTAACTATGAGGGAGAATTCAGATGCCTTATTCGATTAACTGTTCACATGGAGAAATTAAGACTAAAAGTATAGAGCCACATTTATAGTATTTCACACTGAAACAGCTTAAGTAATATGAAATTTACAAAAGGCAATTTAAATAGTGGATTCGTTTTTAATGACATATAATTAATATAATCCAGTCATTCTTGAAAATCATTCAGCCTAATCAAATCACCTAAATGATGAAGACATTGAGGAAGATTAGAAAATGCTTCTATGAAATTGAATTTATCAATCATTAAATAATAATAATTTATAAAAACATCTCTTATCTCTTATTATCATAGATTCTTTTGAATTTATAATATTATCAATATAAATTTAACTTAATTGGGAATTCACATTCCAAACTTTACACTAAGTTATAAATCTCTTTATAACATCTCCTTAAATTACTTTTTTGTAGTTTTATTAAAAAATATGAATTGAACCCTCCAGATAATCTAAAATTTATAAAAGTTATTATCCAGTTTCATAAATATTCAATGGATAAATACTAAAGTTTAGATAAATCCACCTTAATGCATAATATTTATAAGTATGAGACCATAGATAAGATTGAAAATTAAGGAAAATTAAAGCTACCAGATGAATTTATAATAGAAATTGTGAATTTATATGGCGACATCAACTGTCCAAAAATTGAAGTTAAGCATTAAGATCTAGGAAAATTAATTGAGAGCAAGAGTTAAAAAAAGCCTATGAATTAAAAAGATTTTATATATCTTTTACATAATATGATGATTAATTCATAAGAGACCAGTCGTTGGAGTTATTTGAATGAGCTTAAAGAGGAGAGGAAATAGAAGAGAAGACAGTAAGTAATTTGAATAAAGAACAGGTATACACATTTATATTTCAAGATATATTTAATATATTAAAGGATAGAGAAGAGATGTTTTGAAATATATGAGGGATATATTTTTGTCATCAAGAAGTATATCTTGGGCTTATACTGATTTTTATTCATAATTTTAATCTATCCCACAATAATCTTCCTTTTCTATATTAATGATTTAGAATTGAGATTTGAAGGACTTCTAAAATTATTTTATCATAATAGACTTTTATAAATGTGCTAGTGTTTTCTAGTATTTCCTTTACCTCTATGATTTAAAAGTTTAATCAAGCTGAAGATTACAAGAAGAATGTAAGATATATTGTTATATACTTTACTTTTAAGAATATAGTTTTACCAAGATTTAGAAAGTTCCCATGATGGCTAGGACGATAAAAAAGTATTAATACTCTCATTCCTATTAAAGTTGTTATTCCGAGAGCGCGATTACATTGTCAAATTTTAATTGTTTAATGAATTAAACAATTGAAAGTAGAATCAATTTAGTGCATTGTTCAAATCCTGAAATTTAATAGAGTATTTCAATGGGCACAAATTTATGTGATGAATTGTATAGCAAGGTAGAGAGTATATACTGAATTTATGGAAACAAAAAAGAAGGTTAAGCAGGAGAAGTATTTTCGAGGCCATTTAATATGTGGTGGAAATTAAATTATTCTGGTTGTAATTAAACAACAAAATAATTTGAGTATGATTATGATATTTGATAAAGATATTTCTTATTATTCAAATTTGATATGATTGTATAAAACATATTATTAGGTCATGTATTAAATAATTGGTATTGATATTGATGTTAAGAGATTGAGAGAATGCAAAGATGACGGTGTATTTTTAATTAATTAACTCCAATTTTTTGTTTGAATGTAAATAACTTTATATGAAAAATATTACGTATGATTTGATAAAATTAAAGCAATTGCTCAAAATCAGGATTCAAAAATAAATTTAATAGCGATGAATCCTCTGCAATAGCTTTACCTCTAGGCAATCATCAAACATTAGGAGCAAGAGAAGGTGAAGTAAGAAGAACAAGTCTCAAAATAAAGTCATGAGGTACTCATCCTAGTAATAATTAGATTCTGCAATAGCAGCAACTCCTTTCGTTAATGTAATACACTCCCAACAACCTTATGGAAAAGTAATTATCAATATTAACATTTTAGAAAGGCATGGACTCTAATTGATATTCAAAATAGAGTTACCTAATACTTTTAATAATAAGTGTTGAGAAAGTAAGTTGTAACCATCGCAAATTGCATTGAATACCACTTGCCCTATTTTCTGAATGTGTTGGCCAATTTGATCATCCATGGATTGGATAAAATATAGGGAGAAATAGAATAGATCTCCTTACTTAAGGCTTAATACATTGCCTAGCCAACCAGAATTACAATGAGTAGTTCCTTATTCTAAACACTGTCCTTATTATTGAGATCTTAACTTGTATCATTTGATAAAGGTAATCTACTAATCTCTATACATTTTTAGGTACACAATACCTTTCCAAATTCCTAGTATTCAGAGATGACTTTTCTGATATATTCTTCAACACTCTCTACCAGTATTCGATATCATCCAATTAACAAGTGAGTCAACAATTGAGTTTCACCTAACTCAATTCAATGATCAAGAAGGTGCCTGAAGATGTCTGGGGAACCTTTATTTTCAAGATGCTTAGTTAACAACAATAGAAGTTGAACAAGGATTAATTCTTAGTCCAATTCAATCAGTACACAGTCAACATGAACAATTTCTTCAAAAAGTCCAATCTGATTTTTGATGTTGTCGAAAACTCAGTCAAGCAAACCGCTTAGATGCACAACGATTCCATCTTCTAAGAGGTACTCCATCTATTCTATCATAGTATCTCTTAATTATGGGAAGTTTCAAAGCAACTACACAAGACTTTCTTAAAAAGGCCACTAGTGTATATTTTGAAGACCAGAATGACGAGATCGATTTAAATGAATTCAACATCAGAACTCAAAAAATCCACAAATAGATGAATTGTTCTCTCCTATACATTCTACCAATGTTATTGCAGATTGAGAGTCACATGATTGATATGATTCAATAGGATAGATATAATGATAACTCCCAAGTCAAAAATAGTTCCAATTACTATTTGAAGATGATTGAGAAATTGAAGAATAAATGTGTTTATAATGGAGAAGAGGAATGCAATTGTAAAAAGTGCTAATGCATCAGAAGGAATAGGAATTCGGCTAAAGAATCCTAAAGGAAGAAAAGAGAGGCTCTTGACAAGTTAGGTCCACTCCAGGATGCCTATGAAGAATTGCAGAAAAAAGTATATATTCAATTCTATAATTAGGTTAAAGTGATTGAAAATGAAAATGAGACTCTAAGATAACTATTGACAGAGGTGTTTAAACACCCCACTGTCTCAGTGTTATCACCAGAATTCATTGAACCATTGACAAAGGTTATTTAAGATACAGATCCTGTACAACATTCAAGTTCATATGAATGTTGACTAAATAACATTGTCCACCTATTAAGTAACAAATTTGAATATCTATATGTGTAATTATATGTGGATATTTAATAAACATAATTCAATTTATCTTTGAAATCCCGTGTTAAATATACTAAGATATAAGTTAAAATGCCAAATATATATATTTAATAATATAAAATTCATCAACTACCAGAAGTCTTCCTACAAGTTACACAGATACTTACTTCTCTAACCGTATTGTTAAACTCTTGAAAGTAGTATAAATTTACTCGAATTTATCAGATACCAAATCTAACTACCTGACCAACTCCTCGGGTTTCGGACACTCTCTGAATTTGATGGTCTTAATTAATGCAACAGTGAATTCCCTAAGATATTTTAGATTGAAACTTGGCTAACACGTGGGCTGCATCAATTTCAATGTTTGAATCCCCCAAACAGATTAGATTGGTGAACACATCATTTTCATACTTAGATCTTATATCTTTAAAGGCTTCTATCTTCCATTTACCACAATCCCCTGGAAACATTTCTTCATACCCATGTCTAGCTGAGATAACTACTATTTTTTTGTCAAAGATCACTTAGAACACCTTATTCATATACCTACTTAAATTATAATATCTACAATTTGCTACTGTATTCAACCCAACCCTAAGCAGCATTTGTAATTATAAATACATCCCCTACTTAAGACGCTTTTTCTAACAATCTACTCTTGATATATTTATTCAAATTACAGCGCTTTCATTCAATGCAGTCAACTATTCCAAGACATCTATGGGTAATTCAACGAATCCATATCCTCCCAAAAAGGTTGTGCACAATAATGTGTCATCCCAATCAAATATTGTCACTAAATCTTTTAAAAGTATTACAAGTTTGGTGCTTCTTTTACTATTACATCAATTTATTATTCATGAGTTTCTAGATGTAGTTATTACGGACATCCTCATTCGTTCTAACCACATAGTTTAATTAAAATTCCTTAGTTGAATTCTCCTTCTCTTAAACTTGCTTTATTCCCAATTTTTGTAAATAGTTCTACCTCCACTCTCTCCCAGAAAGTGAATTGATTATATTGTTTTGAATCCAAGCTTGAGGATTCTCCATCTTGTCCTGCTCAACCTTCTCCATTACAGTCAAACTCTAATTCATATTGTAATTAATTAATTAATTTATAATAAACATGAGTAGACAAAATATCATTATTAACGACAGTGTGATGAGGCAGCTTATTGAAGCTGGTTACACTAAAGAATAAAGCGTTCTAGCCATATAAGCAACCAATCTATTTGGTGATTGTCAAAATCTAAATCAATACTTAGCCATTGCCAAATCCAATTATCAAGACTTATATTAAATGGTTCATGCTAAGGATCAGACCAATTAATCTTTTAACAATTCTTAATATCAATAAACTATACCAAATTATTACGATGTAATTCTATCTACTATAATCAGATGGGAAATTCTACTAAAAGGAAAACTAAAATTCCTTCTATTCCAGTGGGTTTAGTCAATATTGGCAATTTATGCTACTTTAATTCACTTCTATAATTGATGTTAAACAATCCAATTTTTGTTAAAACAATATTCGATTATAAAGTACAATATAACAATGATGTAAATATTATTTTCTATTAGAAATTTGATAACTTTTTGAATTCACTTTAAAGACTGTTTGCAAATTTAATCATTTCTAATTCAATCTATTATGATGCAAGTGAAGTTATTTAATTTATGTGGTGGGATTCAAAAGATATATAATTAGTAGGGCATTAGTAAGATTTCAGAGAACTTTGCGAACTATTCCTTTCAAAAGTAGATCAATCCTTAAAGGAGAAAGAACAATCATCCTCTCAAAATCAACTTAATTTGAACATTAATGATTGCTTCAAGAGTCAAATATTAAAATAATAATTTGTATTGACTAATGAGAGAGATAGATATTAAATCTTCATCCCAGCCAATCTCAGCTATGGTAATATATACAATACCTTATACCATGAATTTGGGTAACAGAAGTTAACTAGTATTCCAGAAAACCTTTTTTTTCAAATTTCAAGATATTCCTACAATAGAAATACTTAAAATATGGTCAAATCGACTCAGGATTTTAATCTGCACTCAGAAATCTATATTGATTTTATAATACAAGATGTCAATTAGGTACATAATTTATTTGAAATTTTTAATGGTGCTACAAATGGAAGTCAATAAATGAACCTAGATCCCTAGTAAAGTATCTATAAGTTATAGTTTTCTAGTCTAAAAATATATTGCTTCATTTAAAGACATTATTGAATATTATTCGCTACTTTAGAATGAGATTATGGTTTAGTAATTGACATTAGATTAAGATATACTAAAAATATAATAACAGTCATCTGAATATTAGTAGAGGAGAGGAGACTATTAATGGTTAAATCAATAATTATCGTAATGTTGCTCTAAAAAATACTACCTACATAGCATTGTTATTCATTTAGGAAATGCAAATTAAGGTCATTATTTTATCTACATTTATAACTTTTCAAAAAAATAATGGTTTTAATATAATGATTCTATTGTGGAAGTGATTTCTGAAAGTGAAGTTATGAGACTATCCAAAAACAATGCTTACATAGTTACTTATGTTAGCGAATAGCAAAGATAACTTATAAGGTAATAGGAAGAAATAGTTGAACTCATTTAATAAAATGATTTATCAAATGATTTATATGAAAATTTGGAACTCTTATAAATGATACCACAAAATTTATTTAAGGAGATTTACTAGCAAAATTTGAATCTCACAATTTGAATAAACATTTTATTTTATTAATATTTAACAGAAATACTAAAGAACTCATTATCCTTCTACATATTCAAGAATTTCATCTTGGTCAATTTGCTATTTTTACTATTTTTACTATTTTTTCTGATTTGATCTTTTTTGGCTATCTTTCTTTTCAACTTAATTGAATGCGCTGTAATCAGCTGTAGCAGGGTCAGCGCTAATTTCAATTCCTAACAATAAATAAATCAAATACCTTAATTTTATAAATATTTAACTTTATCCTCATAATTAGTTATGTCAACCAATTCTTTAAAATTGATAGTGATGACTTATTTAGATAGAAGGTTGTATAACTTCTTTTATAGCAAGCCTTATCCAGTTAAGGTAATTTTGTCGTAATTTAAGTTATATCCAGTTAAGACCATAATTGATTATTAACTAAATTTAAATAGATACATTACGTTTAGGGTAAATAAAGCTCAATTTGAACTTTGTCTATTTAATAATTCATTTCTGCTTGAACTCCTACTGCTTGTAAAAGAGTTTGAACGTACTCAGACGTATGTTGACTTCTGTTTGAAGTAGATTAGATTTTCTCCTCATTGATTAGGGGTTCGTGAATTTTGGTGGCTTTGGAATCTGGATACATTCTTTTCAATATTTCATAGATTGTATTAATTCTGTAGGTCTCTTTGGCTTTAAAGGTCTCCATGTTATTTGCTATTTTCTCTATTTCTTCAAGAGGTTGATCAGCCAAAATATAATAATGAATCAATTTCAAAATTGATTGATTACTTAGATTTTATCTTTCAGCCATAGTTTTAATCAAATTCACAATATCTGGTTCAATAATACCTAATTAAATTAGAGATTCTAAAATATCAGCATAGTAAGCCTTATAGAATTAAGGAGATTTACTGAGCTTTTCAAGTGTTTTCTAAAAGACATCGACTTACTTAAGTTTACCATTAGCTAAAATGGTGAGAATTTGAACTCTCAATTCATTAAAGGTATTATTGAATTACAGACCATATTATTCTAATAAAATATTATAGATCATCTGATTTGCAACATTATTCTTTTAAAACTTTTCGACAATCTTAATTAATTTAATAAGTCCTATTTTAGTACCAATTTAAGAGAACATAATGGCCAATTCCTTGATGAGAGTAGGCTCTTTGGCATTCTAAACCAACTCAAAATATTATCTTTATGTCAACTTCGATCCGATATTCTTGAGTTGATTTTTGATTTTGTCAGTCTCATTTGGTGTTAATCTGAATAAGGCAACTATTTCTTAAATCTATTTAAATTTCATATCATCGGAATCAAGTTAACAGTCAGCCTTAATTTTGTCTTTTAATTAAATCACATTCTCTGGAGGATTATCTAATTGTAGTGCAATACCACACAACTAGACTTTTAAGGAATAGTAAGATTTTTCATTATTCAACTAGATTACAGCATCTTCAGGTGTCATAACACCCTAGTTAATCATGATTTAAACAAAAGCTGAATCTGGATATGGAGTTTATGGATTAGCTGTTCTGTATTATTCAGCAACTTTCTTAATTAATTAAGTCAATTATCTGCTGCTGTAACCTGCACTTTCAAATCTTTCAACAAAGCTGACTAGTGCATTCAATCTGGCAGTTGGTTAATTTAAAAATGCAGCTAATAAAACCTAGCAAACCCATTAGATTTGGTCACTTCTTACTAATCCATAGAGATTTTAGACATTCAAAGTTAAATAATCAACAAACTTGAAAATTGGGATATTTTTTGGATCTTTTTGTATCAATTACAAAACTATTGATAATCTATCAGAATCGAAATCACTCATATCTCCTATAACCTTGCTTAGTACTGTTTTTGGTTGTAATTTTTCTTCCGATTATTCATTTAATTAAATCAAAGCCTATCTACATTTATGATTAAAGCAAGAGTTGAGTAATTCTTTCAACACTTTAGAGAGTTCAATCTTTTTTTATTTGACATTTTAAATGATTTACATGAATGCCTCCTCTTGAACTTAAGCCTTGATCTGAGAATTGATGTTGATTTCAAGGCTAGTTTTCAATAGAGATTGTGGGTTTTATTAGATAACTGATTTGCAAATGGCCATGAATTTTTCTTCATGTTCTTATGCATCTCTATGAGAATAAATCAAATAATGTAAAGCATTGTAGGTGTTAATTCTCTTTGAGTCTTAAGCTTAAATGTATTACTCAACGTATTCTTTCATGTTGATTCCGTTCACAAATAAATAATTGAGGATTTTAAGATTGTTCTCTCCACTGTCTTTCAAAACTGCTACCAAATCTTCGAACTTCTTTTATTTCAACAAACTAGAACACAATTAGCCTACGTGTTGTGTTTCTACTTCCTTCTTGGAGATTCTCTAAGTCAATTCTCCAATTATCTTTTTGACCAAATCTAATGGGTATCTCTATGCATGAGAGTTGGTGATTTTTTCAATAAGAAGTATTAAGAACTTAGATGATAAATTATTTGGATTCTAATCTATGGTTGTTTAAATCATATCCTTCAATTCTTTATGAAGATCTTGATCAAAGTATTTTGGTAAACTTTAATAAGCCTTAAAAATGCTAATTACTGAGTCTTCCTATAATAATTCTATCTTTTATAACAATAAGTCCTTCAATTACTTAATTATATTGGGTAGTGAATACTTTGGTCCAATGTTTTGAAATTGTACTTCAGCAAGACTTTTGAAGAGTAAAGATTTCTAAATACAAATTACATCTTACCTATTCAACGTCTAATTCCTCTAGGATATCTTCTACTACTTTGACTGCGTTGTTAAGGATTTAGGCGTCATATCTTGAGAGTGAGCAATTGTTAACCTTAACCACAATGGAACTGAAGAGTTGGATGATTAGGAAAGGGGAAAGCTATTTAGTAGTAAGGATTTATTCAGCGATTGATTATGCCAATTGTTCATTTGAGTGATTAAGGAGTGTTAAGTCGAAATAGACATTACACATATTTCTAAATGAGAACATTTGATTCTCTGACATCTATTGAATTCTCTAGTATAATTTCGTTTAAGCCTGTTAATGGAAATAGGTAGGTATTCTATTTTATCTGAATTTCCTCATCCAAAACAATACATCGATTACATCTACATTAATGAATATTCAATTATATATACCGTATTCAGTTAATTAATCCACTATGTCATTCAACTTACTAGTTAATTCGGAATATTCGCTATCATTTCTCAATAATCTACTATATCTACCCAACATCCTCAAAGATAGCACTACATGCTCTTGCTTAAACAAATCTTTGTTTTGTTGGAAGATTTGTAAGACAGCTGCAGGACTATCAGCACTGCTTAATTTCTACACCAATGACTCATAAGTGGCAAATCCAAATCTAATGATTCTATTCATCCAGAATTAAAAAATTAATTTTTTTTATTCAAATATCAAATTTGGTATTTTATTAATAGCTCAGATTCTTTTTATATAATCACTGGGGGCTATTCTGATATTGGGATCCTCGATAATAAACATTTCTAATAGCATATAAACAGATTATCATTTATCTCTCCATATCCTTAAATTTCAACTTGTTTCTTGTTCCTCTTGCATTACAGTTACAAGTTATCGATTTACACCTTCCAACTTAAATGAATCACCTCCTCGTTTATGTTTTACCCAGATTCAGGTTTACACTTAAACTATCGTATTTATTTCTACCTCGATTTCTACGATCTATTTATTCTGAATCAACTAGTTTAATTATCTCTATAATGTTTAATTTGTCATCTGAAGCTCAATGCAGTTACTCTTCAATTCCTATTGTTTTTCCAAGTAGATTTTCGATTCTTCAAGGAATTTTCTATTATAAAATTTAAAGAAGTACCTTAAATTATTGCATTCCTGATCTCTCTGATTTAATTGTTATTGTAAATTACAGACCTGTTTTTCAAGGAACTCCTTTTTGTTTCTAAGTTCCTAATTACTTTCCATAGCCACTTTATATTGTTCCTTCAATTTATTCAAATCAGACTTTAAAAAGGCATTTTCAACCTATACTTAATTTAGAAATGAAGGAGTGCTATTTGGATTTTGAAAAACATAACTCTAATTATTATTCATTTAATTTATTAATAAAAAGGAAGATAACGCATTTAATAAACTAGTAGAAGTACTAAAACTCAAATTTTAGCATATTTAATCTTAATTAACTATATTGCATGACATTAATGATCTATTAGATCAAGAGAATAAGGATGTCAGCAATTCCAGTGTTGGCAAAGACATCATTGACATGCAAGATCAAATATAAGTTCTTATAAAATAAATTTAAAACAGCCTCCAAATACTTGATAACAACACAGGACATCTTGCAGGTTGATAACAAAAGTATAATTCACTTAAATCTTTTAAAGCAACAAATAAATTAAGTATGGAAGAATACCACAAACTAAGCTGAAATTCTACAAAAAAGAAATCGATATATTTTTTCAAGCATGCAAACTATTGGAACAGCAATTACAACAGAAACGAAAGACTATGACAGCTAATTCATCATTAAAATAAAATGATCCTAAACTAAAACCTATTGATGATTTGTAAGAGTAATTTATGCATAATTATTATGATATAGAAAGTTAAATAATAAGGGAAAAAGGTGAAAACGTTCAAAAGCTAGCATTAAAGTATTCATTTAATTAGGAACATAGTGTATAGATGTTAAATAAAGTACTTGAAGATGTGGCATTTCAAGTCGATTTAGCAGATAAACCTCCTGATCTAGTTGCTGAAAATCAAGAGACAACAAAAATAAATTTAGTTGATGCCAATGTGGAATTAGTCAAAGCTCAAGACTCTTAAAAGTCAGCGAATAAGAAATTGATAATAATAGCGTCTTTGATGGCTATTCTTGTTGGAGTTTTGATTATAATTTTAATTTACAATTGGAAGTGATACTGATAACTTTTTAAAATTAAGAAAAAAGGATATTAATAGACAAATGAGAATCTTAAATTGAGTACTATATTAATAATAGCCATCAGTTACGATACCTAATAGTTTGGACATTCTTTATTTTAGTATACGGTTTATTAGTGTTGATTTTCATGGCTGGCTTTTTCGCTAATTAGATTTATTATTATTGCTATTCCTCAGGAATTTTTCTATCCTTCTATCTTGAAGACTCCTAAATTATCTAAAAGGCCTGTGCAATAGTTTTCAAGTTTTTCCTCTCTTTATTTAGAACGGTTATTTCAAATTTACGTTTGGGTGACATGCTGTTTATATTGACTTCCAATTCATTCATTATAGATTCTCGTTTTAATGTATGTCCTTTAGGTCTTTTTTAAATTTCTTCAATTGGCTAAACATATTCAATAGTGTCTTCCTCCTGATTTTGTGATTATATTAAGGATGCTTACTAATTCTCATTATCCAAGTTTTCTTAACAGTCAATAGGCTATTCGATTTATTCAATTGATAACTCATTGCTATTCTGGCATTCATCATCATTTAAAAGAAATGGGTGATTTTTAATCTACTCAATATTGATTCTCTAATTTTCTTATACTAGGATTTTACTAAGGAGATCCTTGGCATCTTTATGCAATGAATTAGGAATCTTATATTAACAAAGCTTAATTTTATCATACAAATTCTGAAATGTAGTGTATAAGATATTACTTATGTATTCTCTTCATCAAAAGGCAAGTAACCACATAGCATAGCATAAAGAATGACACCACAACTCCAAATGTCAGTTTTCGCACCATCATAATTTTTGCCTTCCAACATTTCAGGAGCAGCATAGCAAGGACTTCCACAAGCTGTTACCAATAGCTATCCTTTTGTGACTTCCATTGAAAGACCAAAATCTATTAAGCATATATCACCATTATCTCTCATTAAAATGTTTTCTGGTTTAAGATCCCTATGAATGATACCCAAACCATGCAAATATTCAATTGCATTTATCAGTTATCTAATAATATGTCTTGCCTCTCCATTTGTAAGTCTACGATATTATCTAATTTACCTCTCCTATTCCACAATATAATCAAACAATTCCCCACCGGAAACGTACTCAGTTATCAAATATATGGACTCTTCATCCTCTACAATCTACACTCTAAGCAATATTTCTTACTTCCTTCATCTTAACTATGTTTGGATGATTGACCTTATTTAGTAATTCGATTTCCTTATTGACTCTAAATTTGTCTCGATCGGTCTTAAGTGATTCCTTCTGAAGTACTTTAATGGCCACCTGAAGCAATATTGCTATTTGTTTACCTATTCATCATTGCATGCCCCAATATAGACTTATGCAAAAGTGCCTTCCCCAATTTTCTAACCAAATTGATATTTTAACATGCTATCAAGAATCAGGCCTTAATACTATTAATGTTCGGTTCTCAATGCCCTTTCAGCTCATAAACTGCTATATTAGGTAAAGTCACTATCATATCTATATGAGTAAGTGTCTATTGTGGATTCAACCCAACTGGTCATTCATTCCTTTTGGGTAATTTTGTATCAATCCTGAATCTGGAAAAGCTTGCCTAATTAGACTTCTTCTAACCTATTGCAATAGTGGGATATGCAACCATCTAATTGGGCTACCCTAGTTTTAAGATGAAGCAATCAAAGAGGTCAGATTTGATTGCGATTTAAGAGAATTTTTATACAAAAATAGGAATTAATTAGGATGCACGTATAGGAATATTACAAATCATGGGATAATGGAACAACCATTACTAATCCAGGATACCATGGTTTTTTAGAGACGGAAAATTGATTGATTTAGTTTCTATATTCAGAATGATTAGTTTATTAAATAAAGATCACATATTTAAGGGGTTCAACAATGGGGATGATAGTTTCAATTGTACAAAGTTATGACTTTTGCTTGAACAATACAAAAGGAGTTTTGTAAGGAAAATATAACAGTCATTTCATAATGCTTGTGCTTATAAATATATATGTAATCTTATAGAATTAAATTGATAGGTCTATTACAAACTTTAAAACTGAGATTTCAATAATTAAGAACGATACAAAAATGTTAGATAAATTATTAAACAGGATTACTGAGCCAATTCTGTTACAAAAGCAACTCAGCTGTTGATTCAATTAAAAAAATCCAAGATTCATCTCAAATACTAAATGAAAATGAAAAAATCTAGGAGGATATATAATTTCTATTAAAATTTCTTAATTCTAAGATTTCTAATTTTAGTCTTTAGTTGAAAATCACCACATTTAGACGTGTTTATAAGTATTTAAGACGAATTTGAAGGATCCACTAATTAGTCAAGTGAGGATATCAATATCCGTATTTCACTAATATAACACTTTTTATAATCATGAAAAATATCTAGAATAAAATTTAAATACTTTTTATTCATAAATGATAGTTTGTCATTAATCATGCTTTTTCCTATTTATATTACATTTTAGAACAATAAATTTACAAGTTCAAATGAAATTCAGATTCATAAAATATTTCTTATTTATTTTTATATGTCAACTCAATAACAATAACAACAACAATAACCAAAACAATAGTAATAACAAAAATAATAAACAAAACAATAATAATTACAATAACCACAACCACAAACACCAAAATACAAAATCTGTGTCATTTGCAAAAGATTGTCATAATCTCAATGTGGAGATTGCTTAGGGTGGGGAGTATTGTGGTTGATTTTTTCAATTTCAGACGTTGTATCAACAATCCAATGGGAATTAGGTATCTTTGGAATTTTAGGGGCTATTTTTTGGTTTATTCTTACTATGATTTTTTGTGTTGCATCGTGCAATTTAAGAGAAGTTTAATCGAGAAATTTGTACATAGAGATAATAACATGAGAATAACTTCATTTCTTTAGAATTTTTGAATTAACAAATAATATAAATAAAGATTTATTAGTCTAAAAAATTCTATGTAAATTCTATAATTTAATTAATTGTAAATTTATATTAAAATATCCCTATTATTAAAAAATATTTAGTTAATTAATTGATTCAAATGGTATTCTTAAAACAAAGATAGATCAGAAAAATTCGATTTGAATGTATTCCAATATAAAATAATTGTATAATAATAAAATTTATAATAATTAGAATTATTAAGAAATACCAATGAACTACGATGTTAGGACTATTGGCGATTATGAAGTGCATTTTGTTAATTGTATTGGATAAGGAAGTTATGGAAAAGTTTACGAGGGAAGAATAATCAGTTAGAATAGAAAAATATGTGCCAAGGTATTGATAGTGAAATGAGGGTAGGTTTTACATATGACAGAAGAGAAAAGAGAAATGTTTCAAAGAGAAGTCAAAACCCTAGAGGAAATTAAGAAAGTTACTCATCCTAACATTCTCAAAATATATCATATAGCAGAGTAGAATTAAAAAATATATATTTTCATGGAAAAATGTATAGAGACTCTTGAATAAAAAATGAAATCCCTGAAAGATTAGAATCAATCATTTTCAGCTGATTAAGTGCTCCTAATTGCAAAATAAATTTGCAGAGGATATAATGAATTAAGAAAGAAAAATATAATTCACAGAGATATAAAGCCTGATAATATTTTAATAGGAGAGGATGGATAATATAAAGTATTTTCTTTTTAAACGTAGATTAGCGATTATGGGTTGAGTAAGACTTAAAATGATATTGAATCCATATTGAAACAAACTTAATTAGGAACACCTTTATTTGTATCACCATAAGTATTTAAAGGGGAATATTCTAATAAAGCAGATCTCTTTAGTGTAATCTTTATATCTAAATTAGCTTGGATTGACTATTTATTACATTACTTTCTAAGAACCTATATTCAAAATAAAAACCTTAGGGGAATTATCCAATGAACTCAACAAAATTAAAAAGGGATTGAAACTACCATAAATCAAAAATCAGGGAGATTTAAATTCAAAGAAATATTTAGAAGACTTTTTGAAAAAAACAATTGCATATGAGGAAGATGAGAGAGTAAGTTGGGATGAATTGTCTAGATATTTAGATCAAATTAATATAAATTCATCAATCAGTAAAGCACCACCCGAACAAGATGGTAATAAAAACATAGATACTTTGGGAATTAATTTACAAAGAGTGAGGCAAAGAGATACTGATTCTGTCATTTATTCTATTAAACCTGCCTAGTAGGAAAAAACATAAACTCAAGAATAATAGCCACTGGAACCTGTAAGGTTTATGAAAAACACTAATTAAGATTCTCGAAATATCAATTAAGGATTCTAATAAGACTCATAGATCAAATAAAATTAAGATTACAATAATCGTTAAATCTCAAATTATAATTAAACTATAGATAATCGTTAAGTTCCACAATATTTAGATACTCAACTCATCCATCAATAGATAAATCTTATTAAAGTATAAGATACTCCAAAAGATTTTATTAATTCAGACGTTTGCGATTCTTAGTTTGATTAATCCAAATAAAATAATTCTTAAAAACAAAATAATAATCCTAATATTATCAAGCAAACTACAAGTAATTCATAATACAGTTAAGAAATAATATTCCGGAGAGATTTCCAAGAAAATTAAAATTCTAGGGTTGCTCCTCAAAATAACAATGATGAAGGATTAAAAATAGGATGTGACAATGATTCATAGAACTCTGCAAATCAGGTACAAAAATAATTTATTTTCAATAACCCTGATTAATCGCAGAATTAAATACATTAAGTTATCTAACTTGAGAGAAAAAGTGATTAGAAAGATTTTTATATAAAAAATGATGAAGACGCTTCAGAATCCATAATTAATTTTAACAATATAGATCCCTATTAAGATGAAAATTAATTTTAAATCTAAAATGAGTTATTAGTCTCAAAGTAGAATAATTAAAAATTTGATGAATATAACTGCCATGCCATAAACTATAATACAAATGGGAAAAATAATCAATTTTATGATCATGATGATTAATTATCTCTTAATCAGATAGACTCTTAAAGTGAGGTGATTTCAGATTCTTATAAATTATCAGAGACAACCTAAAGGGAATACTTAAACACTTAAAATAACCTTAAGTAAACTTCAGATTCATTATTATTTCAAAACTAAGAAACTTTCAATTAAGGTTTAAAAGTCAAAAATTCCATACGTTCTTAATTTCGAGCCTAGTAACCTAATCAAATTACTTAAATTAAATTTTCCTCCACAAATAAGATTTAATCAACCTGTGCTTCAGATATGATACCTTAAAATAAAATCAATAATTAGACAACTAATTTAGCCTAATTTAAAAATGTAAAATAAAATTAATAAGCTTAATATGAATAATAGGTAGGACTGAAGAAAAAATAAGAAATTTAACCTTAGGATCTATAGAAAGATAGAGGCTTTTAAAAATAAATCCAAAGTCCTAATAAATAAGGAAATAATACTTCATATTAATACAACTAATCAAAAACATAGGAATTTTAGAATTAAAATGCTGTCTAAAAAATCGAACTCCAAAACAAAAATGTAGAATTTAGCACTTCTAATGACACCCAACCTAGAAACTAATAATTAAATTAGTAATAGATGTTTTCAAAATAGAATGAGAAAATCTAAAATGGAAATTAAAATGATACCTAAGAATAAGGTTAGGTAATAACAAGAACAAAAAATAAACTCTTAAAAAAATCAGATGCATCCCAGTAAACATAACCACTAAAATAAGTGTTCTAGATAATATTGGCAAAGATTAAATTAGCTGAAAATGCCTTTAATTCCTACCAAGCCTTTAGGTATTATAATTTTTATAACATAGAACAAATTGTAAATTCTAAGAATTTACAAAATAATTTGAAATTCTTAATTACCTTTTACATTATTACTAATATGCATTGATTGCAAATGTAAGATTACTTTTAAAAAACGATAAAGGATTAGAGGAATGTTATTTACAAACAGAATTAGATTAAATTATTGTGGCAAATTCAATTGTAGATTATTAAAAGTAAAATTAATAATAATTAAATGAAATAAATGAAATCTATTAAGAAAAGCTTTAGATTGCAGCAGTAAATTTATTATTTTTTATATTAGTAAGCATCCAAAGACTTTCAAGATTTTCTTGATAGTAGAGCCAACAATGGAGATATAATGGATTTGATTAGATTCATAGAGGAAGGTAAGTTCTTTAGGTTTTTTTCTTACATTGATTTCTATGAAAAGTACTTCAAATAGATATTCAATTAATTTAATAGTGACTTAAGTTCTATAGAATTGTTAAAGTAAAGATTAGTTTAAAATTAGGTTTTTTGGATATTCGATTAAGTTTATAGAGATTGATATTAAATATCCAATTAATAAATATAAAGTTATCGATTCTAAGTAAGTCGATTACTTGACTGACAATTTAGAAACTTTGTAAGAGTTCATTAAGAGTTATATGAAAGTAAAATGAGGATATGATGATTCATTTAAAAAACTTATTTAATGCTTATAAATTTTAGTGTCTTCAATTTTCTATTTTATCGAGGAGGGTTGGGATTAAAGTAGAAAGTGAAAATGAGTGAAGAATGAAGAATTTTGGATATAAAAATGATGTGAGTGAAGTAATATTTAGATTGAGATAATATTCGTTTTTCTGTTTTTTCTGATTTTTTTATTAATATTATATGAAATCAGCTTTATTGGTTGTTGTTTTGATTGCCTGCATTTAGGCAACAACAGTGTCTGAATTGAAAGAAAGACTTTCAGGATATGGAGATCATCCTTTTGGTTCATCAATGATTAACTTAGTGAGTGTCAACATGAAAACAGGAGGATCATTAAATGAATTAAAATAACTCTTATAATAAATAAAGGATGAATTGATAGCCTTGACATAATTACAAGATTAAGAAAGTGCAACATTCACAAGAAGAAGCTAAGTTGATTTGGCCAAACTCTAAGCCACACTTGAATAAGCTTAATAAGATCTTGATAACCAAAGATAAGAATAATCAAGTTTAACCAATGAATTAAGCACGTTATAAACAAGAGTAAAAGAAGGTACTGTTCACACAATATCATTTTATAGATTAAGCTGCATTAGACAGAAATGGCAGAGGAAGTGGTGATGCTTAAGGTAGATTAGATGCTGAGAACACAGATTTTGCAGCTAAATTTTAAGATTATAGTGATGCAATTCTTGCTTGCAAGGAAGCTCAAAGATTGTTGTTAAATTTAAGAGGTGAAGGAGCATCATTAATTCAATTAACGTATCAGAGTTATTTAAATCTTTAGTTAAGACACTAAGAGCAATTTGATTTAAACCAAAGAGAACTTTTAGAAGATCAAAGAGATCTTAGAAGCTCACACTAAGAAAAGTTCTTTAACCTTATTCCAACCAATCATTGAAGGATTGGCTGAAATGACAACAAAAGTCAACCCAGAAACCTTGAACAACGTCTTGAGTTTGGTTGCTAGATTGATCACTGCATTATAAGAAGGTTAAGATTAATTAGAAGCTAATCATAAGACTTAAGTTGAAAATCTCACTAGATTAGGTGATGATTTGAGAAATGAAAAGCAAACCTTATAGGTTTCATTGGCCACTGCTAATAACAGACTTAAGGAAATCTAATCAAGATTGAATGAATTAGATGGATTAATCAATATCTCTAATGCCATCGTTGAAGTCACCTAATTAAATATCTAAGATGCCACAAAAATCAATGAGTTGGAAGATCAAGAATACAGTAATCAAAAAGTTAGTAGGTAATCTATATAATCTAATTTAGATAAACTGAAATCGATATCGTTGATAGATTAATTGAATACATCAATCAAAAGTTATCAGAATGAAATCATCATATTCATATAAAATATTCATATTTATCTAGAATCTGTTTCAATCATTCTATGAAATTGATCAAAATTTAAATTCCAAGATTCTGCAATTTTGGCTACCTCTAAAATACGAGTGTCGTTGGTTGATTCTGCAGATTTCACTCTTACATTCATTGCTATTGTATCCTAAATTTATTATGTAAATTATTACTATTGCATAAGCCAGGAAAATATCCTTAATAGATATACCCCCGATATCGTGAGTGTTCAGATTAATCTTAACTAAATTATATACATTCTCCCAATCAGGATGATCTAAGATTAAATATCATATTACGATCGATTTATTCTGAAAAAATAGCCACTTAATTCATAAATGAAAAGGCTTCCTTAAAATTGTTGAACTTGATTTCTCTATACAATTTTTATGGAGTCTTATATAAATCAATAATTTACAATCTTCCATGTTGAATTTAATGAATGCATCTTGCTTAATGTTTATATGTCTGAGTCAGAAAGAAGAGTTGGATTTCTTTCCTTCATTGTCTGAAAATCTAAAACCTTGAAGGAAAGTTTAGGGAAATTTGTTTATATTGTGCCAAAGCGAAATTTGAAAATTGAAAATATCATAAATTTTAATATTATTGATAATGATGATTTATTATTCAGAATTTATTAAGTCAATTACACTAAAAGATTATAATTCATTCAAATCACACTTGTTTCTACACAATTGTATATGACTAAACGACCAAAATATTAAAGATTTATAATATGAATCAATTTAAATCATTAAAAACTTCTGATTTTGTTGTTAGTTAGCTTTTTACAAATGATAAAGCGATCAACTAAATTTAATTGCTTAAATTAAAATTTAGATCATCCTTATTTTGTATTTAGTTTTATTATTTATCTTTCGAATTCAGATTAAATTAATGTATAAACCTTAATTTATTCCTATTATTAGAATTCTGTTAATTACGATTTAAAGAAAAATCATCAATTTAAGTGTTAAAATCTTAGATTCTGATTGCTTTTGAGTTTTTTTATAACATATGTTACACTCCTCTTTTAGACCATTCTTTCTTAGGAAATTAAAATTTCTGCATCAGCTAACAAGAGCTATTCTTTTATTTAGTGTTTTAAAAATGAAAATTATTTAAAAAATAGACAGCATTCTATAAATTTTTTAGTGCTGGACTAATATAAAGCTTTCTTTTAATCTAAAATCTCCATTTCAGCAGATCTTCATACTTCTCCCTTAAAGTTTTTGTTCTCTTTACTTTAACACATTAGATTATCTCCTGCAAAGGTGATATAATTAGTTTAGATATCATCAGATACGAACATATCAACAAACTGAAATAAACTGATAATAGAAGTATTATGGCTTAATGTAATTTCTCATCAATTTTTGTTTATAATATTGTTTTACATTCATCAAGATAATCTTAATAACTGGCATTATCTATAATACTAATCTAAATTAAAGTAATTGATTACAATAAGAAATAAAGTTATTGTTTGGGGAGGTAAAATTTGATAATGCTCTATTAAGAATTGGTTTTCTAATTCATAAGTTTGTAGTATTATTAACTATTCTTACGAATTTCATCCCAATCATTTTTATTAAATCCAGTAATGTTTTGGTCATAGAAATATGCATGTTCGTGACCTTACTAATTTACTAAAATGCCATCCTTTGTTAAAATCATTATGTAAATATCTTTGAAATCTTGTAACATTTTTTAGGTTTTTTGAATTATGTAATCTGAAAAAATATCTAAACCCCACGCTCCTTTGAATTGAAAAGACTTATCAATCAAAGGTAGTGTTATCGTTATTCCCACTTTCTAATCCTAATTGACTAATTAATAATCCTCAATAAATTACACAAATAGGGATCAGATATGCTGTAGAAATACTCCCTTTTATTTATAATTTATTCTGAAATATTTTGGGCTAAAAGATACCATGGTCTAGTTTCTGGTTGATATTGTTGAATCTCCTATCCGAGAGAATAGCATGGATAAGAATAGAGAAGTCTAGGCTATTCAACTATATAGCCATATAAAAAAGCTTCATTGGTATCAAAGTGTGGGTGTATTATTTGTCCGATTGAACCAATAAAATCACCAAAGTTAACTTGTTGAATTTAATCTCTTTCTGCATCGTTAAATTTTTCTTTAAAAGTGTAACAAAATACAGAGTCTGAGAATTTGGAATTGTTTTTGTTAGCAATTATCTAAGGATAAGATTCCAAACCACCAAAATTATTTTAATTTAAAGAGCTGTTCTAATTTATTTTTGTAAAATAAGCTAAATACAGTTAGTTTAAAGTGATTAGTGGATTAGCATCTAATTTAAATGATCTAAAATTACTTATTTAAAAGTAAGAATTCAAATATTTTTAATAATGGGAAGCATAACTAATTTTATTAGCATTATCTCTCTCATATATTATATTAGATTAAGCCAAAAATTCATTAATTATTACTCGCCCTCCAAAGTACCCTGTTAAAAATGAAAGTGATGAAAATAACGCTGAAAATATTGCAGAGTAAGTTAGTAACACTGTTTTCATTGAATAATTCTGAAAAAATGACATAAAATTAATATTTAAATAGAAATCAATTCCTTTAATCAATATTACTATAAGTTTCACTAAATTTATTTCAAAGTAATTTATCACACTTTTCTTTCTCAAATAAGAGTGATGTTTATTTAAAAGAACCTAGATACGTTAATTTTACTCTTTAATATTTAATAAATGGAATTCTGTAAAATAAACAGTGAACAGCCAGAAGAATTTAAAGAATATTGGATAAGAAACATTTTCGTGTCGAAAAAGTTATTTTCAAAATTAAATCATTTTCATTTACATATGTTTTAAAGGGAGTATCTAATTTCTGCATATTCACCTTTATACATAAAATGTTTATGTTGATAAATCTATAATGAATTAATATGACAATAAAATAATCAACCTTATAATAAATTTGTTAACTATCAAAATTATAGAAATTTAAATAAACAAAGTTAAATATTTGGAGTTACTTAAATTAAATATATATGCTAAATTGAAGGAAAAAAAATGTAAATAAATGTACAAAGTTCATTTGATTTTCATTAAAGGCTTTATCTTTGAACTATATATCATTATATTTTCTAATTTATAGTCTTATCTTATTTGGCACTTTTTATGTAATGATTACTAAACTATTATTTAAGTATAAATAAGAAAATCCAAAAAAATTCAAATAGACTTCAAAATCTTAGTTTAAGATTTATTAGTTTGATCTTATTAATAAAAATGTTATTGGCTTCGTTTTATTTGAATTTACCAAGTAATAATTTTGGGTCCTTTTCCTGATATCTAATTAGCTTCAAGGAGTGGTACAAATTTAAATGATATATAACTATTCTAGTAAGTAATAGTAGTGTAAGATGAGTATTAGGAATTTTAGTAATAAATTAACGGAATAGAAAGGTATGTTGTTGAGTGTATTATTTTTGAATAGAATAGAATAGGTTAGGTTTATTTTATGGATGATTTCATTTTCTGCTTCTATTTTGTTACTGATATATGAATGATTGACTTGGTTTTCTTAGTGTATTTTATGAAGTGATTATAGTTGAATAAAATTCTTTAAATGAGTGAGATTATTTATTAGAAGTTTATTTTTTGTATTTTCGTTGAGTAAATTTACAAAGTTGTTGCTTATGTTAATCCAATAACTATCATTACTTTGATTATGGGATTTGTATCGAAATTTGTTATCACTACAATTATGAAAAGCTAAGTTAAATTCTAAACGACTTCCTAAATCAATGAGTGGATTATGACCACTGTTTTATTTATTAATTGATTGCCCTTATGCTTGTGAGACTCTAAAAGAATTGATTTTTCAACTTAAATCCATATTATTGAACTGAAAAATATACTAACAGAGTGAATTTCAGTTCACAATTCAGTGACTTTTATAAATGAAATGTGACTAAATTTGAAGTTCATTATTAATGTCTAGATAAAAGGAAAGAGAAGATTTATTTGAAGATCCTTTTGACTCTCCATTACGCTATAATCACCCTTAATTTGGTCCTTCAAATGGGTTATGTAGTCCATGCCACTACATTAGATCTAGTATCAGATCAAAATCAATCTTTCTTAAAAAAAGCCCTTAAAATCAATAGAACAACACAACTAAAAAAACAAAAGTATATAAAAGTTACATTAATGAATTTGATGGACAGATATAAATTCAATAATATATTTTCAGCAACAATAGTAAAAGTAAACCAATACATGAATCTTTAAGTTCATTATTTAAAGAGGTATAGTAGTAATCTAATTGAAATAGCATAAAATTGAAGTTAGATATGAGGAACCTAAAGAAGAGAGTACTTTGGTCAATTATTTGCATGCAATTTAATAATTGATGCAGGAACTAGAATCTAACGTAGGAAATTTAGAGAGGAAATTGAATTTGAATCAGTAGAGAATATAAGAACCCATCAATTAATCCAATAATCATTAGTTAGTTTATATCAATTAGAATGTTTAAGGATTGGTTGGCAGAATATAAGACATTTTATTGCAAAAAAATATATTTCCTGGTCAATCATAACCTAATCCTGATGAGAATTAAATCTAGATGAACTTTAATAAGGATTTGAAGAGGTATAAGTGTCATTTCTGCCCATTAAGATTTATTAAAGCATGTTCTTTGGGGTATTAACTTTAATATATATTTTAAAGAGGTCATATATCGAGAGTCCATAAAGAAGAATCTAAATAATCAAAATCCAAAATTCCTCCTAAGAAAAATAAACATATAAAAAAAGAGAAGAATAACTAGTCCAAAATGAAATGATCAACTAATTTGATTGTTAATTTATATATATTTTAAATTTAAATTTAATGGATTATCAGAAATTATTTAATGTCATTCCAAAAGAACCAAGGAGATGGACTTAATGTGATGTTGAATCCTGGTTGCAGTTTATTGGATTGCAAGATTTATCAGATGTGTTTTGTATTGATTGATAATTCAAATTTATAGAGAGAAATGCTATTGATGGTGCATGTTTGGAAGTGTTAAATGATGATGATTTGAATGAATTGGGTATCAACTCTAATGTTAAAAAGAAGAAGATTTTACAATGGATACAAAACGGATTCATAGAATATAAATAGTTTGTTAGAGACAATGTAGGTTAAAGCGAATGGTCTATTGCAAGCAAATAGATAATAAATAAAGAAAATCTCGATTATACTCCAATTCAAAGATTGAATGATTTTAAACCAAGAAGAGATAGTTTTTAAGATAATCACAGAGTTGAATTGATAGAATCAATGAAAGTAGTTGAAGCACCCTAAATCTTGCAATAACCAAAATAAAATCTGGAAGCCACTAAAATACCATCATATCCAAATTCTATAAAGTAGATTGAATCTAAGCACATCATTGAAATTGTTTGCATTGGGGATAATTAGAAGATCTGTGTGACTGAAAAAGGACTTAGTATTGGAAGAAACCCAGAGAATACTCTAATTTTGAGTGAAGATTATGTGAGTAGAAATCATTGTCTGATTGAATTTGATTAGAAAACAAATAGTTTTTATTTGAAGGACACTGGAAGTACATCTGGGACATTTGTATTGTTAATGCAACCATCATTGATGAGATTGGGTTTGATTTTACATATGGGAAGCATGCAATACAAGTTAGAGTAGATGAATTGTAATAATCAATAATGCGATGTGGTATTGAGAGTTGTGGAAGGGTTGTAGAAGAATCAAAAGTTTTAATTCTAATTAATTAAGAATTAGAATTGTCTCAAGTTTGGGAGATAGTTAGATCAATTTAGGATGGATACAGTAAATATTGTTTATAAATAGTTAGCATTTGTCTGGTATTCATGCTCAATTTAGTTACACAGATGATGGGTTGATTTTGGAAGATATGGGGAGTAGAAATGGAGTTTGGGTGAGATTGAGTGAATAAGGGTAGTGTAGTGAGAGAGTGAAGTTGACACAGGATAGACAATTTAGACTTGGGTATGAAAAAATATATTTGTGTAATATAAATAATATTAAATGAATAATAATTAAGCCAATTCAGCAATTTCTATCAAATTAGTCATTGTGGGTGATGGTAGTGTTGGGAAGACCTGCATTTTGATTAGGTATTCTTCCTAATGTGAATTATAGATACACACAAGATAAATTTCCAACTGATTATGTACCAACTATATTTGAGAATTATTGTACATAAATTGCCTACGAGAACAAAATGGTAAATCTTAACTTATGGTAATTAAAAACATTTATTTCGAAAAAAGGGATACAGCAGGACAAGAAGAATACAAATAATTGAGGTCTATCAGTTACCCATAAAGTGATGTCTTTGTTATTACATTTTCAGTAGATGAACCAAGTTCATTTTAAAATGCTGTCAAAAAAGTAAATAGATTACATGAAATAAATTAGTGGTATCCTGAATTATAGGCTGATCAACCTAATGTACCTAAGATTTTTGTAGGAAATAAAATCGACGTGAGACCAACAGAAAATGCAGATGAGAATAAATTTGTTACCTTTAATATAGCATAGAAAGTTGTTTCTGACTTGGGATGTAAGTACATTGAATGCAGTGCACTAAATGGAACTAATTTAAAATAAATTTTCTTAGAGGCAATTAGATAGGCAATAAAAAAGAAATTCCCTCCTTAACAACCTTAAGCTTCATAGCCAACTAAGAATTAATCAGGAGCTCAAAGAAAGAACAATAATAGTGACAATGATGATGCCAGTGGGAAATGCTTAATTTAATGATTTTATCAAGAAGCACATAAATATATCTATATAGATTATTGTTTTTTTTCTTCCTTTTTAATATAATTCAATCTTTCTTTATTTTCTTAGTTATCAATTCCACATCGTCCTCTTAATCGGCAGGTTTCTTTTATTATTTAACAAGATGAGTGCTGCTATGTCCTTGAACTGATTTGAATAAATCCATCTCATCATCAACCACATTATATCTAGATTGCATCTGACTTGAAGATTGAGTTTATGAACTGAATTATTATTTCATGCAATTATTTTTTATATTCTTGAAAATGTCATGAATTCTGTGATAGTTTTTTTCTTTTTCTCTTTTCTTCAATTCATCTTCCTATTAGTTATTAATGAATTCTTACTAGAGATGAAATTAATTTTTAGCTTATTCCTTCATAGATGATTTTTATTATTTCTAAATATTAAGAAAATATTAAATTCTCCCTTAACCCGTTATAAGATAAAATAACATGTATTAAAGTGGGTATTGTCATTATGATGTCATTATTGATATCCTCATCTCTAGACAAACAAACCAACTTTAATATTTGTAAACACTTAGTCTACAATAACTTTTAGTTTTCCTCTATGATGGACCCAACTTTCAAAGTCACTAAATTTTACATCACAGCCTCTTTAACCTATGGTTTCATGGCTCTAACCAACCCTAATGTGATCTCTAAGAATTGATATTTGAATTCTCTGGTGGACTTCTGTGAAATTTGAGATGTGATTTTTGGATAGAATTGCAGTAAAAATAAATCCATTGTTTCATTCTATTCTTCTGAATTATTATCAATGAGTAATTTCAATACTTCCATATACAATTCATTTTAGAAAGCATTGTCCACAATGATGTTAAACAATGGATATTTCAGTACTTGTTGATGTTCACTGATAACATATTATCTGAAATTAGTGGGACAATGCTGCAAACACACAATTAACAATTCCAATATCATATTTGGTATTTTAGTGAACACATCCTCCTTTATTAATATTATGAATAAATATTACAGATATCTTGAACTTAAGTTTCTTTAATTTGGCTTTGTATTTCTCGAATCCCTTAAGCGAATCGTAGATGTAATCTTCTATTATCTCATACAATCCATATTCACTGAGTTTCTAATATATGACCACCTTGTTCAACTAGTAATAGATGAATCAATGTTATACATCTGGGAATTCTTTAAAGACAGAACAAATCTCACTCAGGAATCTCAAAGCCAAGAAATTGAAATTCCTTAATTGGTCTATGACTTCTATCAAAAAATCCTTCGAATTTTCAATGTACTTAAAGAGGTCAACATAACAACTCTTTATAATCTATCATGATTTTGATTACGTTAAAACTATCTTTATGAACATCAACTGGCACTCGTCGATGTAGTAGGCCAAACCACAATCGCGCAAGTACTGCAGCCGATATATGAAATGAATGGTTTTAAGTCGCTCTTTACTCTTAATTTGGACTACTTGTAAGAATTACGCATGTTTCTCTAAATACTAACGGTGGGGTACGAAATTCTTCTTGTTCATCTCAGTATCATCTAATAACATTTAATCTACAAATAACATACATTCTAATGCACCGAAAATAAATAAATAATTCTAATCGTTCAGGATTATTTAAAACAATTCATGTTCTGCCACTGTTACTATCTAATCACATCAATATATATTTATACATTCTTTACTATCTAACACATCTTTAGTAATAACTTCCCATTATTGTCCTTCTCCAATTGTTGGAATAACTTAATCAACTTCTCAAAGTAGTCCTTATCAAACTCATTATTCTCTTACCTTCTTATTGATTAGATAATTCGACAACATCTACTTAGATTGAGAACCATATGCGATCATTGTATTCATCGTTTCCAATATAGACTCCAAATTTGCTTCAGAAACCGGTGTCAATGCTATAGAATCCTAATCTTCAGCCTCATTCTCCACCAAAATGTTTTGAATGCGAGTCCAAACTCCAATTGCTCCTTCTCTGCTCTAAAAACTTAAGGCATATTCCTCATTAAAACTAAATTAGATTGCTTCCTCTAATACAATTTAAATTCATCCTTACCTTCATCAAAACAAAACTTATTCTCATGCTTTATTGGGACCACAATCACTTCCTGACTTGTGTCCTTTTACAACAATATCAATTCGTTCTATTATTCTCATCTCTATACTCATTACCTTCGAATTTATATGCGTATATCCAATATCTACATAATTCCATTTATCTGGCCCCAGCTAATACATCTAACATAAAAGAATTTCGGAATTAGGTTTCATTTTAATATTTTAAATATTAAATCTTATTTTTATGCAAAATAAAAGAATGAATATATATTTACACTTTATTACTAATTTTCTCATTCTACATAAGCTATAACCTCTATCTCTTTCCTTTTAATTACTTATTATCTATTATTTATATAAATAGCTATATATATAGATATCTATTTATCAAAAATCAATCATTTTCTCTAAAGTATGGCATTGGACCACCAACATCGCCATCAAATCACTATGTTAATTAGTTTATTATTAGCATCTCATCGGCATTACCTCACTTTCTAAATTCTCTAATAAATCCACATCAGAATTCGTCTTTATTGAACTATTATGTGAAACACATTGTTTTATCTTCATATTATTTCCAAACTGCTATAAAATTTTCATCTTCTACTAGATTGTGGCCTTCTTATTATTTAAGTCTTTTTATAGGACCTTAATTGATATTGGGATGTCACCCTATTGTTTCTATAATAGATCATTAGTGTACAAAGTCATTTGTCCTAAATACAGTGCTTCATCTGTGATTAAACTCTAATTTATTATCAATAATAATTACAATAATTTTATTTTACTCTTATTATTATTATAATAATTCATTAATTTATTATTATAGAAGCTTGGAATCATTTTAATTTTATAAAGAGGCTTATAAAACTTCACATTTCTCCTATAATTTTAAAATTTATTATTAATATCCTTTACATTCTGCTTCGTATTACTATTAAATTTTCTTAAATTAACAATTATCATTTATAATAGAATTTAGCTATTGACATTACTTATTATTCTCTTAAAGCAAATCAAAGTATTTTTGTTCTACTTGCTTCAACTATTCAATTTTAGTTTTGAGTACATCATTTTCTTAAAGCAAAGTAGAATTTTATTGAATCACATTGTCTAAATTTTTACTTATCTCTAATATTCTTGAATTTAATTCTTAATAACATCCTTAATTCTATATATTCTTCTAAAGCTCATTAATTTACTTATTTTTTTCATTTAATTGATCTTAAAACTCTTAGATTGCAAAGTTCTGTTTATCTTGAGATTATAATTCAAATATCTTTTCCATCAATTATCTATTGATAAAGGTCTATTCTTCCAATAATCTGAGATTGTTTTATGAATCACTATCTATTTGAGTTTTTCTAATATTTCTACAATAAGGAGACTTTGATTTAGAACTCATTTAAGTCATGAATCTGTCATCATTTGTCTTATAATTAGATTAATTAATAAGTGAACTATTGTTCTCATTGGTTTCATAATTTGATAAATTAACACCAAAAGAGCTCTTTAAAAACTGCTATTGATTCATATTATCTTTTAATGTTTTTATTTACTTATTCAATTTATCAACTTAGTTTGTTAATACATTTTAATTACTTTAAGATTTTAATTAATTGATGATCTCTTAAACTTGATTTTGAGTATCATATACCATTTTTTATAACTATATTTAACCTTTAAAAGTCATTTAATCCATATTTTAATTATCCAATTAGGATTTCAAATATTCAATTTGTTATTCATAGTGATAATTATCATTGCCTCTAAATGTCTCTGAATTATTATTTAGTTCTTATAAAAGTAAATATATAAAATATTTTAGGGTAATTAAGTCAGTGCATCTGTAAAAATCAAAGCATTCATTTGAGAATTCTTAACAAAAACATTTAATTTTTGCCAAAGATGGGGCACATTCATCTTGATTTTGATCTTTTACTAATTTAAATTGTCTCAATCTTTTAGTAAGAGTTTATATTTTCTGAATACAATTATAATTTAATCTTGTTTGATGATTCGCAACGCTATGAACAGAGTATTTATCTTAGTTGATGGATTACTCCGTTTTTATTGGTGACTATTCAATTTTACTGATATTTTCTAATCTCTTATTGATGATTGTCTCGTAATAACTTTGAGTGTCTATCTACTTATTAGATCCATATTTCTTGCATTACTTATGAGTATTAAAGGGAGATAGATTAGATGTAGTTTTAGAAGCTGTAGTTGATCTGTTTTCACTTGCATGATGACTATTAAGATTTTTCACTCTCATTTCCAATCCTTACACTTTACTTTATAAATAATTGGCGCATTGTTAGAATTCAGGGCAATTACTAATGATTGCAAATGGTTATCTATTAACTTTTGCACTTCCCTTTCTTGAATGACATGAATTTGGTGTTTGAAAAGGTTTCATCGATTTTCGATTTTAAATTATTTGTTTTTTATTTTAACAGAATATAATTGTAAAAAATTAAATCAATATTATTGCACTTTTAAAAAAACCCAAAAATAATTAGATAATTGATTAAATATAAATAACTTTAACTATCAAGAAACCTATACCAAATTCTATTCTATACACATTGTATAAATGCTGAAGTGCATCTAGTGCTTAGAATATTACAATCTTTGCACTACAACAAATAAAGGAGCTTTTTTATGATTGATGCAGAATTCCTCAGTTTTAACAGAAATAAAAAAATTGATGTTGCCTTCATTAAGATGAGAAAAACTACTTCTTACTTTTACTGAATTCTTATAATTAACAAAAACTACAAAAATTATGGATAAGTAAATAAGCACCCTCGAAATTTGTCGGATCAAAATCTGAAAATGTTTGCCCTATTATCAAAATTAATCTTCATTTAGTGGAGTTTATTGTTATTTGAGAATCACTAACAAGCATTAAAATATTTCAAATGGAAAAGTTGTACAAGGTAATACTAAACTTAAGAAGTTGAAAATAAATATTTAAGAATATTATAAAAATATTATGATGAATGAATGAGTATAAACCCTTAAATTCATACGTAAGCTATGGATATTAACATACGCTTGATTCAGGTTATTGATACAAAAATATTGTCAATTTAATACTATCAAATGGATGGTATTATTAAAATAAAAATTTATTTCAAAATTCATAACTTGAATCAACATATTATATAAGATAAAGCAGAATATTTAAGACATGCAAGCCTTTCTTATATATATAATAAGAAATGAAAGCTTTATCTTAATGAAAGTTCTATAGTAAAATTTTAAATTGTATTGCTTTTTGCCTTTTTATTTTAACTAATGTTAAGTTGGACGATCAATCTCCTATTATAAAATAGATTTTACTCATAGAATCATAAATTTGAAGAAAATTACCCATTTGAATAATCAAGAGTAGTTTAAGAATCTGAGTGAATACGAGTGTATTGGACTATTGGTTTTACTATGGTTAAAAGAAATGATAGATGCATCATTTACTAATACCTTATCTGATATTGAAGGTTTCGTTAGAGTCGTTGATGATACAAATTCGAACTCTTTAAATGAAATGATAATGACTATGAAGTGAGAATGCAATAATATAAAGAGCATACCTTAATTGTGATATATTAATGGGCGGGCAAACGATGCGCCACTTATTTATAAATTGTTATTTTTATAATTCTTCTTAATAATTAAAATAAATGAATAATTGTTTGTTAACACCAAAGGTTAAGCAACAAAAATGCCCTGAAGCTCCTAGAAAATAGTTAAACTTTACTAGAATTGATGATCAATCTATTAGATCTGTTTGCCGAATACTTTTTGTTGAAGAAACAAAACCAGAAATAATTCTAACCTAAACTGCTTGATTTTTCTATTTTGTGTATATTTACATTATAATAATACATTTGAAATTAGGATGTCTGATTAATAATAATCATAATCATATAAAATTTAGTAATAAAATTAACAATAAAATTGTAGTAATGGATTTGAGAAATAGAAACACAAGAAAAGTGCTTCTCTAGATGTTGGAGAAACAATTGAAATCTATAATGACTGAAAATACTACAAAAGTGAGATATTAAGAATAGTTGACAAGATTTCAGATCTATGAAGATTAAAAAAAAGCTAGATAAAAATAACATAGTCCTTCACCTTAATTAATGAGAGTACATAGTTAATCAGACCACATCCAATTTTACGAGAGACAATAATCCTAATTAAAATTAAAAAATGAGCGATTGTAACAATCAAAGGAGAAGTCTATATAAAAAAAGTTATATGAAGAAATTCAAGAAGCAACATTTCATCCTAAAATCCTTAAGCCTAAAAGTTAGAATACTCAGAAGAATGACTTGTATTAATAAGGAATGAAATGGATGTAATAAAAAGTATTAATTATTAATAGAAAAGGCTGATCATATTGATAAATTGAAGGAGTCTTCTATGATATAAATAAGTCAGGAGAACCTATTTAAGCCCATGGTTAACAAAGTGTCCGAAAAAATAATCAAAACAACCAATCAAACTGATTTCTTTCAGAGAATGAATAAAAATGAAGATAAGAAGAAGGAGAAAATCAAGAGACTTAAGACAGATGCCACTCCCACTTTCAAACCAAAGATTAATGGTATTTAATTTTCATTTGATCTTTTAGATCGTTCGAAGAGAGTATAGAGTACTTTGAATAAGGACATTTTATAAGTTTCTGTTAATTTAGAATTATTGGAGAAGTTTCGAAATTATAATCAAAGAGATCTAAATCTATCTTGTCATGAATATTCCAGATAAAGAAATTGCTCATCAGCATTATCATAATCGATCGATATTGATAAATAGACAAGTGACTATCCAAGTTTTAGAAATTCAACTACAATTAAGAAATAACCTAAATTACAAATTGATTTCAATAGTCCCTCTTAGAATATGTCAGAAATGTTATATGAAGCATTAGGTGACTAAAATTATGACTACTTTTGAATTTACATATATTTAAATATATTAATATATATAAATATGCCTAAAATTAAAACCATAAGAACTAAGAAAGCCCCTGAGGGATGGGATTTGATTGAACCAACCATAACAGAAATTGGAAATCAAATAAGAGATGTTGAAAATCAAGCATATAGTGACAAGAAGAAACCAGAATAATTTTGGGAGATTTACAAATTGCATCATCAGAGGTACATTATTCATTTAAATATAAAGATCTCGTTATATTTATGAAATGTACTATTACAAAAAGGAGATAACCAGAGAATTATATGAATTTTGCTTATAAGAACAATATGGAGATGCAACATTAATAGCCAAATGGAAGAAGACCGGGTATGAAAAGTTGTGTTGTTTACATTGTATATCTAAGTCTCAGCATAACTTCGGGGGAGCATGTATATGCAGAGTTCCTAAAGCAAAATTAGAGGAAGGTAAATTGGTATAATGCAAACAATGTGGATGTAGAGGTTGTGCTAGCGGAGATTGACATAGTTATCTATAAAACAGTATGATAAGTTTTAATCATCCATATTTTAACATGTAATCTTAATGTTTAAATAATATTCATTTTCTAAGATAATCCCACTTCTAGATAAGACAAGCCATAAAGGCTAAAATGGGAAGATTGCGAGTATTGGTGGATCATTTAAATACACAGGAGCTCCATATTATGCAGCCATTTCCTCATTGTCATCTATTCAGATAATGCATTCATTAGTATTTGGCCCTGGGTTAGGTAGACAAAAAATTAACAGAAAAGTCTTGGAACAACTATTCAAATAAAACAATAGTATCAAAATATTGGATATTGATGCATTGTGGCATATCTCATAGAAGCAGAATAAATTGATAATAATGTAAAAAATGGAAAAGTGGGATATGCAGTTTAAATGGAAGAATCTAAAAAGGGATGTGGAGGTTAGGCTCATATTTTGAGTGGGTTGATTGGACTCTATTCATCTTGGTCTTAAGAATAAAAGTAGACAAAATGATCTTGGGGTGTATTTTAGGAAGTGTAATGACAAGAAGAGTTGCTAACATGGAATCTATAAAGAGCATTATTCATTGACTATTCCTAAAATCATTAATCATATTGGACATGCTCTTTATTCACTTTTTTCGGACTAATTATTGATTGTTTGTTTGTGTTTTTAATTATATAAATTAAGAGTTTTGGCAATATCTGATATCTGAATGATCTAGAAGAATTGATTATTTTCATTAAGGGAATTATATTAAATATTATACTTTTGAATAAGCTGCAAGCATGAAGTTTTTTTGAAATATAAATTATTAGAAGTATGAAATTAAGATATTCCTTAAAATGTGAAGCAGGATTACCTGGAAGGGAATAAAAGGCATAGAGACGTTGCCAATTTTGATAAATTATTATAGACAATTAAACTAAAATAAAATTACTTAGCAAATTTAATTTACTTAATTAATAATTCTTAAATTATTTTAGAAATGATTAGAAATGTATCTTTATGTATATTTAATGTTTTTGCTATTCTTGAGATTATTCAAAATCATTTATTTTTTCTTTTATTTCTAAGGAAGTAATTCTGAAATCTTTTGAATTCATGTAGGTAAATTATTGTCCACCATTAGGTAAACTTTGTTTTTATTAGATAGAATAATCACTCTACTATGTCTATAATTCTTACATACAATATCTAATTCTTGAAAATCTTCATCACCAACTTAGAATGACAAATCTTCTTAATCCAATTAAGGTAGAGGAAGATTTAGAGTAATAAATATACAATCCTAGGGAATAACCCATATAATCTATATCGACCATTTGTTCTGTAAAACAACTAACTGAGGATTTAAAGTTTAAGATTCCGACCAAGAAAATACGACGAAAGACTGCAAGCAAAATGTATAAAAATGGTAAATAGATCAACCTATAAAAGGTCACTGGACCCAAAAGGAACATAATTTATATTTGTAATTTATAGAAACGAACAAGGCAATCATGATGAAATCACACCAAAAGAAACAAGAGAAGATCTTTAAGCAAATGTCTCTTGTGATTAAAACACGATCGCCATCCTAATGCCGATCTCATCATCAAAAGTTTAATCCTTTCTGAGAATATCATTTATTATTCATTAAAAACAAATGATTCAAACTATTTTCTACTAGATTCAGATTCTTTAGAGCCTTATAGAAATAACATCTTCGATAATGCTTACTATATGAGACATTATTTAAAAAATATCAATTTCTTTATTGCATGGTCGCCACATGCAAAGGAATTGCTTGACCTTTAGAAACTGCAATTATAAATCTGATTCTTCTCATAATTGATCATATCATATGGCTATTTCATATATGGTCATTCCACTATAACAAATCAACACTATTATCAGATATAATAACATATTTTATATTATACTTTGGAATATTTGTAAATCTTATTCTCATTGTCTAAATAATTACAATTCTTATAATAGAGAATTTCTTGCCTGTAAAATTTAATTTGATTAAGATCTTACTTTTGTCAAAAATAGACTTACTCTTATATTAAATATCATTTCGACATTCTTCAAAAACGACAACAGTACACAGAATAGGAAATTGATTCAATATTTTTACCAAGAGGCTAAATCGATTTTTTTCTATTTTGAATCAGTATCATCTTCTTCTATTCCACAAACACATAACTAAGTCTTATATGTATTGTTTAGAATAAGAATCAAGGTAAATAAATTTGTTAGGAATGTACCTGTTAATTAAAATGTCCTTTAGTGAGCATCCTATTGAAGAGTATTGATTTAGGCTAAATACTATTATGCTAGCTATTAAAAATTCGGAGAATTCCAACTTAACTTTACATTATATAGCAAAAAGAATATATTTTTCTTCTCATTTTATCACTTGTGAATAAACTAGAATTATATAGAGAGATGCTAATAAGGACAATGAATATTTAGAAATTTAAGTATTTTAATTGTTTTAATTATTCATTATTAATAATAATATTTCAAAATATATTGCAAGAAACATAATCACTGTCTAATAAATCTACTTATTCATCTTCTTCTCTTTCAGGTCTCCTGTAAATATCACTGATTTGACAATCTTCTTTGATTTATTCATAATCTACCTCATACACCTATTATTTGGCTTCAATATTTAAATTAATGTACTTTAAATAGTATTATAGTTAATTGTCACCTATTTCTCTTGTGAATAGTCCTACTCCTCAACGTATCTACTGTTTCTTCCTTCAAAAATTGTTTCCTTCTATTACAATTACTCATATTATGGTTATGGAACAGCTGAATATTTCACTTCTGTAGTTTATAATTGGGATGTTGTTGTTCCTATGTAAATTCAGTATAACTTACCTCTGCCTCTCCTGTATTTGTCCATAACTTCCTTCACACTCTGCCTATTGACTTCATAATGACTGTTCTAACTATTCCCTTAATATTTCTCCACTACTCTTTGAGATTATCTTGAAGCTTCTAAGTCATAATTACTATTTCTTCCCTCGTTTTCCATTTAAACGTATTTAGATGTAATTACTGTAGTTTATTGATTATTTGAAGTTTATCTGGGTCTTGATGATCTTCTTAATTCATATCTTTAAACAGCATCCTGGAATTCCCCATTGCTGGTCCTTTAAACATTCTAACTGGTTGTGACTGTCCTAACTTGATAGGTTTGCCCTTCCGCTGAAAAGCTATTATTCATTAAAACGATATTTTATTATAATATAAAAATTTGCAATTCTCCTGAAATTGATTCTAAGAAAAATTAAATAAATAACCACCATAATCCTCTTTAATTAGATATTATCTTCATCAAATATGTGATATGACTTAATTTCTTAAATGAAATATTTACAATTAAGATATTAGAATCCTAAAAGATTTTGGATAACATTTGAAATCTCATTTAATTTACATAAATTCTCCATTAGGAGATATAAATAATGAGAAAATAGATATGTTTTTAATAATATACTGAATCAAACAGTATTCTATTTTGGCTAGTATTTACAATGTCTCAAGTTGGGAAAATGAAATTCTTTTTTAACAATATAGTATTTTTAATGATTATCGGCATTAAGAACTAAAAAGTATTTTATTTAATTTAAGTATATTCATTTAATTGATTGACTTATGCAATAATCCATTTTTGATTTTGGTAAAAAATCTTCTACTTTTTGGCATCTCTGTGATAAATGTTTACTTGATGTATTACATGTTATAGCATATGAAGGATTAATCTAATCTAATAGAATAAGAATTTCTTGTGGGCTCTAAATAAAGAATCAAAAAAATATTTCTTTTGATGAGTGAAGGTATGTTGTTCAAAGTGTCTGAATTATAACTCAAAAGAGCTCCCCTTTTGACGATGCATGTTTAATTTATAGATCCCTCTTCAGATCATTTTGTATAACTCAATTCAGATGAGACATTATATGGCTTTAGACTTTCTTACCAAGGGAAAAGTCTAGAAATCTTCACTTCTGATAAAGCTAATTATGAGATTTGGAAGACTCACTTTCGACTGAATTGTATTATGAACAATTTCCATGATGCATTTTCAGTATCCAAGATGATAGGCAAAGGCAGCTTCGCAAAAGTATACTCAGCTACAAAAAAAGAAAATAATAACTAATATGCAATAAAGGCATTCAGTAAAAGCTACATGTCTCAGTAATCAAAGGGAATTGAGAGTCTATTAAATGAGATAAAAGTTATGAGAAGATTAAATCATCCAAATATTGTAAAGTTGCATGAAGTTCATGAAACAACCAATTCAATTTACTTTGTTTTAGACATGATTTAAGGAGGAGAACTATTACAAAGAGTCCGTGAAACAGGTATGATTTTAATATATTTTTATAAGGATTCCTACCAGCTCAAACTATGTAAAAACTTGCTTTCAATTTGATAAGTGCACTTAGACACATGCACGAAAACAATTTGATTCACAGAGATCTCAAGCCAGAAAACTTATTATTGAAATCAACCGAAAATCATTATGAAATAGTTTTAGCTGATTTTGGTTTAGCCACCAGTCTCAACGAAGAACCCTTATTTAAAAGATGTGGCACACCAGGATTTGTTGCTCCTGAAATCCTTGAATATGTCGATGGAATGGATTTCTATTGTGATAAATGCGATGTTTTTAGTGCAGGTGTAATTTTGTATCTTTTAATTGTATTCCAATATTCTATCAATAGACTGGAAATGCTCCATTTGCAGGTGCTGATTAGAAATCTATTCTTAAGAGCAATAAATAATGTGAAGTCGATTTTAAAGATCAATAGTTTAAGTTAGCTCCAACCTAAATGTAAGACTTGGTCTAATCAATGCTTATCAGAAAACCTTCCTTTCGATTGAGTTCAGAAGAAGTAAATTATACATCATATGAAAAGTGTTTAAAACATCCTTATTTCAAAGAACTGGCTAAGGAATACAACAGATAAATAGAATTATTTCAAAATAATCTTTAAGGATATTCTGAATTTAAGAATGCTATTAAAATTGGAACTTAAGAGATCGAATAGAGATCTCCCTTGAATTTCAATTCCTCTGAATCAATATCCTCCAATATCTCACTTACAAAGCAAAAATAAAGGAAATCTTCAATTGTTGTTGGGGCATCCAAATTTAGTTAATATAGTGCTAAACTGTCAAAGTAAAATTCAAGAGAAATTGCTGGTAAATTTTACTCTTATTTAGACATACCATAAAAATAGGAACCAAAAAAATAATAAGATTTACATAGACTAGCACTTACCAATAGTTAAATGAAAAATATGGCTAATTGTAAATAAGATAGTTTTGATGATCCTACTGCTGAAAATTGTAATATTGGGGCTATGGTGAGATAATACAACTCAACTAGACAAATCAGAATCCCTGATTCATCATTGAAAATAAAAGAGTGCAATACCCCTACACTCTAAAAGTAATGAGTTAATTCTTTATATATAATTAGATTATGTAATGTTATATAACAATGTTTGTATTGCAATTACATAATTAATGTAGCTTATATTATTTTATTTATTCCACCTAACAATGTATCTTATATCACTTAAATTCTATTTAAGAATAATAATACAAACTTGATTAGAATTTTAATGGTAATATATTTGAAAATAATTAATGACCAAATGCATTCTTAAATACTTATACTACTGAATCATATTAAAATCTAGTTCTCAAAGATTATTATACAGAAATAAATTTCAGATGATTTTAATAATTCATTCATTTTTCCTCTTAAATTAATTGTTAAATAAAAAGCAATTCAAATGATATATAAATTCAATAGCTAAGCTGTTTAATCATTTTCGCACTAACGAAGGAAATTAAATGGAAATTTAAGGAACTGTTGTTTTAAGCTATTGTACTTCAGATGGTTTATTTAATTATTTATTTGATATTTTGTTTGTTTACTTCAGATTTCTAATTAATGATATTTGTTTCTTTGTTTTAACTGGCATTTCTATTTATTTATTCTTCATGTCTTATGTATTTTTGATTTCCTTATTTCTTTAAAGTTTATTCATCTTAATTGGCTACTTTTTTATAGCGAATCATACTTATGCCCTCTTATTTGTTTTTAATCGTTTTTATTAAAGTTCTAATTCATAATCATATTCAACCTCTTCTTCTTCATCATTTTCTTCTTCTTCACTTTAATAATTTACAAAAATTAGATAAATATATTACAATCTTGGAGATTATTTTACAAAAATATCATGAATCTCTTGATGCTTTATTCATTAGGGTTCTTATTCAAAATTTGTGATCCTATTTTATAAGCTTTGTTAAACTATTTTTCTTAAATAGCTTATAAGAAAATAATATTATTTTCTTTATTTAACATCTAATTTATTAATTAACTAATAATAAAATATAGAAGATTAAATAGAAAATAAGTGAAATATACTGAGACAATATTGAAAAGGATTTTTAAGCCAAATTAATATTATTTCTAACTATTTGAAGATAAAAATATAAGTTTAAACATATATATTTATATTTATTACATAGTGAATTTTAATAAATTTTCAAGAAACATGAAGCATCAGAAACAAACTATTATAAATTGCATTAAATTTTAAGGGTGGCAATAAATTCCAAAAAAAATAATCACAAATAGAATTCTACTTTAATAAAATAAATATCTATCATCTATATGGGTCATAATCTTTAAGAGAGATCTTATTAAACATGCGCTACTTAGGGATACTTAATGTAATAAAGTTTTGATTCATACATTCAAAGTGCTCTTGAATAATACATAGTGAATATTTTGTTTATGATTATACTAAATAAATGTGTAGAAATGAAAATAATCAATCAAATAAAAATTTATGATTTCTTTTGATTAAAGTTTGGCCAGCATCTAATTATGAAATGTCTGCAAAATCTGAATGGGAACTATCAACAAAGTCAGTTATTGTTTCATCTTTAGTTATTCTACTGTTTCGACTTGATATTTGATTGATGTTTTTATAAATATGTTCAACATCAATACCTCTAGATTTGACTGCTTTTACTAATTGAATCAACTTCTTTTCTTTTTCAGATAAGCTTTGTATTTTTTATTGCATGAGTTTGATTTGATTTTTTAATTCAATATTTTGAGGAGAATTGCATTAAGGCTTTGAGATTTAAGTCTCTTTTTTATACTTTTTGATTTGCTCTAATTCATCTTAATATTATTTAATCTTCTATGTTGCTTGATGATCTCTAATTTTCATTTCTAACCATTATTATTAATTATAATTACCGAATTGCCATTAAGTTTCTTAGGCTTATAATTCTAATTCGTGTATTCTTTTAATTAGAATTGCTTTATCATTTTCAGTTTAGATTTCTTTTTTAAATTGTTGATTATTGGTAATTTCTCGAATGATTTAAATTAATTAAATGATGTAACTTGATACTTCTTATTAATTAATACATGTTCTCAAACCAATTATTAATTTAGTGTGTTATTCATTTAATTCTTTTATATTTCTATTCTTTTCTAGACTATCTATGACTAATCTAATGAGTCTAATGATCTCTTTTTTAGAGGCTTCTTCTTTGAGATGAGCTTATTCATATAAATAACTTTAAACGGACATCATTTCACCACTTAGTTTCATAGTGGACTGTGTATTTTATCTACTCTTATATAACTTGAGGGCATACTTTATTTGACTTTTTTTCAGGTGTTGTAAAGCTCGTATTGTTATGATTGTATTTGGAAGCAGATAATGATTTCATTTACAAATTTTAATTTTTATATTAATTTTTATTTAACCGATGAAAAAGACATACAATCCAAATAGAGAATACCTTTCAATTTATAAATAAATATGCCAGGAACAACATGTGCATTTGAGTAAAACTATAAGTACATTTTGTATGATATTTGATAGCTTAGGGTTTGAAGGATTAATCTCTTAGATTGAATGCCATTTTGATAAGAATAGAGGATATAATACCATTATAATTATTATTGAGTTTGTGCCATTTTGATTCAATAGTTGTTTATGGAAGATTGAGAAAGAAAATGAATAAAAGTATTAATAAACTTAAATTTCCATAGATGATTTAGTAAGTTTAGAGGAACTGCAACAAATAATCAATGGTATTTTGACAGCAATTAATTTAAATTTGACATAGACTCAATTCAATTTAATGCATATACATATAACTGATTTGATTTTGAGTCCAAAGGATTGTGAATGCATATCATTTGGATTAAAGAGTACAAAAACATTGAAGGAACTCAAGATAACAAATTGTAGTTTGACTAGCTAACATTTATAAATTCTATCTGAGCCTATCCAATAATGTGTTTCATTGAATTTGTTAGATTTATCTAATAATTTATTAAAAGAAAATGCTGGGATGATAATTGGTAAGATAATCAGTTCACATGCAGGTAGAAGAGATGAAATGAAATGGGCTGAGGAAATAAGAGGTGACGGTAATATAATGAATATATTAATTAGAACCTTCATAATAGTTGGCATTGTAAGGTTTATGCGAGATATTTTTGCATTAAAATATGTTTAATGATAGATGTGTTAAAGATTTGTGTAATTTTTTGATGTATGATTCATGGACTAAGAATATTGGTTTGAGAGAAAATCAAATAGGAGAAGAAGGAGTTAAATTGTTTAGTTAGATTTTGGATACAAATGAATCCTTGATCTCTTTAGATCTAAGAGAAAATCCAGGATTCGTTGAACCCTATTCCAAAGATATATTTGACAAGTTGGTTCGAAACATACAAATATTCAAGGAGCAAAAGAATTATTATGAAGATGTAGAGGAGAATTAGGAAGACGAATATCCTATCATTTAAGAACAATAGCAAGAGGAGTCTGAAGAATTAGGTTAGTAGTTTATTTTAGTTAGAATGTCCTAATTGCAAGGATTTGTTGAGGTAGAATAAACAATTGCAAAAGAGGATCCAATAATTGCAATAGAGACCGAGATATGATTCATAATTGATGAATTCAGATATCAATAAGGAGGAATAACAATCAGGGGATCTGTTGATTCAGATAGAGAACAAGATGAATGAGTTGACTACTTTAATGGATATGTTGGAATAATAGAAATAATAATATTAATAATAATAGTAATCTGGAAGCAAGGGGAAAAAGAAGAAGAAGAAAATACTCAAATCACCGATTTGATATTTAATTTATTTGATTATTATCAGATATTATTTTATTGGCTCTTAGAAGAGAGCTTCAAATAGATAATAAAAATAATTAATATAATTTAATTTGTGAGAAATGAAGTTGATTAATATTTTCATAAATAATATTTAAATAATTTAAATCTCAAATTAGGATGGCATCCGAAATCTACGACTAATTAGTAACAGTTTTTACAAATACAGATAATAAAATCAGAAATGAAACAGAGAAACAATTAGTGACTAATTTAATAGATAACATATAGAATTTTTAATAAATTGCTAAAGTAGCTATGTAATAAGACAAAAGTAAAATATTAATTAATATTTTATAGTGTAAGAGCAGGCAGCCAGTTTATTGAATTCAGTTGTGCTGAAGATGCTAACAAATAACAGTATTTTTTTATCTTACTATTTTAGTTTAATTGACTATTCATCACGCAAATTCAATCCTAGGAGTTCTGATTTCTCAATACACACCCTTAAAATGTAAGTAATCCTTAGTAAAGTGTATGAGTTTAATAGTGAGGAAAGATAAAAGTAATTATCCACTTAATTTAGGTGTAAAGACTGAAATTGAAAATAAAATGAAGGAATTTTTACGCCAAGATCAACATTGGCAATTTTAAACAGGAATCATATTTTTTAAGATCCTACTGGACTCTTTGGAATTACAAACCTATAGTTCAATCGTCTAAACCGGTTATGAATGGGTAAGTGAGTTTTTCAATCAAGCTGCATATATCATGACTAAATTAACGGAATAGCCAAAAGAACTACCGGATGATTTCATCACAACTATCAGAATCTATACATAGGTTGTATCAGATTTATGTGAAAAAGTGTTTGACAAAAATAATAGTTAAAAAGAACAAACTTAACCAATACAAAACATTCTGTTCCAATTGAATTCTTTCTCAGGAGTTCTGATGATTTTATTATCTTATTCTCCATAAACTGGTAAACAGATTCAAAATTGTTCCATTATTAATACGGGAAATGATCACTTTGACGCTCAATTAAATGAAATTAAATGTTAAGTTTTCAAAATCTATTTCTTATGTCTATAAGTATTATTGAACAGCCGAAATAAGAATGAAGTGAAAAAAGGAGCCTTTGGACCTTATCTAACAACTATAACATAATTGCTGATCTATAGCTTGTTGGCATATACCAACAGTGAATCCATTCATTAAATATACAAGTATTCATTCAAATTACTATCATTAAAGTAAACCCTATTTGACAAGCATAATGACCTACATAATGAAATTATTGGCTAATTTAGGGTCTTAGACTGAACAATATCAAATCTTCTCTGATTCCAAAATAGCCTTAATAACAGATGCAATATACCCATTTTTGATAACATCATAGAAGGAATATTAATAAATGAAAGAATAACCAGAAGAGTTTGTTAATTTAGCCTTGGATTCAGTAGATAAATAGGAATCTGATGTTCCAAAAACAGCAGCAGCATCCTTATTAGAAACCTTGTGTGATCATATAGATGGATCAACTACATTTTTAGCAAATCTGGCAGTCATTATATCATAACATTCCATCAATATGATATCGAGTAACCCAGTTTAATTGAAGGAATAACAATTGACTTTTGTAATGGCATTACAAGATAAGTAAAAATACAATTCATATTAGGAAATTGTTCAAAGAGTATACTCCAATTGATAGGATTGAAAGTAGTTTAGTAATATTGACAATTATGAGTTATTTGATATAGAAAAGATTGGATATAGTTTAGTTGATGGAATAACTTCTAACTGATAATTTATTATACTTTTAGAACGTTTAAGAATAAATAATCAAATTAAGACTCTCCTTATTCTTTGGATATTATTGTGACAACTTATTCAAAAAGGAAACTTAATCTTAAAATATGAATGCTTATTTATAAATAATGATCAGTTTTGTATAACCACAAGAACCTGTAGTACTTTATTAATCAATTGATGCATTAAAAGACATATTTGAAGATGATGATCTCAAAAACAAAACCAAAGATTTGGTATTATTACTATTCCCCTCATTATGCAATGGACTCCAATATAGTACATATGAAAGACACTTTGAAACAATAACCAATTTACTAAAAAAGTATCCAAATCAGTTCTTGTAAAATGATAACCTATTAGTTGGATTGATCTAAGTGTTGAATCAGAGAGTCATAACTGAATAGTAGAAAATAAACTCAGGTGATCAATAAAGACATATCTATTTAAACAGATGTTGGAATGTTCTTAGGCAATTGGCTGAACAAGATGAATTCACTGGCATCCTAGGAAAATTAGAGTAGCATTTAGCATAATTGTATTCAATGTTAGCCTTTTGTGATAAAATAGATTACGATGAAGATCTAGTGCTCTTCATTTCAGGATGCATCTCTAAATTATCAGTTGTAACAGAATTGTAGATGCAAATCTTGCCATATTTCTAGAATATCATTAAAAAATAATAGGGAAGATTGTGCAATCTCTTTGAAACACTCAATCAATACATGCATTTCGGAAGAAACTATTTTTTGAATGAAGCCTAATAGTCCATTTACTTTTAATTGGCATTCTAGAATCTTCAAAATGAAGATCTCCATGGTGACATTGAATAAGGAGAAGGAGCATTGTTAATTCAATTAGGAATCCAAGAATTACATGATGATCTTAAAACTAATATCCTTTCCCAAATACTATTCCAAACTATCTAACTCCTTTAAAAGCAAGATATCAATGAACACTTAAAGTCTAGAATAACTGGTATCATTTTAAGTTCTCTATATAAAATACCCGAAAAAACCTATGAAGTATTAACTGAATTTTTCCAAGCAGTTTATAATAGAATTTTGGAAACACATTATTCCCCAGGCTACGATATCAAACTATTTATTATTACAATGTCCTCTTTGATTATGAAATAACCTAATCTCCTAACACCCAATTTGCTGACTATCATGGTCAACAATTTAATAGCTTAAGAGAAATATGAGAAAGACTATAAATATAAATAAAATGAGTAATTAATCTTTTAATAATCTAGTTACATGGATGATGAATTAGATGATGAAGATGACAGCGATTTCAATGATGAAGAAGAAATCTAACAAGCTTAACAATAAACTGAATAATTCTTAAGTTCTATCGTCAAATTAGATGAATATTCAATATTCAAATAGACCCTCCTTAGCATAAAAAATTAGTATATCTATTATACTCATTCTTTAGATTCCCATAAGCAATTGATTAATTGAAAAATGGATTGGAATAAACAGTTATTAACAAAATCAACGAATAATTATAATTTGTTCGAATTGAAACTTTAGATGGAGAAGAACTTAGAAAATTTCGAAACCTTAAAAATTGCAATCGCAAAAAGTAATTTAATAATTGATTTGATATTATAATATGTTATACACATCTACAATTTCATATCAATATGAAGAGAGTTAAATGACTCTCCTATCATTACTCTTATAAAATAAGTGATTGAAACCTATGAATTCTTTTCTACTCCTTAACTATCAATTTATAAATCCTATGATATTGTATTTTACAGCTTGACCAATTTCATTGAAGCATGATTATTGCTTAATTAAACTATCTGATTTAAGATAATAATTGAAGTGAAATCCGCCAAATAAGCCTTTTATGTGAATTTTTTTATTCGGAATTAAATAATAATATTTGATAATAATTAAATTTGAATTCAAAAATGAACTCAAAATAGTTAAAATTCGAGGAGGAATAAGAAAACCCTAATAAAGAGAATGAAGGCCCATAGGAGATTAATCAACATAACCTATTACATTCAAACAGACCTCCTTTAACAGATATTACGGAAGTTTTATATCCTAAAAAAAAATCAAAAAAACCATAATAGCAATAACAATAATAAAATGTATTTATGTCTACAGTCTCTTTAAGATGATATCAAACATATCCTGAATTTATATATATATATTTACAAATAATTTTCTAATAACACATAAATACAATTTTTATTTCATAAATATCGTTGTTATAAAACCTAATAGAAGTTGAAACCCTAAATATAGGTAATCATCCATTCTGAAATCTTCAAATTAATCAAGGATTATACAATAATCAAAAAATGATAAGATTCTAATTATTAACTCCCATAATAATTTCGAAATGATTTCATACAAGCATTTTTCTCTATTTGAAATGTTATGATAAGGTTTAGTTAATGATAAAGCATATTTTGCTATCTTAAAGGATCGATCCAATTTATTGTATTATACTAGATGATTTTAATTGGTGTAACTATTAATTATAACTAAGAATAGTTAATTCTGCTGATTTTGCAAGAAGATTACCATAGTCAATTATTATCTAAATCCATAGATCCCTTTTCTTGATCCATGAAATACTATTAAAAATTTTCATCTTTGTTTTTTTCAATTAGTTTCGAGCTTTCATTTATAATTTGTTTCTAAAATGTTCCTCATATAGTATATCTGCTCATCTTAATTAGTTTAATAATACCGAGGGTTATTATGTTGATGAATCAAATTATCTGAACTCAAAATATATCAATTAGATTTGGAATAATGAAAATACCTCTTTATTCTAAATAGAGAATAAGAGGCTGATCATGAAATACTTAACTTCTAAATAGCAATATTAATTATCCCAAGTAAAAATCATCCTTGCTTTATCCTTTTTTATAATAATAATTAAGTATGGTATTTTAATTTGATATCCAGCAAATATGAACTTTAAATTTCAACTATTAATTTATCATTCTAAGTATTGACTTATTTATTAATTAATATCAATTAAAAAGGTCCTAAAAAATTTCTAATTACTCATTTTACTTTATTCTTATATAGAATAAGAATAATTCTTATTTGAAATCTATATAGAATACAAATATATGAGTATAAAAGGTGTTTAATACAAATTTATCATTAATTATATAGAAATATTATGGATATTTTGGTTGGTAAATCAAAGCTTATTAAAGTCGGCTCAATGGTGCTTGTTGCAGTCTTTATAATAATTTGTTATTAATTAGATGTCGGAGCTGCCAAGGGAAACTCTAAGATGTTATCAACTTATTTTACATACAGTGGCAAATTTAGAGTTGAAGTTGAAGTGTTAGATATTAAAGAAACTAGTAGCATTGAGGATTGCAATGGAATTTACTTTTGCTAAGTTGTGAAGTAAGCTCCAGTTTATGGTGGAATAGATCTTGCCATTGCAATCATCATCATTTTAATTGAACTATTAGAAAAACCAGTTTTAAAGGATAAAATCCAACCAGACCTCTTAAAAAACATTATTTTTATATCACTCCTAATTGGATTTGGTTTCGCTTTGGCAACAATGCTTTAATTTTGGTTTGCAGCGGGAAGCGATTATAATCTCTGTGCAGGTAGTCAAATCTTAATTGTCCTCTATAATCTATTGTTTGGATTCAGCAGTTTTGTCTAATTCAAGGTTAAATCATCCCAAGGACAAGACACTTTATTGAGTTGATCAAATATATCTAAATCAGATTTAAATTTTTTTTTTCTCAAAATAGTGTTAGATCAGAATTTCATTATATAAAGTATTTTTTTTTAGTTCATAATCAATAATTAAATTAAATTAAACTAATTATGGTACTTTTATGATGAATTTTCATGCACCCCTCTTATTAGGATGATGATATCATTAAATATACCCATATCTGATTATCCATAATTTATTATTTTTAAAATTGAAAAATAACAAGATTAATTTTCAATTTGCTAGAGTTTTAGGTATTTTATTCCAAAAATGCTAGTATTTTAATTATTAGTATTTTGCCAAAATATCAGGATTATAGATTTTACTACTTTTTATATAAGAATCACTTTCTGTAACCAAGTTTTCTATTGTTTTCGGCATATAACAATTTAACTATTCGTTATGAGCTTCATATTTTTTCTAAATTACAAATACCCTATTATACATGAATATCATCAACTATCCGTTACATCTATTTGATTTGTTCATTATGTTTCACTGCTAATCTTCCCAACCTAATTGCATATGTTTCTCTCTATTCATCAGAAAATTTCAGATTAAAAAAGTTTTTTTTGAATTTATTGTTGACATAAGGATTATCAAACAATATATCCTTATATTGGTACTTAAAACTAGCAAAGTCTTAATTCAACTTTTTATATTTTTCCTTCATTTTCTCTTTCATAGAAATCTTTACATAATAATCCAATTCTTTAGTTAAAGAAATTTATCTGCTTTTTTGAGGTATTTTTATCGCCTATAAATTGATTTTAGGATTATCTTCAGATAATTATCTTGGTTTCAATTATTTTTTTTGTTTTAATTCTTGTAAAATAATGGCAGATTCAGGTGTGTAGTATAACTTAAGAATGGTACTTACATATAAATTTTTTTAAAAAGGGAAACATAAATGAATAACTTCTCAATATTTTAACAAAAAATTAGTCGATAATAATTTCAATTTTTAAGAAACTCTGTTTTAGTGGATTATATAATTTATCAAAACTAACATTTTTATCAATGATATAATTCCTTAACTTAGTAATTAATCTTTCCTTTATTGACAACAATTTTTTATGCAATAGCTATAATAGAACTTCATTATAAATCTTGTTATTGTGCATCAAAAGAATAATATGACAATATATTTGATATAATAAATTTGTATAAAACAATTCTTATTCAATCACTTTAAGTTCTAAGCTTTGGTTTTGCTAGCCTCTATATTAATGATTTCTGCTTATCAGATTTAATCGATTATTAAGCCTACTTTAATGGAGGTAATTTGTATGGGTATTAAGGATTCATAATTTGCGAATCATATTTTCTTAATTGAAATGAAAAATCAGGAGAAAAAAATGCTTTATCTTATACATTTCTAATAACATATGTATCTCTTCCAGTGCCATCACTTATATAAAATTATCGTTTTTCAGGTTTGAAATGAGTTTTTTGAGGAGAGTGTGTACCATAAGCCCCTGAGAATTTTAGAATTATAATTACAGCTTTAATGTTATGGCGTTTTTTATAATTTGAAATTACCTGGATAAAAGCCTCCGTTATCACAAAAGATGTAAGAATCTCTTCCTGTTCCATCTTGAGAATACAATTTAGCCATAGATTGATTCATGATGACTAATGTTATTGATCTTTATAAAAATTAATAATAAATATTGATTTGTTTGATATTTTCATACTCTAACTTGTTATGCTACTATAGTATAAGCTTGAGTTATGATTTTAACTTCATTCTCTCTTTTGGCAGATCTAAGATTATAATTGGATTAAACAATTTCTCTTTCATTTCTATATTGTTGAAGTAAATCTTAAGCAATTGGTAAGTCTTTTTAGATTTAGTTTCTAGACTTTGTAGATAGAGCCTGAAAATTAGAAAAATAATACATTTTCTTCATTTCTTCGTTTAAGAGTGACTACAGTTCTTGAATAATCAGCACTTAATCTTTCTCTGACTTCAGTGACTTCTTTTAAAGTAACTTGATACGATGAATTAACTTTTGCTTCGTATTCATCAGCTCCTGCATTTTCTTAGATTCTCTCATCTCTAATATTCTCAAGAAGTTAGATAATTCTAGTGACAGTAGGTACATCAAATCTAAATCAAAAACTCAAATTACTTTGTAGTTACAGCCACTAAAGCAGTCAATGGATGATTTGGTCCTAATTAGTTTCTAAGATCATCAACATACTGTTTTGTATGTTATTAAGAGAGTACAGTTGTTTTACTTTATTCTGCAAACACTGCTTATTGTAACTTTGCAATCATTTCATTTAATCCATCAATAGATTTGATATTATTTGTAGTTCTTTGCTTGGTATAGACATAATGAGTACTTTAAGAGTTTCGATTTCACTTTTGTATTAGTTTCTAATCTCCTCTTCCTTTGAGTTCAAGGTACTTAATTATTTCTCTTATGATTATTAGGTACCAATAAGTTTGCTAATATCTTCATTCAATTCTGCAATTTATTAATTTAGTCTTTGTAATTCTTTTGCAAGCTTCTCAGTTTGTATTTCTAAGATTTCAATCTCCACATTCAATTGTCCAATTTTCTGAGGTAATATTACTATAATTTATTTACTTTTGCGTATTCTTAATCCTCAACACTTTAATCAGCAATTAATTAGTCTCTAATACCTTTTATCTCTTTGAGTACTTCCTCGACATAAGAACTTTATAACATTTTAAGCTCAATGAGACCTGCTAATTGCTTCGAGAAATCATTTTTTAATGCCATTTTATCCATTTATGCCATAACTTAATCTACTTTAGATTGCAATTATGTTTGGATGGTTAAAGTAAAAAGGATGAATAAGAAGGTGACTTATTTCATTAAAAACGGTATAATAAAAATATTATTATTTTATAATCATGGACACTTTAGATGAACCATTAGATGTACTTAAATTTTCAATAGCATAACAAATTTATATCAAAATGAGAAATAATATTGAACTAAAAGGAACTCTAGTCAGTTATGACAATCATTTGAATATGATAATTAGCAAAGCAGAAGAAACTTCATTTTAAGAAGGAATCAAAACTAAAAGAAAATTAGATGCTCTCTACCTAAGAGGAGATGGAATCATTTTAATTAGTCCTTTAAAAAAAGGAATCACTTCATTATGATCAATCACATCCGTTCAATATATATATTGTCAAAAGTATTTGAATTTTTCAATTGAAATTGCCATCATAATCTTTCTTTTACTTTCAACAGACTTGAAATTGCCATATTATGATAGTAATCCATATTTATAGATCATCATTCGGAATCTTCTCTATTATTCGCATAATTTTCAATTTTTGTTGCCAAATTAATTTATTGACAGAGAGAAAAACTAATTAAATGATTTCTATTCTTTTTTTAAGATTTCATGATCTAAAATATTTTCGCATGAATAATATTACTTTTTATAGTTTAATTTACATCCCACTTCCTCTGATTTACAAATGCTTGTAGAACTTTTTTAAATATATTATAACCATTCTTAATGATTTCTTATATTAATTTAGAGCTATAATCATATGATTAATAGATTTTAATAAAGCCCTTTAATTTCAAGAAAATAAGGTTACAATAAATATGAAAAATAATTCTTTTTTCTAGATTTGAATTTGCAATTTTAAATGAAATACATAAATCTTGCTTGTTTAAGTTAATTAAAAAATCTGGATATTATCATTATAACACTTATCTAAATTAGAATAAAGATTGTTATAATTTTACCTCAAATTCTATCTTTGAAGGTTGCATACTTACTAAAGCATCTGATAATGACAATTATTAAATTTCATTCAACAAATTTTACTGAATTCATTAATTTATAAAAATTATAAAAATCTTTTCAGAAGCATATCAATCTACTTTAATATATATATATGGTGTTTATAATGATTGAAAAAGGAAGTCATCAAAATACTAAGATTAATAAATACATTATTTCTTTCGAAATGTATTTTGATAATTCTAAATCAAGAAAGATGCTTATCATAATTTGTTTAATTAAAAGTTGATACCGTTTTCTTTTGATTTAGTTCAATGGCAATATAACTAAATTCTAAAATCTGTTCCATAAAATCCAAAGGTAGAAAAAATGAATTTTAAGAATTTGTTATAAATTCTTGAAATTCTTTGGATATATAAATAATCGTTAACCTCTTATCGTAAACTATAAATCAAAAGTATGGATTCATTGAATCCTAATTTTATAATGATTATCTATACTCATCAGTTATCTATAAAATTATTCCAAACATATAATCCTATTAGATTTTTACTATTCATATAATTAATAATTTTGAAATTGAAAGAATAATTCTTAAGTATGTGCATTTTAATAAAAGAAAAAGAATAAAAAATGTTATTCTTAAAAAGTCATATATTCTACCAACACAAATTTTGATAATTGATGTTTTTAAGGACTTTTTTGAGCTGAAAATCTAAAAAAGAAATAATGAATAGATTACATAATCATAGAAATTAGTAGGATTGATATATTATAAATTTATTTATTAAATGCAAATTTCTAAAGAGAAAAGGATGGGAGCAATGCTGACAATTTTGTCTGTTGTAGATTTTGGATATTGTTTTGATAATATTACATATATCACTTTAATACTTTCTTGTGTTCTAATTATATGTAGTATTGGTACTTATATTATTCAATATTAGTCAGTGTGTTATTTGCGAATAAAAAAATTTTATCTCTAATAATAATCACTTTGTATTATGTAAAAGAATTAACATTATATGGACCAACTCTGACATGGCCAGTATTATATCTTTTTAAACTTATTGGATCTCAAAACTACATTTTTTTATTACTATTTTCCAATCAAATAGTATTCAATTATATCGATTCGATATGGGTTTATAATGTCAAAAGAAGGGATCACTACTTCATATAATTAACATTTATATTATTATTGGAAGGTTATTCCCAATATGCTAAAAAGAAAACTTATTACTAATGCAGACGGCTGTTGAGAAAGAAATTTAAATAAGAATTCGTTCTTTAAATTTTTGATATCAATTAAAGGAATATCACTGAAAATGCTAATTTTTTACCTGTTACAAATAAGCTATAAACAGAAAACACTTTAATTGGAAGTCCTAGAGGGGATAAAATTAATTTAATTTAAGATGATAAGGACATTCATTATAAATTATTCTTAAATAATGAACAAGGTTTTTCATCAGAATTCAACTAATAGCCAATTTAATAATAAATAATTTTTAAGTCAACTAAAGAATTATTATAATTCTTATTAAAAAATAATCATTATTTTATATTAGCAATATAAAATGACCCACTTCTTAATGTCAAATTTTCATATTAAGTTAGATATTTTGAATATAAAAATCGCCAAATTCTGGCATTTTCAAGAATAGATAATTGTTTATTTGCGAGATAAAATCAAAAGATCTTAAAATACAAGCAAAACCTAATTAATATTTTTAACCATAAATTAAAAACTCCTCTCAATAGTGCAATAGGACATCTCATTACAGCATAAGAGGATGATTAAATAATTGATTAAGTTAAAAAATTATACTTGTAGCCAGCTCTTTTGAATTGTAGATTATAACTATACTTGGTTTAAGACATTTTAGATTATTTATCTATTGAAATCGAATAATTACCATTAATGAACAACAAAACCAACTTGAAAACCTTATTACTAGAAGTTTATGATCTAATAGAAATTTAATGTAAATTGAAAAATATAAATATCTTGTTTAAGATCAACAATGAAAACTTTAAAAAAATTGAGATGAAATCATTATTCATTTATACTGATTCAAACAAATTGATCAGAGTATTGTTAAATATTTTAAATAACTCTTATAGATATACAGATGAAGGAGGTTCTATTGTTTTGGAAGTTAGATTAGATTAAATGAATAAAATTACTTATTTTTCAATTACAGATAATGGACAAGGTATGGATGAAGAACAAATTAACAAATTAAATTATTAATTGAAGTCATTCGACAGCACAACCTTTAACAAATTAAATAAACAATAAGACGATAATCGTACAATAAAACTAGGATTAAGTTTATTTCTAGCTAATAAACTTATAAAATTGTTGAGTGGGGATAGTAGTTTTTTATAATTAAGAGTAACTAATAATTAATTACTTTTCACTTTTTCAATTAATGATATACATGAAATTTAATCTGCAAGCTCACTTGGAAAATCTAAACATAATAGTTTTGTAAAATAGAAATCATTAAGAGTCTTAAATAATATTCAATTTAACAGTTAATCAAGCCCAAGAATCTCAAAGTTTAAGTAATGCTCATAAAGATAAATTGATCTTAAGAATTATAATTCCTTACGATTAATTTATTAATCGGAAATTCACAATGAACCACAACCATAAGTTCCTAATAGGATTGCAATTCACCAAAACAATCCAAAATTTCACCATCAAAGACAAAGAATGAAAACAAAGAAAAGATCTTTAGAGTATTAATTTAAATCAAGAGCAACCAGTTTTAGAACACATCAAATTGAGTAAATAATTCTGCCAGAATAAATGTAGTAATAGTAGCGTTTAATTTAAAATGAGGAATATATTTTGATAGTGGATGATGAGCCTTTCAATCATGAAACTTTATGTATGATGTTAAAAAATATGGGATTTAAGAACTTTTTAAAAGCCTTTAATGGTTAGCAATGTCTTGATATTGTACTTGAGAATCATAATAAAATATATATGATTATGATGGATATTGATATGCCAATAATGAATGGAATAGACACAACAAAATAATTAGAAAGTTTAATCAGCAATAATAAAATATGTTACATTCCAATAATTGGATGCACTGCTCATGAAGACTATGATTCTCATTTACAATGTTTTGATGCAGGAATGATACATGTAGTTGTGAAACCTGTGTTTATAAAATCAATTAAAGAAGCTATTAATAAAATCTCTGAACTAAAATCAAATGAAACTATTAAAGAAGACACATCATCTGATGTTATTAATAGGATATAATCTTAATCTTTCAGTTCTCAATGAAAAATATATATTTAATAAATTTAATTTAAATAAGAATTCTTCTAATCTATTCATTTTAGTTTTAACTACAAAGGAAGAGAATATAATTTGGAAATCCAGATTAAACAAATTATTTTGATCTAGAAAGCAAAACAGAACAATATGGTTTAATAATTTTTAATAGAAATTTAATTAAAAACATTTCTTTTTCCTTTATACATTTCCTAATTAATCTCTATATTTATTATCTCATCTAAATTTTAAATGATGAATTCTAATCCATTGTTTGCTGTTTATGATTACAAAATCAATTTTGATATAATGCTAGGAAAAGGGTGTTAGGGTTAAATATATTAATGTTAAAAAATAAGCACATAAGAGGAAATAGTAGCTAAGGTAACTAAAGTAAATTTTTTAAATGCGAATACGATTGAGAGAGAAATAGCGATTGTTAACAAAATTAAATAATAATAAAATGTGTAGAACTTAGTAAAAATGTACGATATTGTGCTAGATGAATATAATGGTGAAAAAATACTTGTGGAATTTATGGAGAAGTGCGATTCTGATTTAGGAAAGTTAATTAAAGAATACTAATAAAACAATAGATCTTTTACATTTTAACAAGTCATAGATTTTGCAGGCTAAATCATTCGAGGTTATACTCATCTCAATAAATCAAATATAATCCATAGAGATATAAAACCAGAAAATATTTTGATTACTAAAATTGGGGATAATCTTGAATTAAAGGTAATTCTATTACTTATTTAAGATTACTGATTTTGGTGTTGGAAAAGTATTAACAAATGATTATGCTATTACAAATACTGGAACACCAATATATTCTGCACCAGAACTAACTTGCAGCGATTAAGCATATACTAGCAAAGCAGATATTTTCTCATTAGGAGTAATTTTATATTAACTCACATACAATACGCTTCCTTTTAAAGTAAGTGGAAAGTCTGTATAAATTGTGAAATAATCTCTTAAAACTTAACCAATTATCTGCCAAAATAAAGAGGGGTTTGAGGCTTAATTTTTGGATTTAATAGATAGAATGCTACGATTTTCCCCACATGATAGAATTAATTGGGATCAATTAGAAAATCATGAATATTTCAGAAACTACTTTCCAGAAAATTGTAGTTAAAATAATTTAAAGCAAATTAAATAATTACATGAATACATGATTGCAGTTTATTATTAAACATCGAAAATAATATAGATTGTGGGAAATCTTCCAAAAGAGTTTAAATGGTAAAATTTAGCTATAAATCTAACTAAATACATTTTAATTAATTTCTAAAATGAACTTATACAAATCATCCTTTCAATTAAAAATAATAAATCTGAATTTAATAAATCAATAGTAACAGTTTCTCAACAATAAGTTGATTAAAAAGAGATTCAGTAAGCATTAGATAAAAATAATATTTTAGACTGTTAAACTAATAATGATGAATTGATAAAGGTAAAGATTATTCTTAAAATTAGTAATTGAAGTAGGAGATTGAAGATTCTATACCTAATTTGGAAGATATTTTTTTCTAAGACTTTTACAAATCATTAATTAACATACCAGTAGATGAAAGTATATTTGATTTTTGGCATTTGAAATTTTAAATTGTTTATAAAACCTAAATACGATAGTGGTTAAGTAAATATTTGGTTCAAAAATAAGTAACTATTACATATGCATACCTGTTAGAAAAGTTTTCTTACTTATTAGTTGAATATCCTAAGACTTCCTATAACAATTTTCAATATAATTAAATTCATTCAAAAATTATTTAATAAGATACCGCTCTAGAGTATTTAAAGCAAAAGCAATTAATTTGAAATATTTTTTATCCCTCCTATTATTATCATATAAACAATATTTATTTAATTTTTCATATTAAATATTCTAACTATGAAAAATTGATTGCCATTCATTGCAAACAGAGTACCTATTATTAAAAGTTATTAAAATGATATTATTTGTTACCTTCATTAGGAAATTATAAAAATACAAAATCGATTCAATTTAAAATTTTCAGTCTCTTAAATACGTTTTCATGATCTTCAAAGGTACTAAGTAAGGAAATTGAATTAAGATCCAAATACTTTAATAAATTTAAATTCATTTGAAAAAACTCAATATTTTCTAGTTTTCTTTAGTTTTCTTTTAAATTAAACAACTTTCTTTCACATTTTTCAATAAATTAAGGTTTATAATTTAGTTGGATTATCAATTTTTATATTATTGAAAATTCAATTAAATCTTTAATGTAAGTTGTCCCATTACAAACGAAAGAGAGTGAAAATCTGAACTCTGAAAGCAAGTATAATACATTATTAGAATTGTAGTTAAATGCTTCAACTCTCAACCTCTGTCGTCCTTTAATCATAATAAGGAACTGAAGAATAAATCAAGTCATTTTTTCATTTAAGCGTGATTATGATTGCTATTCAAAGTGGTAACTTTGCACTCGGTTACTCATTAGCATATTTATCCATTTCATTTACAACATTATTTTCTCAAATGTAGAATATATCAAAAATAAAAGTACATTGAAGTCTTCTGAAATCGAAGAATAGGGCTTATTTAGTGCTGTTTTATCAATTGGCCAGATTGTTGGTGCTGTTATGACATCACCATTGCTTAAACATACAACAAGAAATCAATCTCTTTTTATTTCAGATGTTTTTGGTGTTCTCAGCATCCTTCAAATAATTCCAAATAGAGAAGTTATCCTTGCCTTTCGATTCAGTTTTGGTGTTTGTTTGGGCATGTCAACAATAATAATGCCATTATATTTAAAAGAACTGTGTCCACAGAAATATTATGAGTCTTTTTCTGTGATGGCTGGCTTTCTGGTTGGAGGTGGATATTTGTTTGTCACTTTTCTAGGATTAGGTTATATTGATGAATCTTTAAATGGACCTGAATCTAATTATTGGAAATTCATTTTTGCATTTCCTTCTTTACTACACTTTTGTAGATCTTTCATCCTTACATTTATCTATAAAATGGATAGTCCCATAACTTTGATTCAAAAGAATAAAGATGAATCAGCGAAACAGATATTAAGAACGATTTATCAAGAATAATTTATAGATTAAGCATTTTTGGAATGTAAATTAGGAGTTCAATAGAATATCTAACTTGGAGAGGGAATACTCAGCATTTTTACTAAAAAGCACAGAACAACGGTAACTATTGGGTGTGTTCTAGTTTTCGTTTATACCTGGTCAGGATTATTTGCATTATTTTCTTACAGTTCCTAAATATTCTCGGAAATGTCTAAAGATGATATTACGTTGAATGCAATATTTAATTTGATTATTGGAATAGTTCAATTTGCACCTGCTTTTGTATCTAAATATGTATATGGAAGATGGGGTAAAAGATCCTTATTATTATTTGGACTGGCCGTCCTGATTTTATGTTAGATACTCATAATTGGGCTTAGTTATTCTTAAGAATTATCTACTGTTATTATTTCATTCATTATAATCTGTGTCTTTTCATTTTAATATGTATTGACTTTAGAACCAATTACCTGGGTAAAATCTTCAATTTATTAAGTCAATGATTCCAGAAATCAATTCAAGTGAAGGGACTTACTTCTGCTTTGTAACTCTTTATGCTTGGTAATTGTTAGTCTTGTATATATTTCCATTGATGTTGGATACCTTAGCTATGAGTGGATCATTTATTGTTTTCTTAATTCTAACATTATTGTCAACAGTATTCTTTTATGTTTTTGTTAAAGAAACAAAAGGACTAACTCATAAGGAAGTAAATAAGCTCTATGGTAAAGATTGAGATGAAAATGAAACTAAAATAATTTATCAATATTAATTATTATTCTCATTCTTACTATTGTAAAAATCTTAATTCAAATAAAAAATACTAATCCAAAATCTTATAGCCTTTTGTTTATTCAAGAAAAATTTAGAAAATTAGATAGGATTGCAATATCGTGTTTTTGAAAGAAATGTGGAATATTGAGTGATGTATAGATTTCTAGTTTTGAAAGCAATAATGCTTTGAGCAAGAAAAAGTGAATTCAAAAACACAAAAAGTATCGGTAATTTTATGATAGAGAAGAGAAACTTGAAACATAATTAATTATTAATAGCAGAAATATGAATGACATATAATCCCACATGTTATTACTTAATTACCCAAAATATCAAAATGATTAAACTCTATCGACTAAGAAACTATAATGTCACCATTTTCCGTTTTGCTCATTCTACTAAATTTTGCCATTCTTATCTATTAGAATACATTTTTTCTTTAAGTATTATAATGAAAAACCCAATTCACAAAAATTAGAGTCACCCTTTACAGAAATTTCCTTTTTTCAGTAACAATTTGCTGTGACTATCCATCTCATAAACATACATTTATTCTTTACCAAATGGTTAAATAAGAAATAGTTAACATTAATGAAATATAACCTATATCAAAATAAATCTACTTTATTTTCTATCTAACCTACCACTATTTATCTAATGGGGATTATTCTATAACTAAAATATATGAATCTTTCGAGCATGAAATCAATTAGTTTTATTGCTCTTTGAAGATTAATTAATAGACTTAATCTTAATGATCAAAGATATTTTTTAATTGCTTATCCATTAATTCCATTTAATCCAAAGTTAATTGTATTATAGTGACTCTATGAAATAATGAGATCATCATGATTGGTTAACAATAAAAAAATACAGGATCTAAATGTCCAAACAATTAGATTAAATAGTCCATTTATTGTGTTTTATTATCTACAACATAATAATTTCATTTACTGCCTCCAGAAACAAAACGATTTTTATAATTCATGAAATTTAAACAAAGCGATTTGTATAATTCATAAATTTAAACAAAGCAAGGTTTTCTATGACCAATTAACAATTCTACTAAATCCAATTTCCCAATATTATATTCAAATACATTAATGTTCTAATTATATCCAGTAATCACAATTGATTAATCCATATTGAAGGCTATAGCACAACACCATTCATCTTACTAATTTGAATTTTATTCTAAAAGATTATAGGAGAAAGAAGTTTGTTGATAAACTTCTTTCTTTTCATTTTCTTTTATTGATTCCTATCCATTTAATTATATTATCCCCTTATTTTCCTTGTTTTTTATTTCCAAATCATGTTCTTATTCGCTCATTTTTCATTATCTGATTTTTTAAGGTTATTAAGTTTGATCATCTCATAGTTATACCTATTTCTTAACATCTCTTTAAATATAACGTTTATGAATTAGAGTTTATTTACTAATCAGCCTTAGTTAATATCAAAGGTTTAAGGCTATTTTAATTATATGAGTCAAATTAAGTTGAATTCTAAACTTCTATTAGTTTAAGTTAGATTAAAACAAATCTTAGAGATTTTAATATAGCTGAAAAATTCTAAATTAAATTATATTTATATTATATATTTTAAATGAAAATATAAGCCTTATCAAACCCTATGTTTATCCTAGATAATTCATATTTAATAAAATTATCACTCCTTCGAAAAACTTAAGTTGTAACCTTTTTCTCTTTAAAAACCGAATCTGTATTAGTATTACAATTTAGAACACTATTTCAAATAGATTTAATACTAAATACATGTAATAGTAAGTTCCTAAGACACTTTTTTTGTCTCGAAATCTCAATATAAATCCATTTGTCTACAAATACTGAGACACTTTGTTATTTTGTTTTCATCATTCTATTGAAAAGAAAACAAGAATTTAGAATCAGAACAGAACAGAATAGAAGGTTTATCAAATGATCAATTATTTGGATATTTTAATCTTAAACAAATAATAAAAATAATTTAGAAAAAAAACATAATTTATAATAACAAACTCAAAAACAATTCATCTTAAAAATTTACTTTTATGATAAATAGCGGAGTAACCCTTTTCTATTGACAATAATTCCTAGACTCTAAAATAAATGTTCGTGATATTTGGATAAAATAGGAAAACATTGATAGTTCAAAGGATGGGTGAAGATATTGACTGAGTATTTATTTGTATTAAAATATGATAATTTGCTTCTGAACTCATAATATTCTTAGACTTAGAAGGATTAAATCATCGTAGCCAGCTGACTGCGATTTTTCTAGGCTGCTGAAAATGGTTCTATAAATAATTTATTAAAAAATTCCAAATGTCCAGAAAAAGATACAGTTCCGGATCAAGGGGAAAGAGTCCCTAATATCAATCCGTAGAG